ATGTAAATCTGTCAGGATTTTCTAATCCTAGAGTTTAAGGGTTGATTTTCTATCCGAAGCTAATGCAGGAGATAGGTGTAGGAGACTTTGTTCATGTTCAGCCTGCATGAAAAACTCAGAGTGACCGATTAGAATCAGAAATAAGATTTTAAAAATAGTCTTTCAGCGTTCCACACCTTTAATTATTTTATAAATACATAAAAAAATTAAGGTTTAGTATATATATATATATATATATATATATATATATATATACATACATATATATATATATATATATATATATATATATATATATAATTTTTACTTCTTTTGTTTAGTTTCTGATCTTCAGTAAGAGTAGAGTCTAAACATGTGGTCAACCTGCTGATTACAGAGTAAAAATGTTTTAGTTGGTATTTTAAATCGGTGTTCTTACCTTAGCAAGTTGGTCTGAATAAACAACCAGAATCAGATTTCAGAAATGTTATTCTTCATCAGAGTGGGACGGTCCCGTGATTTAACAAAAGCTGTCAGTGGAACGCTCCTCCTCTGTCTTTGTGCTGCATTAAGATCTAAAAATAACATCAGATTTCATGTCCACACATTAAGAACATTTTATTTATCTTATTTAACAGTTTGCCTGTAGACTCATCAGATTAACCTTTGACCTGTATCTGATTTCTTTTGCTCACATCTTCACTTTATTATAAATTTAACCAGACTTATATGTTTTGTAGAATATTTGTTTAGATATTTGTTTTAAATCAATATTTTATTAACCCAGTAGTTTAATCATCCACTATGATGGAAAAACTGTAGGTAAACATCCATTATTTGTGTTTGTTGTATTAATTATTGATGCTAGTAAATGTATTTTCTGTTTTTTTTCCACCACAAATGGGGACTGGTCCAACTCTTCAGGCTCTGGGTCTCGTTCTTGTCCTCTCAGAATGAGTCCATCCATCCTGGTTCTGGTTCTGCTGGAGGTTTCTTCCTGTCCAAAAGGACCTTTTCTTCCCACTGTCACTCTGTGCTGCTCAGGAAGGAAGATCCTGCTGAAGTGAGGATTTGGTCCAGTTTGCTGCTTTTGTATGTAGTAAGTTTGACTTGTTTGATTTTATATAAGTTAGTGAATCCGACTGTAATTTAGTGTAAACGGACACGGACCTGATTCGACTTTTTTGTTTCATTATTTAAAACTGCAATAGTAAATCTGCAAACAAGCTGACTTTTGAACGCAAACAAGGAACACTCCCTCCTCACCTCGAGTATCTTCCCTGGGACTCATCCACTGGAACCGGAAACCCACATTGCCAGAGGAAACGATAGAACACTAAACACCAGCTGCTGTTTTCTAGGTCCAAACGTCTTTTGTTCTCCATAATTTCAAATGGTGTTTTTCTTTTTGAGACTCTGGTAGTTTGTAGTAGCAACCGGCTGTTTTATTTTTGAGCAGAGGACTCTCACCAGTGGTGTTCAGTTGCTAAATACGCAGGTGTATAATGAATGGAGGACCCTGGGAAGTGCGGCGGTTGGGCGAGACCGACAACCGCATGGTCCAATAGTTGATTTTGGTCCGAGGCGTGTTATTGGCTGAGGTTTTTAGACCAATGTGAAAGAACCACTTTATTATTTTAATTCACCACAATCTAATTATAGCTGTACTATGTTAGAACGTTGTTAAGAGCCATGAAATAATGTTTTAAGCTAACTTGTTTTGTAGATTTGCTAACTGCTTGTTTTCTGTAGAGTCCGGACACGGCTGGACGATGTAGAAAAAAAAGCATATAGATTAAAAAATGTTTACATTGATCGATGTCAATAATTACTGATGACTATAAAAAAATGTAGAAAATATATTTTAAGTGCAGCCTTGGCCATTTTGTCATTTATTTATGATAAAACAAGTCTGTGTGTCACCAGACTTGATTTTTAATCAATTCTCTGCAAAATTGCCAATTGACCATTGTGTCTTTTTTAGTCAGACTTGTAAAAATCAAAATATCACCATAATGGTTGAACACACTGTTTTACAAGTATTATTCTCACGTCATGTTCTGTTTTCATATTTTTATATTTTAAAGACTTTCTTGTCCATGAAAAGTTAACCGATTCCGCATCAGCCGAGGTATTCCTTAAATTTGAAGCATCTAAGCGGTAGTCTAACGCTATTGGTTAGGTCTGGTCGGCACTCAGTTTCCTATTGCATGGAGCTCTGCGGGGCAGGGGGCGTGGCTAGCAAAAGGAAAAAAAGAAGTATTGCTTATATTATATCACAGTATATGATGAGATAATCACTTTTACAGATTTCTGACAAATCATACATCATTTCTGAAAGTAGAAAACTCAGGAAAGTTACTTTAAACCTCTAAATCATGGGTGGAAAATTCATGTTTTCAAGGGGCTGCATGAGAAATATAGCCTGTTTTGGGGCTGGAACAAGTGCAACAAGTGAATATCAGAGGAGGATATGCAAAAGAAGGCATGATCATTAATGAGAGGATCTGTATCTGGATTTGTTCAGTTTCGTCACAGAGAATACTTGTTCAGAGATATGCGTAGATCCAAAGAGAGCCAACCACCTCTTCGCACGCAGAAGATGCTGGTACTCCAATAACGATACCGGTTTCATCCACTCCAGAAAATGAGACGGCAGATGAATGAGTTCAAGCTTGATGACACTGAATGACCAAAGTAATGACGACAACTTTTGATCATAATGTAATTTCAGTTGCTCAGCCATATTTAATGGACACCCTCATTGTAACACAGCAACACCAAAGTGAAAAAAAGAAGGTGGAGGCAAGAGATGCACGTTATTGGGATGCCTGACTATACAAAGATGAATTAAAGCTTCTCAACAGAACTAAAAAAATAAAAACACACCCAAACAGGCTGAACTTGAGAGGCTTTTCTTTTCTGATTAGCAGTTTTAAATCCTTTCTTTTGTATCTAGAGAATAAAACAGGGCCAGTCTCATACCTGTTCAAACATGGACACATTTATTTTTTTACGACTCCCAGCTCAACTATGGCCGATGTGATCTATATATTGCAATCAACCAGCACATGTTGGGTACCCTGAATAAACTGAAGCTCAATATACCGCATTCTCAACAAGTAAACGGCCCTGTATTCATTTCCCTTCATCCTATTAGAATATTATTTGCTCTGATTGTTGCACATGGCCATAAGTTTGGCTGATACCGCTCCTGATGCAGGGAAAACAAACTGTTGTAGATAATTACCACTGTGGATAACACCTGGCTAGACGATCATTTAGAAACATAACCTTCAAAGTGAAAGTTGTGTACTTGTATATCATGTAGGGTACTCATCACAGTCATAGTTACACATTTACTTTTGAATTCAGCAATCTCACACGGGTCAGTCAGAGATGGTCCGTGGGCCGGATGTGGCCTGTGGGCCGAGAAATGCCAAAGTCTCATCTACAGAGTTGATCCAGGCAATGAAAACGTTTGTATGTCTGGCTTTGCAGTCTTGGGCAACTGTTCCGCCAACCAGCAGCCGGTGTTGGGATTCTCTGGTATTTATTCTGATGGCTTTCTGTGTCTGTCATTTATTTCTGATATATTCATACATTTTGGGTGTTTAATCTTGGATAGCGGGTCTTGAGCAGTAGAGAATAACTTGTTTATTTATCTGGCTTTCATCTGCTTTGTGTAACTCTTCAGTCCGGCAGTCATGGCTTGAAGTCTTTAGGCCAGTGTCTACTCTATCCGAACTAGTGGATAATTTCACTGTACCATTGCGATATGTGCGTGTCTCCGTTTCGCTGGGTCATCCTCGAAAAAAACATTGTGAGGGACATTTCAGAGACCAACTGAATACATGAACTTAAAGTGACAGTGTGTAGGGGGCAGTACGCCTATATCATTGCAAGTAGGCAGTATTTTTGTGTGAGTAACCCCTCCCTTCCACTGCACGTGATAGCGCTGCGAAACGGCCGCAAAACGTACTACGCAGCCATTAGCCACCGTTATAGTGGATGAGTTCCTTTCCACAACAGCTAAATGTTACGTTTTGGACGCGCCCCAGAAGCGAGGGCACGCCATCATTACGTTTAGTCTATTTTTGATGCTCTACGCTTCCAAAACACGTCAAATTACGCAGTTTAGATCGAGTCAGACAGGAAGTAAGACACAAAAGCAGTGTAGAACATCCGGAAACTTTCACAATAAAGGTCACGTGCAGTACGTCATTTCCTGTGAACTTCTGTAACCGATGTAAACAGAACATAAAATAACCCACAGACATTTTTTGTGCATGCAGCTGTTTTTCGTCTTGTTTATTGTGTGTGGACGTGTGGAATCACAATTGGTTTTGCAATTCTCTCGTGATTTTGGGATGTCATGGGATCAGCAATGTTCCGGGATCAGAGCTTTCACTCCCGTTTTGCATCAGAATTGCTCCCGGTTGGGAAGAAGCTCACCGATGGAAGGCCGCAATTACGTAATGCAACTGTTTTCACGGCCAGTGGAAAACCAAGGTCACATTTTACCAACGGATGGCCTTTAGGGTCAAAAATCCCAGAGAGCACAACCTCCAGCAAAATGACAACATCAGACTCCCTGTCATCACTGGCAACGAGCGAAGAGATAAATGGGTAAATCAACGTTTATAATTGGTGAAAGTTTTGTAGCCGTTTGTTACAAATCAGTAAATGCATTTTGTCCTCACGGGCTGCCGAAGAAGGAAACACGGCGTCTAATATGGTGCCACCCAGAGGCCTAAACCCACCCCCGTGTGTTTTAGACCACATTTTTATCGTTATATGTCATGAAGTTGCCAATATTTTTCAACAACTGAGCATTCTTTAATTCATTTTAAACATTTTAATGGATAATTCCAGAGATTAACAGTAAAAACTGCACATTGTCACCAAGTATGTACTTAGAAATGACCCAATTATTGATCAAATATATTTCCTACATGCTGTGCTGAAAAGTTAAATTATCCCAGGAGGGCATCAGAGAAAATAATGGAGAAGCACTGGGCTACAATGGGAACTTTTTATTGACTCGTTTTATCGCAACACGTCTGTGTGTGTGTGTATATATATACACTCACATCTCACCACACAGGTGTCTGACATTAATTTCCATGAGCCATAGGTCACATTATCATTCATGAGTTTACAGTTTTTCTCAATTGCTAAAACACCAAAATCCATTGACTGAAGAAAGTTCTCAGTTGCTTGAACTCATTAAGCTAACTGTTGAGCCTGTTGTCAAAACCTTAAACCATTTCACACGGTTTAGCGAAATTCTAAACACATTTTCATTCATAAAACCCATTCTGCATTCTAATGAACATGTCGTCCTTAATGGTAAACACAAGTGGCAAACATTTACCCATAACAAGAGCACAAATGTCATTGATTGAACACAATCCGTGAAAACCGATTTCACTTGTTTCAGATGATGTGACAACCAATATAAGCAAGTTCAGAGAGCAAACAGGTTGTTGAAGGTGGGAATGAGAAAGTGTGACAGTGGATAGAAGAATTCATGTGTGAGGACGAGGACGGGTGCGTATGCGAGGTGGGGGATGAGGAGGAGGGCAAGAAAGAGAACGAAGAGGAAGAGCAAGACAAAGAGTGGAAATATAAAATGATATCCGAACTACAATCATAGACCATGTTGTTGTCCATGGGCTGACAATGAGGGAAACAGGACTTAGAGTGCGACCCAGTTTGAGCCGATTTTCTGTGTCCTCCATAGTAAGGACATTCAGAGAAGAGAACAGGTATAGTTTACTCTACCACATTGTATATGCAGCTGTTCCAATAGACATTTGCTAGATTCATCCCTGTATTGCACTGCATAAATGTTTTTGTAACTGCATATCTACTATTCATAGAATTGCAAGGATGCCTTGAGCAGGTGGAAGGACTGCTATATTCACTCAGGAGCAGGAGACCGATATAGTGGACATGGTCCTTCAAACAACACAATATGACTCAGAGAAATTCAGGAGCGAGTGATACAAGACAACACACTTCCAGGGAATCGACAGTGTGAGAATTTCCACAATTAACCGTGTCCTCAATCGTAACAGGCTGCGAATGAAACACAATTACAGAGTACCTTTTGAGCGCAACTTGCCAAGGGTGAAAGAACTGCGAGCTCAGTATGTGCAAGTAAGTGTACATCCAGACACATTTACAGTAATCCAGATTGTCAGCACACACTATATGAAAGACATTACTCTTGAGTGCAATCTATATAAATCGGAAGTGTTTACATTATTCCTAATTGTACTCTACAGCATAGCACGGACTCTGTACAACTTACACAATTCTATATTGTATTTCGACACAGACAATATTTGACTTGGAATCCTTGGACAGATCCCATGAGTTCATCTTTGTTGATGAAGCAGGCTTCAATCTTCAGAAGAGGAGAAGGAGAGGCCAAAAAATTATTGGACAGCGGGCCATTGTTGGAAGTCCCTGGTCAACGAGGTGGCAATGTCACAATCTGTGCAACCATGGTGTTATACATCATCATGTTACATTGGGGCCTTGTAACACCCAGCATCTTCTCAGATTTCTTGTCAGTCTAAGAGATGCATTATTTGAGCAGCAGGTTCAAGAGCAGCAGGGTGAAGAGCTGGGTCCCATCCCAACCTATGTAATAGTGTGGGACAATGTCGGTTTCCACTGAGCTGCTCAAGTGAGGGAATGGTTTATCATCAATGGGCAGTTTATGAACCTGTATCTCCCTCCATACTCGCCTTTCCTGAATCCGATTGAAGAGTTTTTTTTCCTCTTGGAGATGGAAAGTGTATGATAGACAGCTCTACATCAGAGTAAATCTGCTGCAAGCCATGGATTTAGCCTGTGGTGATATAGGTGAGGAATCATGTCAAGTCTGGATACGGCACACCAGAGGCTTTTCCCCCCGTTGCCTCAGGAGGGAAAATATTACATGTGACGGGAATTGTGCTTTAGCAATTGAGAAAAACTGTAATAGAAAAACCAAACAAAAAGGTGTTTGACACCTAAATACAATCTGCATTATAATTTGAAAACAGTACACGGGCAGCGTAGCAGAATATACTTACATCCTAAACTTTTCATCCCAACATTAACGTAAGTTTTTGATTTTTAATATTCTCCTAAAACATTCTTAAGAGCCATTTTGTAGGTTTACCAACCAATACTGATTAAAGAGCATGCCCTACCTCTTTAATACAACACTTTCGGTTGTAATCAGCATAATTTTGGTGTTAAAAGCTTTACTAACAATGCTAGCAGAGCTGTCAGAACTAATTTTATAAATTCTGGGCTAACAGAGAAATAATACAACATGAAAGCATCACAGTGGTTTTAAGAGAAATTTTGGCCCTTTCAATGTCCTATATAGCAGTTTTGCTGCACTTGGACTAGCTGTTATCAGTTATAATATATTCATAGAGTGGCCATAGAAGAAGTTCCCAACACCGGGTAATTATTTATAGGCTTCACACAGAAAAAGTCCTTAAAAGGAACCCAGGTTACAAAACGTTGTGGTTCTTAAACGACAAATGTTAGTATCAGTTATATTAAAACGGTGTAAAAAATCTTCTTAATGTCTTCATTTTTATAAAATTTTTAAGAATAGTTTAACTCATAGGTCGCCATTGTTGTTAGCGTTGCAATGCACTCTGGGTAGTGACGTCATGTGGTTGTACCCTGTAGGGACTGTTCAGCGACATCAACATGTCATCTGTTCAGCCTTTTCTACTTGAACCAGAGTTAAACGTTAACTCATTCACTGCCAGCGTTTCTCGCCGTTTTTACTGTTTTTTTTTTTGAGTCACAGAACGCTGCGCGCTAGGATGATGTCGACGCCAAAACAACCAAAACAAAGCAGAGACACCTCTTACATCAGGAAGAATCCGCGCGTTTCGAGCTTTATCCGTTCTTTCATAATCCGTTGTTGAATTGTGATCAGCAGCTTTTCTGGTTCACGCCTCACTTTTTTTTACAGGAACGGCCTGAAATGATCTCCTAACACGTGGATTTTCCTGCTTCCTGATCATGTGATGTGTGACGTACGCGGATGAAGATCGGCTTTAGAGCTGAGATGTTTGTGCTCTCAGTGCGGGGGCTCGTTCCGATGCCCACACAGTAAAAACAAATGTTTAGATGACGACTTTAGTCGTCATTTGCAGTGAGTTAATGAGAACATCACAGATGATGTTTCACAAAACGAGCACCAACATGAAGAGCAAGAAGGGCGGGATGAAGCGAGAGCAGGACCAAACCGGTGGTGCGTGTGCGGCAAATGGTGACAGAGAGGGAGGGTGCTCACATTTTTGTCAACAGAAGTTAACGGTAAGCTATCACGTGATCAAACTTATTTAATTATGAATCATTTGAGAATTTTAGCATCCAGAGCTGTCGTGTGCTTCAAGGATGATCAGGATATTCAGTGAAACAACTTTGATCATTTTTACAGATATTATATATTTGGAGAACACTGTATTGCTACACTTACTGCTTGTTTTAATGACGGGAGAGGTGAATGTTCATCGTCATCCGTGACACGAGTGGCGTGTCCGATGGTTCGCTGAACGTGACAGAAGCGGCAGCTGCAGGAACGGGTTGTCGGCTCAGGAGAGCGTCCAGCGTCTCTTGTCTCTCCGAGGGCGTTTAGGCTCCTTGTGTGGGAAAACGGTCGGTACAGCATTTAGTTTCCGCCTTCTCTTATACCCAGCCGCTCCGGTGAGCTCTTTAAGTAGTTGTAGTCGACTACAAGCCTCAAACGCATCAGGAGAAAAATGTTGGGAACACAGCCGCGGATGTGTGTAAACTCACATCACTCCTCTTGTTGCCCCGACTGGAAATTACATCCAAAAGCAGCACAATGCGGCATTTTACTTAATTATTAATACGGTGAGCGGGTAAACAAACTCTAGCGTCAATAGCTATTCTTCCAAGAGCAACCAATATACGTCATCGCCCCCAGAGTGCGTTGTGTGTGGACAACATGGCGTCCTACGTATGTAAAAAAAAAAGTACTAAATACTACAGATTCATAAATAAACAGCAATATTTTGTGTGTTTCTAACAACATATTTTGGTACAACAGAAAACTTGTGGCTTATTAGGGCATACACGTCCTCTTCGCCGGAGTTCCTTTTAAGGGATCAAATATCGCTTTAATCTAATTATTTATCTGACCATGGCACAGGACGCTGTAACTGCATGTTATTTATGGAAGACGTGCTTTATATTTACTATCGGTACAGTAGGATACACTATGACACTAAATATATCCCTCTGTCAGAGTCAAATGCTATAAAAGCAGAGAATAATGTAGCTGAACGACTCACGAGTAGCACCACGTTCCAGCCCACCACCCCGTAAGGGACAGGAAAAGCCTGCGGAACATAAGTGGGTGTTGTTGTAAAATTAAAACCTGACGGAGTATTTCTAAAACTAAACGACTGATTAAAATGTTGAAAACTTCCTTTTGAAGACGCCCTGTAAGTGTTTTCCCCTCACAGAGGAAACAAAATAAAGTTTTGACTTGCTTCGGTTTGGTCTGCTTTATGGCCGTCTGCTGTCGTAACAATCAAGATGAATAATTCATGAATAACTTGGATGACTGTGAGGTGATGAAAGGCGTTTGTCTCTGTGGTGCTGCCCTCTGCCTGTCGACACAGTAAAAACTACAGACATGTACAAATAAAAACATCGGCTTAAAAAAGTCTTTTAAAACCAACTTGATACAAAAACGAACCACAAAAATAGATCTGTGTAAAAAATGCACGTTAAAAAGAGACGTTGTGCAGCTGGAATGGACGAGGATCCACATAAAAACACCAAAACTGGCATACACAGAGAAATCCGTGTGTGTGTGTCATGCAGAATACATATAACACAAACACTCCTGTTTCCTTTGAAGACCTGTGTGTGTGTGTGTGTGTGTGTGTGTGTGTTATGTGAGTTTGTGGCAGTAATTGCTGTGAGATGAGCCGTTGTGCCGCCCTTTACTGAACGGTTCCAGTGTGAGGAATGCTCGGTGTGTTCCTCTAAAGTGCTCTGTTGCGTATCAGTACTGAGGCTGGTACTTGGGGAACAGGTACAGGTGTTTGCAGAGTGAGCTGGTGAACTCTGACATCTCTTTACAGCGATGGTGGGCGGTGCCCGGGGCGTAACCCTCCCTCTCTTTGATGCGTCTGTTGACCTGGAGACGGATATTGAAGACAGAAAGGAGTGTAAGCTTTTACTTTTAATGAATAAAAACAGGCTTCCAGAATATAAAAGCAGAAGAAGAATATTCCACCTGAACAAGAATGTCTGCGAGGTGTGTGTCTTTGGAATGAAGGCGGAGTGCTGCGTTGAGTTCCTGGATAAACCAGGACCCTCTCTTGGTGTTTCGCATGGCTGCCGTACCTTAAGGAGCCAAAGACTAAACAGTGAGAACTCAATACGTCCAGAAGGGAAAAAACATTACAGACATAAGAGTTATACCAACAAGGCCCGTTTCTACTATTGGAACTTCTGGGTAATTTCACCAGACATTCTCTGTAGTTCTTTGGTGAGTTCTTGCTGTGTTTAGTTTCAAATTCCATCTTTCAGTTCTTTGTAAAACAAAAAAAAAGGTTTAATTACCTGCAACGTTTCGTTTGCGGCTGCAAACATCATCAGGCTGACGCCGATGGTGGCGCGTCACTTCCTTCGTTTATCTGCGGGCAGCAGAGGACGTTGTGGCCCTCTGCTGCCCGCTCTCCCCTCTCCGACGATGCAGTCCCATGCCCGATCCAATGTGTAAACTCCATCGTCCCTGTTCATGGTCCCACATCCACGTCTCCTTATCTCGATTGCTTCTTTTATCCATCTTTTGTATTTCTGTTGTTCAGTGTTTATGATCCTTGTGTTGTCCCAGTCCATTACATGGTTTTCTCCTGTGCAGTGATCTGTCACGGCTGACTTCTTTATTGTGCTTTCTGCTTCTTCTTTTGCTGTTCTCGTGTGTTTTCGACTTGCCTCTTTCTTGCACTCCTTTCTATGTTCTATTGTTCGTGTGTTGAGTTGGCGTCCGGTTTCTCCTATGCATGTTTTATTGCAGAGTTTGCATGGGATTTCGTAAACGACTCCACGTTTAAGTCCAGCTGATATCTTGTCTTTTGGGTGTACTAGTCTGTTTCTAACTGCTGTGTATGGTTTTGTTGGTGTGTTTATGTTGTGTTTTTTCATTGTTGCTCTTATTTTTTCCGTTATGCCTTTGATGTATGGTAGGGTTATCGCTGGTTTTGGTTCTTGTCTTTCTGGGTTTCTGGTTCTTTGCTTTGGTTGTTTTTTTTCTAAGGAAAACAACAAACAACAACAGAAATACAAAAGATGGATAAAAGAAGCTATCGAGATATGGAGACGTGGATGTGGGACCATGAACAGGGACTGCATCATCGGAGAGGGGAGAGCGGGCAGCAGAGGGCGACAACGTCCTCTGCTGCCTGCAGATAAACGAAGGAAGTGACGCCACCATCGGCGTCAGCCTGATGATGTTTGCAGCCGCAAACGAAACGTTGCAGGTAATTAAACCTTTTCTGTGTTTTTAAAAGAACTGAAAGATGGAATTCTCTGTAGTTTTAGGCCATCTCAGGAACAAACCTGAACTGGGGTATGTACTTGGGGCTGCATGACTCAATTTTTTTTTAAAGTCGATAGTCAAGTAATGAAAATCGAGTCGACTTCGACTAGTCATTGATGACGTCATACACCTGAGGCGGGTTGGTTCGCTGGAGTTTTTGACAATTAAAATTGCGCCCACATTTTCTAAGTTAAACACATCTCTTTTAACAACGGTAGTTTCTGCATCTTGCTTCAGCCTTCTCCCGCAAACTCACTGATGCGCCTGCAGCCTCTCGGCGTTCCTGCTGCTCTAAACATTAAAATAATTATTTCATTTTCTGTTCCTCACTTCTGATTACCTTCAATGGTGTCTGTTTGTTGCAACCAGCAGGTGCAAAAACTAACTTGTTTTTATTTGACTATTTTTCTGTCCTGCCTGTTTATTATCTTCCTGCATCTCCTCTCAATCCTAAAGAGAAACTGCTACCTGGGTTCATATATATTCACCTTATGAGTTACCTTTGAACTGCAGTTCTAAAAGATCTACCGACCGCAAGAACAGCGGAGTGCGCGCCGACCGCACCTGTGAGGTGCGTCACCGGAGGACAAAACAGGTGATGCGCTCCACTCCGCAGCAGCAAAACGCATCAGGCACAAATAAAAGACAGAAAACATAAAAGGAAATGAGCCGACATGAACGATCGCGTGTTTAATTTGTTTTTGAGGTGGTGACACCTAATTTGATGTTACTGTGGCCGTGCTCGGGACGCAGATGTCTGGAGCGCATCAACGATCAGAGCTCTGCATGCGCAAGCTGGTTAAGGTTAGGATGGGGTGAGGGGAATGTTAAATTGCAAGAGAGTAAATGTCACAGTTTGGTTAAATGTCCGTTTTATCGCAGGCGTCAGATACCGACGCGCTGGCACAGCGCGTCGCGTCCTAACGCGCAGGGGCTCGTCACCTGCTGTCTTTTCCGAGGACTGCATCTTGTCGGTCATTATCACGTGACAGCGACTAGTCGATGAAAGACATAAAAAGTCGCTACAGAGCAGTGAGGTCGACTAGTCGACTAGTTGACAACCCCTAGTATGTACTCAGAGAGGTCTGGTAGAGTCGCTGCGTGGGACTTGTGTATAGCTCATGCTGACTGGATGTATTTAGGTAGGAAATGACATCAGCAGATGTAAACATTAAATGCTCTAATTTATACCGTTTGTGATCTCACAGAGCACTGTAAAAACCAGCACGTCTTCTGGTCAAAGAACGGCACTTTTTACATCACACTTCCACCCCCCCACCCCCCCAGATAGATTAAAGTAAGGCGGACTTTGACAGAATGAAACTTGTAATGTTATTAATGTCCGTGGATGCCTGTTGGCGCTGATCAGTGACGTCACTCACAACTGAAGCGGTCGCCATACGCTCATGTCTTTGCAAAGTCCTGAAACGGACCGTTTTGTACTTAGAAACAACATCTGAGAGGACGAGCCAGTGTACTTATCCTGTCACCTTCTCGACTTCCCAGAAGTTTTCCGTAACTTCTGCAGTGGAAACACGACCAAACGTGTAAGACCAAATGCACAAGTGTGGAGTAGTAAACAGAAAAAATGCCATCAGGAATTTCCAGCACCTTTTCTTTCATTTCATTTTGAACAAATCCTGCAAAACTAATACAGGAAACAGGAAAACGTGACTAAGAAGGACATTTCCTTTGAAATAATTAATAAAATATTATCAAAGGTGTTCCAAAAGGAGCGATTTTGCTATCGCTTTAAACACGTTACTAAAACACTGCAGCAACGCCAAATCCACCGGGGGGGGGGGCAGCTTTTCTTGGCTTTGTTTGGAGGGAGGTGGAAGCTTAAATCATCTGCTTTTTCTAAATGCATCAAACTTTGTATTTTTTAAAATAGAAAAAGCTTTTGCTTGATTAAGTAAAACTACAGGACAGGTACATTTCAGATTTCCTGTATTACACCAATATCTTTTCATTTCTCATTACACAAAAACTCAAAACTTACAAATTCTCTGACCTTTGAGGGATGCGAAGCCACAGATCATGTCTGACCTCTGGGGCAACTTAATCCTGGGTCTCCTCATGTCCCCTATCTGAGTGGAGTCTGCATCCCCCGCTTCCTCCCTCCCAGCATCCCGCTGCTCGCAGCTTGGTGAGAGGGTCCTCCCCGGCCCGTCTATCTGCTCTACGCCACAGTCCAGCTCTTCTGAGGGACAAAAGGGACCAACGTAGCGCTCACGTTTAAATGTGACATAAAGCTGAAGTTCTTCTCATTAGAATCGAACCTTTGGATCTGTCTGAAACATCTACCTGAAATGTGCTCACAGTTATAGAATTACACTGTACTGTTCATTATGATGAAGTTTAATGAATTAGATTAGACATGCAACGTAAAAACCTGCAAGATAAAAACAGCCTTTTAGGCCTGTTAGTCCGACAGGAAGTGATCAGTGTACCCTCTGGTCCAGAGCATCATCAGGAACAACAGGACAAAGAGATGTGACATTTTTGAGCTGAACAGCTGATGGAGGGCTGATAAAATGCTAAATAGGGATTATTAAAGCTCCTCCATAAACTGTTAAGAAATCAGGGTATTTGCAGGTTTAAGGGAGCCAAATTTAAGACTTTTTAAGACCTTTTTTACGGCCACTTTGACCAAATTTAACAGATTTTTTAAATTAAATTTAAGCTATAATTTCCAGCTATCGCCTGGAACCGGTGCAAACCACGTCGCGAACGTGGGATTAGCCATCCAGTCACCATTAAACTTGCCCTTCCCCATGGCGCAAGCTCCCGCTAGCTCAACCAGCTAATGTGCTCATCTAAAAATAGCCCCCTTTCACAACCAACTGAATGTGCACGGTTCCACTTATGTTAACATCATACACAAAAAATGCTGAACACCAACTAGAAATTCATGAAAATTTTACAGAAATAACAGAATCTTGTTTATTGGGTCTTTGGTGTTTTAAGACCTTTGGAAACTCTATTTAAGGATTATTTGTCATTTTTAAGGATTTTTAAGGCCTTAAATTTGTAAAAGCTAATTTAAGACTTTTTAAGGACCCGCGGACACCCTGCAGAAGATTAACGATTAAACTTCATTCCTGCTCTGACCTGAACTGTTTACAAACACACATTTACATTATCGGTATCTTTACCTCCTCTGCAGGCCTGGATGAAAAACATCTTTGGTTTGTTTTGAAGCAGCGGACAGCGTGCGTTGTCAAAGGCCTCAAACACCCAGTCCAGCTGAAAGAGACCAAGTAATAATGTCATAAAACACATTTATTCCCTCTTAAAAGACACTTATTGATGAAAAAACCAACACTCACCTGAAGAAGCTGCCCGTCAGTACCATACACGGCTCCTTCCACTCCGTGGGAGAGCAGACACACCACACAGCTGCTCAAAGTCCGGTGCTCTGGCTTCCTGCAGAACGCCTCCATGCACTCCCTCATTTCCTGCACACAAATAAAGAGAAGTGTTGCTGAAACACACTCAGACTTAGCTAAAGGTGTTTTTGCTTTGAGCAGCAAAGCAGGTAAACCAGGCAGAACAAACAACATTTTGCTGCATCAATTCACCAACCGTACTAAAATATATACGCCCATAAAACCATCTTCAAGTTCAAGATACACAACTTACGGGCTCGACACACGGGAGGCGACAAACGACCGCGAAATTTGTCGTTGTCGCTTTTATTACCTGACACACGGGAGGTGATCCGCGGCAGCGGCCAGCGGCAAAGCCGGCAAAATCGAAACTTCCGCTGTTTTGTTTGGCTGTGTCAGGTTGGAGGGAATTGTCCCCCAAATTCCACTACCTCCGCTCCGGTCCGCCCCCGCCTTCCGCAGCCGCTCGCTTCCGAACTCAATTTTTACTGGTACCCGCTCTACAACGGCTCCGCTCCGGTGCGGAGACCTGAGGGGGGCAAACAAGCATGCGCGGGATTTTCGAGATCTTGCGATACAGTCCGAGCAATAAACGCGGAAGTTAGATCCAAACACCCGTTGTGTGGGAGAAGCATCGAAATGAACTGTTTAATCTGCCCATCAGTTGTGTTGAGAGATCAGCAGTGTTTGGATCAACAAAGGGTGACTACTTTGATAGTGGAAACTGTATTTATGGCTTACTTTTGTGCATTTAAACTTCAGCCGCCACTGATAGTTGTTAAAAGTTGTTAAACCTGTGCAGATGAAACAAAAAAAGCCTTTTGTTTATCGATTTATTGTGAAAAACGGAAGTTGTGCTTGCTCCTTTTCCTGTTGGGCGGTTGTGATTTCTGTCCATTTACTGCGGAGGTGCTCCGGCGTCCGGCGAAAATAGGATCGATTCTATTTTTGCCGGACGCCGGAACAGAGGGCGCCGCACGGCGCCGCACTGCCGGAGCACGGCCGCAGTAGTGGAATTGCTCTGATTGACTAGAACGGGACCGATTTTGCTCCGGCGTTCGTGTCGGAGCGGAGGTAGTGGAATTTGGGGGTAAGGATATTTAAGAGGTTCAGAGTTAATAAAGTGGTAGATATGATGTTTCACAAGGTGCTGCTAGAGTTATGTGAAATCTTACTTGTGATTTTACTATAAAACATAATAATAATCAACTTCTCCTCCATGTTTGCTCGGAGATGCACGGAGCATCCTGTCCGCTCATTGGTCAGTGAATGAAACCTCCGTTGATTGGTCCTCGTCCAAGCGACAGCGATGAAAAGTTGAAAATGTTTCAACTTCCTGGGATCGCATCGCTGGGTCGTCCGTGCACGACACGTGCACGAGCGCAAAATTTCACACGCACGTTTTTCACGTTTCGCTTGGTAGGAGGGAGACCCGCGATTATCTCTTTGTCGCGCATGTCTCATTGAAAATGAATTGAGGAGAGGCGATGTCGCCTCCCGTGTGTCGAGCCCATTACTCTTCTTTCAGCTTGTTTTCCTTTTAGGTTTATTTTCTAAAAAGAAATTAATTAAAAAAAAACAATAATCCTATATTTTCACCTGAGCGGTAAGGTCTCTGTGGACACTGGCGATGTAGTCCAGCTCTGTGAAAACCTTCCTGAGGACCTCTTCATCCACCTCACCTCCCTTCCTTCGGTCGAGGTCGACAGCAGTACGAGAGTCAAAGGTCACGTTACTGATGATCAAGGCCAAGCCTCGAGGAGAAGACGTCATACTGTAAGACTGGGAAAAAGGGAGTCAAACTGAAAAAAACGTATATATTTAAACAAATATGAAGAAATCCAACTTCTCTAAAACTATTTTTACCAACAGATAAAATTCTCAGACGATCTGTTTATTCTCGCTTATTGTCCGTGGATAAAAGAGTAAAACATCATGCAGAGCTGACGCTTAACAGAGGTCGTGTACCTGCTGGCGGCGAGAGAAATAAAAGTCAGATGTGCACGGGAGAACGGGAGTGTTGATGATGGGACTGTCGGCATACAAACTATACTCCATAGACTCTGCAGCAAACAGACAACACACACAACTTAAAACAGGAATCTGTCACAAGGCAAAGCTCACCAACAGCCCAGCTAGCTGTGCTGTGGCAACAAACATTGTGCTTCATTGTTGTGAATGAGTCACTGGAGAGGCGTGGCATGCAGAGACGGGCAGCATCAGCCCAGCCCCTACCGTAATCTCTACAATAGAGGCAGAATAAGAAAACTATGTGCATAACTTGGATAATAAAATCAGATTTTAAGCGATCTTTTCTAAAACTGGACATGGAATAAAGCCTTCTTGTCCAGACACTGCTCTGTCGTCTCCAAGGAAACAGACACTAACAACCTTGGACACATAAACACAGACGATAAAACTCACCATGATGTGTTCTTGCTCTCTTTACTGCAGACTCCTCCTGAGTTGGAAGAGGAAGCGGAGACCTCTCAGTTCTCTGAAATGTAAAATCGTTAAAGACTCAGCATCAGCTGCTAAACATGAGTGACACTAAAAAAAGATGAAAACATTAACTGTGAGATCGGTAATTTTAAACCAACTCCTGTCAGCAGGGCCTCTGGTTGAGTAATAAGAGCTACACATTTAGCTGCTGATCCCTTTCTCTTGTCTCTGTCCCCCTCCCTGACCAGAGTCCATCCTGTTAATGACGACTCTGAGCATACTTGGCTGCTCTGAAGGGAATGATGAGATGCTTCTCACTTCACTCATTTCCTCTCTATCTAATGAAAACACCTGCAAAAAAAAGGAGCACATTACTGAAGTCTAGATCATTCTACATTAGCGATGTCCCGTTCCGATATTGATATCGGTCCAAAAACAATGTATCAGATTATATCAGACTGCGTCAAAAATCTCCAATATCAACAGTACATTCGGCTTTAAATTCTATTCCAGCAATTCTATCCATCAGTGCCCAGATCCAGCACGCAAAATCCACATGATCAGAGCATTGTGTGCTAGTGTAACGGAATGAAATGACTGTTTTCCCCCTCCTCTGCACAGGACTAGTCTGCATGAGATATGGTCTCAAGGTCTCATGCATTCGCTCTAACCTGCTTATTTTCAGCTCAGCAGAAGAATGAACTCTTTTCTTTTAATTAATCAAAGAACTCTATTTTAATAAAGCTAATCCAACCAAGTATTAGTCAACAAATAAGATGGGACCGATCTGTGAAATTAAAATATTAATTACTTTATTATAATCCTATAGAATATAAAGGTACTGTGACTTTAAATGTTCCAACAGGACTGATTTCACGTAGCGTTAAAAGACATGGCACATTACTTTCACTGATCCAATCAGAATCTGCCAGATCTGACGGAGGCGGGGTTTTGATGTTGTTTGGTAACTCTGTCAACTTTTCATTCGACCATAAACCAAAACATCCGAAGTATAAAACTATGCCCACGTGATCTCTAACGCCGGTTCAAAGCGTTACAGAGAAGTTGTCGGAGTGGCCAATCCGTAACTTTCCTCTTTAACCGAAAGAACAACGACAAGCTGGAAAATTTGTTTTTGTTCCAACTGCTACAACGGTTCCTTTCAGAATAAAAGCTGAACCATCAAGACAGGCTCGGGTCTCACCAGACGCCAACAAATTGTCGCGACCTGCAAGTATCTCACAGACTGGACTGATCGGAACCGCTACTTTTCCTACCGGCTCGATTCCAGAGAAGGTCAAGCTGGACCTCGACATTCCTGATCTAAAGGGGACTTCCTGAAGGGTAGGTAGACCGGCAAATGGCGTCGAATTATGAATCTCCTAACCAAAGCTTAACGCGAAGACATCACCTTCAGTTCCCATCAGAACGAATCGCAGCTTCGGATTTGCTGGTTCTGATCAACATCACACGTCATCCCATTCACCGTCTCATCCACTTTAGTTACACCATACATTTAGTGCTTAAAGTCAGTCTAGTTTAATTTGTTAGTAATAAACTTCTTAACTTTTAAACTTGACTCTCTCTCTTCTGTTGTCTCTGAGTGAATACGAAGCGGTTATCTAATCCCTGCATTAAAAAGATCCAACCTTCTGGTTTAAATAACCTCACAGATCCGTAAGGTTTCATATTTCCTATGGAATCCTACGCCTTATGGCTCATTAAATAACATGTAATTTAAATCATTACACTAGCAAAGTAGCAAGGAACAATGTCGGCCATGTGGCTGTCTAGCATAATAGGATACACCATGAAGTTCTTCAAGAAGGAATGTCAGTTTTAATCTTGTGATGTTTTACTAGATTTTTTTGCTCTTCGCTCACCTTTCTCTCCAGTGGCCCTGCCTTTCTCTCTGGCTCTTTCTCAGGCTGAAAACTCTACGAGCAGAAAACTCAGTCGTAAAGCATTTCTGCGATGAAAACTTTAGACTTAAGGTTAATTTTTTTTGTTTGTTTTTTTGCAGAAACGTATGCTGATTAACAGCAAGACACATACTCACATCCACATGAGTCTCTCTGTCGTCCTTCTCGAGCTCTTGTGTAAGCAGGTCACACAGGTGCTGCTGCTCCGTTACTCGGAGTGCGGAGCAGAAGCTGCTGAAGGCTCTGGGTCCTCGCTTTGGCAGGAGAAGAGTCAAACGAAAGCTGCGTTTCTGAGACGTTGGTTCAGCCTAAAGTCAGAAGAAACGAATAAGATGTAGGGTAAACAACTGATGAGGAACTGAATCGTTTGTGCTTCTTATATTTTTCAACACTGTGTTTCACTGCTAGAGGTCATTACAATTTACAACTAAACCTCACTCTTCATGCTATAAAAGTTTGGTCTGTTAGCAGTTTATATGATATTTTGTAGTTAATTTAATTTTTGAACAGGTTAAGTTTTAGAAATTAATTAGCTTCATTATTCATTTTAACATATTTGAATGATGTAGCTGCATTTGATCCATATCTATCTATCCATCTATTAGGGATGTAAGAAAATATCGATATGGCAATATATCGTGATATTTTTTCCTGCGATTATTACATCGATATTCAAAAGCCGCGCATCTAATTCTTGAAAGAATTTACATGCAAACATTTGTGTATTTTCTTTCGTTTTGTGCAATTCAATCGCCACCCGCTAGTTGGCAGCAGTGTGCAACGGGTTTTGTTTCTACCATTGAAATCCCTCCATCATGGTTCAGATACCTCACGTTAAACATGTTACGTATCAGTTTGGACTGTTTATTGAACATTCTTACAATAAACTCAGTAAAAAAATTGCTTGTAACGTCTGACTGAATGTATCGCAATATATCGTGATATATCATATCGTCTCCCCTGTATCGTGATACGTATATCGCCAGAATTTCAAAAATATACATCCCTGCTATCATCTATCTATCTATCTATCTATCTATCTTAAAATATAATTACAAATAACAGACTTTGTTACATTATTCACTAATGTCTTCCTATCCATTTGGGTGCACATTTTGATAAATGAGTCTGTTAATTTGCTTCGTTTTATTTATTTTTTCTTTCACATGACTTGTTTTTCCAGATGTTGGATTTTTTATTTTATTTAAACACTAACATACACAGTAGGAGTAGAATATACTGGGCCGATGTTCATCATTTTTTAATACATCTCATTGGTCAAAATACTAGAGCCAATTTAAAGTCAGGCACATCTGCAGGCATCCCAGTGCTGCTGTCAATTTTTGTTTAAATGAATGTTACTAAAAAACCTGTTTAATAAATGACATAATGCAATATTTTCAGCTGACATTTATTTTTATTTACCTGTTTTGTTTACTTAAGTCTTGGTCTGTTTATTCATTTGATTAACTTTGGAGAAGTGCTTGAATTTAACACTGAGTAGTGCGCAACAATAAGATTCAAGAGTCTTAAATTCAGTGTTTAAAAGCTGATTCGGGTTCAGTGATGTTGTATATCAGTTGTTATTAGTGACATTCTAGCATGCAAATAAGATGGCAATGGCCATCAGCTGACCTACATATCTGCATCTGTAGTAAAAACATATCGGTTGATCTCTATTACGTAGATTATGTTTGAATAATCACATTATTGCATCAGATGTGTGAAATAATCACATCCAGTGTGTTCAAAAAGTCCTATTAACCAGTTAATAATTGTAACACACCAGGAAGCAAACTCGAGAGGCAGATAGAGCCTCTGTTTAGTTGCTCACATACCAAGATAGTCTCTGCCATGCTCTCAGTTAGGATGTTGTCTGCCAGCAGCGACTGTACGAGCGCCTCATCCACCATCAGCTGCTTGCACAGAGCATAAGAGCTTTTCCGAATAGCCAGCCTGTGCTGCTCCAGCATGCCGCACCCCAACATTATCCTGCAACACACCGTTTACTGATGACAACACACGCATCATAAAACCACGACGCTGCGCCCAAACAGCTCCCCGTTTACGCATTACCCTCTTTAAAAGCTATACCCAGACTTGTTGCGTTACATGTATTTGACATAACATGAGAATAAAACATCGTGCAGCTTAGTAAACAATATGTGCGTTAAGTTAAACGAAATTGGGAATCGATAGCAAACAATAAATAAGTGCCGAGTGGGGAATATTCGGTCTGTGTTTGAAAAAGTCCAAGTTTAATTTAAAAGCAATGTTCAAACGAACCTTGTAAAGGCAGCTAGATTCCGATGCTATAATGCTAGCTAGCCATGCTCTCAGCAGCTAACTTCGAGTGTTTCTGCATAGCTTTAATTTAATTCTTTATAAACCTACATCCTACCGTTGTTTTGTTTCTGCAACCGGCTACCGAGCCGCCAGAGGAAAATATTGGTCTTTTCGCCTTTCACCCAGCTTCAACTGTCTTAAAATCTTTTTTTTCTCATCAGATCAACTTCCGCGGGGAACGTTACACGCAATAAATGAAGGCGGAGCTACATGACATTTTTTTGGAAATCTAACCAATCAGCACTCCGCGAATTTTGAGTAACGTTACTAGAAGCCAATGAAAAGAGTCATAACAGGCAGTTCCTCCAACTATAAACTGCTCTAAAAAAGAGAAAGTGGAGTTTTGAATTTGAATAGTTGACAAATAGTCACAAATCTATATCTGACAGATGGGATTTCAGGGAAAAGAAGATATTTTACAAACTTTCAAAAACAGCGAATTCAAGAAACTTTCTTTCAGGATTATAAACATGAATTAAAAATTATAAAAACGCTTTTTTTGATTGACACCAAAATATCATGACCGTAAGACGACTCCTGATTGTTTTTTTATTTTTTTATTTATATATTTTTTACTATTTATTATGCACTGTACTGTAAATATATATTCATTTTTGTAATTTCCATTACATTAGTTAGTTTGCTCATACTTCTGTTCATATTTTCCACTGGACATCTTATCTGTGTTTTTATACCGTTATGCCATGTAATTTTTAAAACTTGTATTCTGTCGTTTAGCTGCTCACTTGGATTATTTTCCAAGGTCAAAGATGAAAAAGCATGTGAAAAAGTCACATGTTAAGGGTCTTGAAATAGTTTTGCTTTTACTTTCACTTAATGAAGACACTATGTATTAGTGTCACTCCCATGTGTGATCAACACATTGACACTTTTAGTTCAACTTTTATTATTAGCTTTTAGTGCTTTATTATGTCCAAAAAAGATTTCAAATCAAATCAAACTTTATTTATAAAGCACGTTTCATGCACAGGAAGCAACACAAAGTGCTCAACAGGTTAAAATGACCCATATAACCCACATTCCCTCCCTTTCCCACACTTAAAACAATTATGACACCCCCAATCCACAAATCATTCCCAGCCGCACACACACACACACACACACACACACACACACACACACACACACACACACACACACACTCGTACACATAACCCAATAAAAGACCACAGTAAACACTAGGCTGAGCTCAGATTGGACAGGTAATGAAAGACACGCCATCAAGGGAGCCATCTGCCTCGACAGCAGCAGATCCAAGGCAGCAGCCAAGACACCAAACCAAGGCCCCCTGGGAGGGAGGGTGGTAACCCCTACCACTACCTGGGCACTACCCTAGGAGCGCCCCAGCCGCCGCCACCGACCACCAGTCCCGAGGCAGAGGGCTCCACAGAGGAAACACTGGAAGGATTAAAATAGGTAACATGTAAAATAACAAGAGCTAATGTGGATAGTAAAATACCCAATAAAATGTGATTTTAGAAATAAAACAACATAGATGTGTAACAAAACAGTAATTAAAATAAATAAGTAAAACAAGCAATGCAATAAATAGTAATCAGTTAAAAGCTAAACTAAAAAGGTGGGTCTTGTGCCTGTTCTTAAAAACATGAACGTTCTCTGCGGACCTGAGATCCTCCGGCAGCCCGTTCCAGAGGCGAGAGCCGTAATAACTATAAGACGCCTCGCTGTGAGTGTGAGTCCTGACTTTAGGAATGACAAGGAGACGGCTGCCAGAGGAGCGCAGGGACCGCGAGGGTGCATATGGTAAAAGCAGTTGTGAGAGATAAGACAGGCTAATACCATCAAGACACCTAAAAACCATTAAAAGTATCTTAAAATCGCCCCTGAAACATGCCAATGCAGTGATTCTAAAACCGGGGTGATGTGCTCCTGCTTCCTGGTCTTCGTCAGGACACGAGCTGCCGAGTTTTGTAAAAGTTGTAGTCCTGAAGTACTTTTTTTGGGAAGACCCTGAAAGCAGGGCATTGCAGTAGTCAATTCTACTGGTGATGAAAGCATGCATCATCGTCTCCGTGTTGGCCTGAGAGAGAATGGGGCAGACTCTGGCGATGTTCTTGAGATGACTTAAATGTTATGAACAAATAATTGATAAAGGTGTGGTTTACTTATTTATTCAATACATTTGCAGTGTGCTCTAGAGTAAATCAATGCCTTATGAGTCATTGGGTCACTTATGATGCTCCTGTTCTGAGATGCAACAGTTTGCTAGTGCAGAGTTGGGCTGAAAACAGCTGGATTACTCATTATTACTAATAAGATGCACACAGCTCGCTTCTGATTGGTTTAGCCATGTTGCAAAGTCACTATCACCAAGACACTGTAACGTGAGGAAATATGGGTTTTCTGTCACAAAGGTGGTGTTGGACTCAGCTGGGTCAAAGCTGGGTCGCTGAGAACTTTCACCCACAGATTGAGACCTTTGCAGACATGAAGTCTGCAAGAGTCTGCTGGAAACCATAACATCTGCCACCTGCAGCTTTGTGCCAGAAGATGTTGTTCCCACAGAAGATGTTGTTCCCATGGAAGTAGTCATAACATAACAAGTCTTAAACTTCCTTTCTTGATTTTAATGTTAAAGAATAATCATTATCAGTTTGCTCATTATAAATGTGTTTTAATCAAATGAATGATTATTATGCTTTGGGTAATTATAATGGATTAATGAATCCATACTTAATTAAATAATGTTTGAGGATGTTTGTTGACGACCTTCACACACACTCAAGCACACACCCACTCAAACACACCCACACACAGATTCTCACAGTAAACTCCAAAACACATTTGCTGACGTACATGTTTTGCTTTGAGAAGAGAAAGGCTTTTGGTAAGTTTCAGTTTTATGATTCAGTTCGTGTTGGACAACGAAAGAGAGAGGACCTGAAGAAACCAAAGGGGGGACAGAGCCGATCGGCTCATTTCTCCCCCCCCACCCCACCACCCCCCCACCACCACCACGCTGTTCCTGTCAGCCAGACAGAATAGCTGAATCGCAACTTCTAACGCAGACTCATACAGAGTCTTTTGATTTCTGAGTGAACTAAACTTAACAAAACGCATCTGCAAACGTTTTTCCATCGACGTGTACCGCGGGCATCTCTGGACCGGGCCGCGGACACCTCCGTCTCCTCTGCCAGCCGCTGGTGTCACCTGGATGAACATCACCATCCTCTGGCGTCCCGGATCTAAAAGAGGGTCCGACTTTCGGTGAGGCAGAACACGGTAGTTAGCGTTTGATGCAGTTTTTCAATAAGACCTAAGTTTATCCAAACCATCACTTCACTCAGACACCTGTTTCTTCCTGAAGCAAAATCAGACTCACACACGCATTCATGTCACGACATTCTCAATCTTCATAAATTCACCAGAAGGTCTATTTGAGCAAGAACAGCATATCAATTGTTAAAGATTGTCCCACAAAGTTGCCAATGTTGATTGTTATTTCCTGTTTGTCAATTTCAAAATCATTAGTTTAATTTGAAGAATTAAAACTTTTAATTGTCAAACTTGTTTCTTCATTGAACTGAAACACAGACCCACGGATATTATCGACAGTTTATCGATGAAAACAACCTTTGAGTCTTCTTAAAACTATACAATTTGGTTATTAATTTAATAAAATTAATATCACAAATTAAAATGTAGAATGGTTCCTCTTTCATAAAAGAGCATAAACCATAACGCTACAACACTATCCACTCTCTCTCTCTCTCTCTCTCTCTCTCTCTCTCTCTCTCTCTCTCTCTCTCTCTCTTTCTCTTTCTCTCCCTCTCTCTCTCTCTCTCTCTCTCTCTCTCTCTCTCTCTCTCTCTCTCCTCGCTGCAAAAAAAGCCTTCCTGTGGAACTCTTCTGTATTCGTTCTGTGTGTTGATTCATAATAATTTTCTTTTTTCTTATTTAACACAGCGCAGTAATTAGATGTTTTACCTTCGGCTGAGATGTATTTTTGTTGTTCTGTATTCATGATATGTGTGCTGTCCCTATCCATTACGTGATTTTTCCTCGTGCAGTGGTCCGTCACCGCTGATTTTTTCATTGAACTTCCCGTTTTGCTGCTCTTGTGTGCCTTTGTTTTGTTTCTTTCCCACCCTCCTTTTGATGTTCTGTCTTTCGTGTGTTGAGTTGGCGTCCTGTTTCTCCGATGTACGTTTTCCTGCCGTCCTGTGGGCCGGAGCAAGCCAAGATGAGCGAGGCCGTGAATGCAAATTCACAGTGTGACATAGATATGTGAGGATTTTCAAATCCGAGCACTTTAACTTCTATTTTCTGTCAGATGCAAACACAGGAGATGGATGTAGAAGGCCATTTTCACGTTGAACCTGCATGAAAAACTCGAAAAACTCAGAGTGACCAATTATAATACGAAATAATAACAAAAAATGGTTTTTCAGTCCTTTAAAGAGCAAGACACCCCCTACCAGAGTCTAACTCCACTCTCACTTCATGTTTAAAAAATGCAACTAATGCTGTTGCCTGGCAGACCGAGAGGGCGGAGCCGCTAACAAATACACACAGGCTCACCACAGCATTGTGACATCATAATGTACCAGTTTACATCATAGCATACCTCTTAGCCAATAGCGGTGGCAGATTTAAATTCAAATACAGTGCAGAGGTTTTACCTGACAATGGCACAACACTGACAGTTTTAGGCAGAAAATTAAAATTTTTAACTAAAATGCACTAAAGTGCAAAACTATTGACTACACGTGTCTGCAGCACGATTAGACACTCGTTTATTTAGTTTATCAGGGGGAAAAAGTTTATTTGGGGGTGACTTGCTCTTTAAAAAGTAATCTGCGTCACTTGAGATTATGACATATGTGCAAAGCTTATTTCTGCATTTTCCTTTCCTTGCATTTGTCCCTTTCCTTCCCTTCCTGACGTTCTCCTACTCTCCACCCTCCCCTGCTGGCTACCTCCTCACCCTCACTGTGTGCGCTATCAATAATTGATGATTCGCACTGACTCAAAGGGTAACAGGGCTGGGTGGGAAAAAATAAAACGTCTCACTCACTCCTTTATTCATTTACAGTTCTATCTTTAAGCAAACCCACCATCGGCTGCTAGAGTGTTATTGTGGGATCAGTGACACGAAGTCAGCCTGGCGGCGTCTGTTTCGCAGCCAGAGCGGGCTGCTCGTGTGACGTGAGTGGGTTAATGCCGCTGGTTGTCTGACAACAGGACAGAGGGAGGAAAGGGAAGCTTAAATGAGTGAGTGGCAGGGGGGCAGAGAGGAGGAGGAGGAGGAGAGATGGAATGATAGAGTGAATTAATTCAACCTTAGCCAGCCCTGATTGACTCAGAGACAAACTGGCATGCACAAACACTCAGAGTGACACCAAAGACATGGAGAGAGAGAAGAAGAATGACATGTCCTTCTCTAGAAAGAGAAGCTTCACCTTTGGGGCTTATGGCAGGTGAGTCACCTCATAAACAAAAGGTTGATTCAGATTCTCTTCATTCTGGATGAACGATTGAACAAGAATGATGTGTTTGTTTTAATTTAAGAGGATTAGCTGTTCTCACTTCCTTGTTTATAGTGTGGATAGAATCACCTGTGGGAATGAGACAAGGGGAGGCTTTGTTTCCCTTTTAATTGCTGCTATTTTGAGCTTCATTTGAGTGTGAGAGGAAGAGGAGGAGGAGGAGGAGGGGTGTGTATTTGTCTTGTTGTGTAAACCAACCTGTTGCTCAGACCTGACTCTGTGGAGGACAACCAACTGGACTGTCTGGACTCTCCAGCCGGTGACAGCAAGCCTTCCCTTTCTTCCAGCAACACCCAGAGGGTATAAAAGCCTCCCTTCTTTAATTCCAGTTCCATGAATTTCATTCATTATTACCTGCACAGGTGAGAAGCCCTGGTTTGGTTTAATCTTTTACACATTCACACCCCTGTGTTGTGTTTTTCCTGCCCTTGACTGCGTCTGTGTGACGCCTGCTGCCTGGTTTCCGTGTCAGGAAGCAGAGCTGTTTGAAATCATAGCGAAGCTGCAGGTGAGTTTCAGCGTGATCGATCGTATGCATCAGCTGATGTCTGAGCAGAGCGGCGTCTCCTTTCATGCTTTCGTCCATCAGGGCAGCAGGATCGATGAGCAGAGATGTGAATTCCCGCCTCCTTTGAAGGTTAGCAGCCAAAACAAACTCAGTAAGCAGGTCACACGTTGGTTTGTGTGCTAGCTCATCTCCGTGTGTTGTAGTGCCAGCTTTTAACCATCGGGTCGGATCTGCCCCTCATCCTCCCCTCTAAACTGGGAGGCTACTGGGTCGACCCCCCTCTGGAGAAGCTCATAGACATGAGTCCCACCTCCACCCACCAAGGCCTTGACCTGGAGAGCTACGACATCATGGAGAGAGATGCAGAGGCCAAAATCTACCACGAGTGTTTCCGCTCACGGGTAGGCTTTCACCAAAAGGTCTGAATGAAAGTGTGTCGTGGGCGGATGTTCATGTTTTCTCACCCTCTTCTCTCCAGCATCACCACTCCTTCACAGCAGTGGATCCATCGCTGGGGTCGCTGGTTCTTTCCGTCTGCTTGGAGGAAGAAGAGAATCGACTACGGGTGATACTAAGGTTCACATTTTGGACACTTTTATGTAAAATTTTCTTAAATCTGTTTAGTTTCTGATCGTTTTCCCTAAAGACAAGGGGATTTATTTTACATTTTTCTGTTGAAAATTTCACTTTACAGTAAAGTTTGACATATAAATGAATCAAGGACAACTTTATTTACACATCAGTGGTTCCTAACATTTTTCACGAGGACCCCCTTTCCAATGTCCAAGACAAGCCCTATAACCACAACTCCTACCAATGCATGCAATTAAACAGGCATACAGAGTTATGCCTCTTACAGAGTTTTCATTGTACTATTGGGTGTGTTATCTTGTGTTTAAAAATGCAATTTTCACAAATCTAATCTTGGTAACCTCACGACCCCAGCATAGGCAAAACTGTGGGGACCCCAGGTTAGGAACCACCGCCTCAGATGACTTCTGAAAGCGGCAAACCCAGAAATAAAAAGAGTTACATCTTCATTTTAATTTAATGAAGCAAACCCTTTTTAAATCTTAAATTTTAAAATAAATTAAAACAATTCTGAACTTTTATGGGTTCTGTACTGTTAATAAGAGAAATTACTAAAATATTGTTAATAAGAGAGATTACTAAAATTCTGGTTTATGCTCAGATTATTCTTTTGGACTAATGGTCTGAATATATGATATTTGAATATTGTTGATACAGATATATATATATCTATAAAATCTTAATTTCAGTTGAAAGTGTCTGGAAGAGGATTAGGACCACTAAAAAATAATTAATTCTGACTAACACAGAATTAATTCTCAGAAGTCAAAAATCAGAATTCTAAGATTAAAGAGCAAGTCACCCCCTACCAGAGTATTACTCCACTTCCTGTTTGAAAAATGCAACAAATGCTGTTGCCTAGCAGACCAAGAGGGAGGAGCTGCAGACACTGACATTGTGACTTTGGATGGGTACCTTTGACATTTGAATCGATTCGGTACTAATTCCCGGTACCCACAAATCGATACCGGTACTTAACGGTACCAATTTTTGATACTTTTGAGTGTTTATTATTTTAATTCTCTTTTATAATTAAATATATATTTTTCTCAATATATAACAATATTTGATAAATATCACGATAAATAACATTAATCTGTTTTTATTTTAACATCGTCCTTGTAGTTTTATAAGCTGATAATTAAACTGAAGCAAACATCTTTACTGTGAACTAAATTTACTGTGTATCTTCATTCCTTTGGCCGTCTTTTTTCATTTGATTTTTCCTACTGGGAAGTTAGAATTTCCGAGGAGAAAGCGAACGCACCATTAGCTGATAACAACGGTGGACATGGAAGCTAACATATCAAGCTAACGTTATCTTAAACAGTTTATTTAACTGCTGGAGCAGATTAAAACGATGATACCTTACACTTAGATCGTTGTTGCTGGTTTCATCTTCACCCAATCACCCGTCGCATTTAGTAAAGTGAAGCCAAACTTTAGAGCGCGTTCATGTTCTTCTAGTCGGAAATTCAGAGTTCCGAGGAGAAAGCGAATGCACCATTATCGAAACGGAAGCTAACAAATCAAGCTAACTTTATCTTAAACATTTTATTTACCTACCGGAGCAGATTAAGATGAGGATGTCTCACTTAGATCGTTGTCGCTGGTTTCATCATCACCCAGTTACCCATCACATTTAGTGAAGTGGACCCAAGCTTTAGCGTGCGTTCTTTCTACCATGCTGCTCTGTTTACAACTGGTTCGCAGCGAGCGACGACATAACGCTCTTGCGCATGCGCAGCTGTCTTGGCAAGTTCTCGTTATGAAGGACAGGTACCAAAACGAGGCACCGTTTGAAATGACGTGAATCTGTGCTCGGTCGGTACTATGGAATTCGGTCAGTACCTTAAAAAGAACCGAATTCGGTACCCATCCCTAATTGTGACATCATATGGTATCAGCTAACACTCTAGGGTACCTCTTAGCCAATAGCGATGGCAAATTTAAATTCAAATGCAGCGCAGAGTTTTAACCTGACAACGGCACAACACTGACAGTTTTAGGCAGAAAATTTTAATTTTAACTAAAATGCACTAAAGTACAAAACTATTGACTACACGTGTCTGCAGCACGATTAGACCATCGACATATACATATTAGACACACATTTACATAGTTTATCAGAAAAAAAGTTGATTTGGGGGTGTCTTGCTCTTTAAAGCTGTTGTAGCGAAACTACAGAACAATCTAGCTTTAAAATGCAGACCCTCTCACCCCTCTCATCAACTATCATCCCTGGGCCACAACTGCCGGAACCAGAAACCCACATTGCCAGAGGAAACAAGAAACACCATTCGCTGTTTTCTAGGTCCAAGCTTCTGTTGTTGTATGTGACTTCAAATGGTGTTTTTCTTTTTGGGACTCTGGTAGTTTGTCCTCAAGTTGAAGTGGTAGCAGCCGGCTGTTTCTCCTTCTCTGACATTATTGCGCTGCAAATTTTTCACACCAGTTGTGTTCTGTGGCTAAATCCGTGAGTAATAATGAATGGAGGACCCGGGCTTATACAGAAGTTTGATGGTTTGGTGAGACCAACAATGGGATAGTTAAATAGCTGCTTTTGGTCCAAGATGTTTTATTGGCTGAGATTTTTAGACAAATGCAAGAGAACCACTTCTTTAATGTTTTTATTTTTAATCTCCACAAAATACTTATGGCTGTACTGTAACACTGTAATGAGGTGTAAAAAATGTTTTAAGCTAGCTTGTTTTCCAGATTTGCCATTGCAGCTTTAAAGTCTGAATTCTGAGATTAAAGAGCAAGTCACCTTCAAATCAACCTTTTTTTCTGAGAAACTACATAAAGCGTTACTAATCATGCTGCAGACACGTGTAGTCAATAGTTTTGCACTTTAGTGCATTTATGTTAAAATTTTAATTTTTGCCTAAAACTGTCAGTGTTGTGCCGTTGTCAGGTAAAAACTCTGCACTGCATCTGAATTTAAATCTGCCACCGCTATTGGCTAAGAGATACCCTAAAACGTTAGCTGGTACCATATGATGTCACAATGCCGTTGTGAGCCTGTGTGTGTGTGTGTGTGTGTGTGTGTGTGTGTGTGTGTGTGTGTGTGTGTGTGTGTGTGTGTGTGTGTGTGTGTGCGTGTGTGTGTGTGTTTGTTAGGGGCTCCGCCCTCTCGGTCAGCTAGGCAACAGCATTTGTTGCATTTTTCAAACAGGAAGTGGGAGTGACAATACTCTGGTAGGGGGTGACTTGCTCTTTAAAGTAAGAAATGTGCCACAGAGATCATCAATAAAAGTTATGTTATTGTTTTTTTTACACAGAATGAAGGAGTGCTCTCTGCATGGAACGTTCTCCGTGTCACTTTTTCCCAACATGCCATCTGCTGTAGAATTAGCAAAGGTACAAATAATAAAGAACTATTTTGTAAAAACATGTAAAGACAAGTTGTAATTTTACAATTAGCAGTGTGTCTCACAAAGTTGATATGTTTATTGTATACTACAATGTGTATACATGTGTTAATATGTGTGAAAAAGGTTCTCGGCTCCTTATAAAAGCTGTTTAATTGAGATTTATTAAGAAATCCCCTTATTTTATAGATGCTTTGTGATAAAGTGACTGTCTCAAAGTTTGATGTGGTCAGCTACCTGAAGGTAATGCTCCAAAATACCAAATTTAGTCACTGACAGAAAATGTCAGGCAACACTCATCCCACTCATCCCCCCAGGCTCCAGACCTCATCAGAACATTTGATGAACACAGAGTGTCTTCTAATTTCAAGTTTGGTGTCATTTACCAAAAAGAAGGGCAGGTAATCCTACAATTATTTATTATAATGACAAATTTGGACATGACACCCACCCTCTCTTTGATAATACGTCTCTCTCTCTCTCTCTCTCTCTCTCTCTCTCTCTCTCTCTCTCTCTCTCTCTCTCTCTCTCTCTCTCTCTCTCTCTCCCTGTAGCTAACAGAGGAGGACATACTGAGCAACAACGAGGAGAGCGAAGAGTTTAAAGACTTCCTGATGATCCTGGGAGAAACTGTTCGGCTGCAGGGATTCACAGGGTCAGACGCTTGTAGTTAGAAAGTGAAAAACAGATTTATTTATGTCGGCCGCACGTAAACTCAACTGAAAATATCTGCAACAATTTTACGAAGATTACACAAAAATGATATTGTGTTGCCTCTCCGATTCAAGTCAAGTATTAATGTAATTTAAATGCTAGAAATATATTAATTATCAGCTTAAAGAGCAAGTCACCCCTTACAAGAAACGTACTTCACTCCCACTTCATGTTTGAACAATGCAACAAATGCTGTTGCCTAGCAGACCGAGAGGGTGGAGCCACTAACAAATACACACACTCACGACATTGTGACACCATAATGTACCAGTTTACATCATAGCATACCTCTTAGCAAATAGCGGTGGCAGATTTAAATTCAAATGCAGTGAAGAATTTTTACCTGACAACGGCACAACACTGACAGTTTCAGGCAGAAAATTTAAATTTTAACATAAATGCACTAAAGTGCAAAACTATTGACTACACATGTCTGCAGTACGATTAGACACGCATTTATATAGTTTATCAGAAAAAAAATGTTGATTTGGGGGTGACTTGCTCTTTAAAGAGCAAGTCAACCCTTACAAGAAGCGTACTTCACTCCCACTTCCTGTTTGAAAAATGCAACAAATGCTGTTGCCTAGCAGACCGAGAGGGTGGAGCCACTAACAAATACACACACTCACGACATTGTGACATCATAATGTACCAGTTTACATCATAGTATACCTCTTAGCCAATAGCGGTGGCAGATTTAAATTCAAATGCAGTGAAGAGTTTTTACCTGACAACGGCACAACACTGCCAGTTTTAGGCAAAAAATTTAAATTTTAACTAAAATGCACTAAAGTGTAAAACTATTGACTACACGTGTCTGCAGCACGATTAGACACGCATTTATATAGTTTATCAGAAAAAAATAGTTGATTTGGGGGTGACTTGCTCTTTAAAGTAACACTGAGCAGTTTCCTGCTTCTCCACTCTACTGGTTGAAATTGGAATTACAACTGTTGTAAACAACCCTGCTGCAGCCTGCTGTTGCTAGCGCTAACAACGAGCTAACACGGACACAAGCCAATAATACTAAAATAAACCACAAAGTAAAAAGATTCACACTGTCAGACAAATAATATTATTATTTACAAGTCCTTTAGCAACAAAGCCAGGTCACCATCAGCCCGTGATTTTGTAGCCTCCTTTAGTTCCCTCAAACTACTGTAGGCCAAGCTGATGTTCAGTCTGGTTTTAGCTCTTTCTGCATTACTCTTACTTATTGTTACTTCCAGGCTCCGTCATGATGCCAGCAAAAATCAAACCTCTTTTTCTTCTTCTTGTGCTTTTTATTGATGATAGGCAAACTTGATAAAGCAAACTGCTAGCATAACAGTTAACAGCCAAGTAAGGAGCATATGGAACTAGGATTGGGACAATTTTACATTTAACTTGTACCAAGTTTTGTAACTTGTAACATGTTTTGTAATTGTGACTTTTTGTGGCATGTAATTCACATTTTGTAACACTTAACTTTCATTTTGTAACAGGTAAATTTGTTTTGTAGCATGTAATTCTCATTTTATAACATGTAACTTCGATACATAACATGAAACTTTTATTTAGTAGCTTGCAGAAAAAAATCAATGTACAAGTTTAAAATCACAAATCTCAGTCTACGGTTACAATTTTGTCCCAATTCTAGTTTGCTTCCAACAGGAATTGTCTTGGATAGGAATCCAAGACTCGTGATTGGCTGGTTAGACATAGCCTGTCATTGGTTCTTTGGGAAGGAAGCTAGAATTGTAGACATAAGTTTTGTAACTGTAGACTGAGATTTGTGTTTTGAGAGTTAGGATTTGAAACTTGTACGTTGTTTTTTGCAAGTTACAAAATGAAGGTTTCGTGTTATGCGTCAAATGTTACGTGTTACAAACGAGAATTACAAGCTGTAAAATGGAAATTACGTGTTTCAAAACAAGAATTACGTGGTACTAAACGAAAGTTACAACTACAAAACATGTTGCAGCTTACAAAGCTTTTTACGAGTTACGTGTAATATTGTCCCAATCCTAGTTCCATATAAGCGTCCCCTATAGAGAACCTACCTGCTCCACAAAGCTGTTAAGTAAACTGTCTGGTCAGTAGATGGTTGCAGAGTGGTGTCAAATATGAAACTTGTCAAGTTTCTAACTCAACAATCACTGAGATCAATGTTAAAGCTCTAGTTTTAAGTTAAAAAAATACTATTTAGTGTTACTTTAATTCCTGTTTTCAGATCATTGCACTGTCTGCACTAATGCAGGCTCCCGTTAGAATAAGGAAACAGTTTATAAAATTATTTAACCAGTAAATACAGAATCAGTTGAAGTTTTGTTAATATGTCGTAACTTAGGCTGCGCGGTGGTGCAGTGGTTAGAGCTGTTGCCTTGCAGCGAGAAGGTCCTGGGTTCGCTTCCCGGCCTGGGATCTTTCTGCATGGAGTTTGCGTGTTCTCCCTGTGCATGCGTGGGTTCTCTCCGGGTACTCCGGCTTCCTCCCACAGTCCAAAAACATGACTGTTAGGTTAATCCGTCTGTCTAAATTGTCCTTAGGTGTGTGTGTATGTGTGTGTGTGTGTGTCCATGATTGTTTGTCCTGTGTGTCTCTGTGTTGCCCTGCGATGGACTGGCTCTCTGTCCAGGGTGTACCCCGCCTGATTGCCCGTTGACCGCTGGAGATAGGCACCAGTCCCCCCGCGACTCTACATGGACAAAGCGGGTTCAGAAAATGGATGGATGTTGTGACTTTTTTTTCTTTTTTTCAGCTTTAGAGGAGGACTGGATGTGTGTCATGGCCAGACAGGAAGTGAAGCAGTCTTCACTTCCTTTCATGGGAGAGATGTGATGTTCCATGTCGCAACAAAGCTGCCTTTTACAGAGGGCGACCCGCAGCAGGTCAGAAAGCTGTTTCACCCTGACGATGATTCACGACAGTGCTTCTCAAAATAATCATCTCTGGAAATGTAAGGTTTCTTAAATAAACACTGATAAAATGTGTCCTTTACTCATCAGTTACAAAGAAAGCGTCACATCGGTAATGACATAGTGGCCGTGGTCTTCCAGGAGGGCCAAACACCCTTCTTATGTGACGTTATTAAATCTCACTTCCTGCACTGTTTTCTGGTGGTGAGAAGGACGCAGAAGAAGGAGGAGGCAGGTGGAGGTGCGTTCCAGGTGAGCATGTATCTGCATCAGCTATACTCTTAATTACATCAATTAAAATAAATCAAGATGCATTTTAATGGTACACTATAAAAATGTATATGTAACAAAGTAAAAAAGCCTATTCTTTTAGACACTATCTTATTTTTAGTCTGAAAAGAAAAATAATTATTCTGTAGAAGAAATAGTGTTACTTCAAATATGGTAAATATTCTTTAAAATTATCCAAAGTTTCTTGTTTTTAGTATTAAAGAAATGCCAACGGGATAAGTACAATTTGGTTGGCTAGATTTCTTAAAACTAGCAAAAAAAATTATTTATTTTATTAGCAAGTTTTCTATTTTAGCTAGTTTACTATTTTAGAATAATTGTTTTCGTCTTTGATCAAAAATAAGATAAAATATATAAAAGTGGGGCTTTTTTACTTTCTTAGAAATCCGATTTTTCAGTGTAAATAATCTATATTGATATTTATGAGTACAGAGTGAATTGTTAGTGTATCATTACTACATTTTTAAACTGATGTGATTGTTTTGCACAATATTACACATCCAGTACCACTAAAAACATCCCAATTTGTGATGTCACAAACAGGGATATTTTTAAGCAGTTCATTTTAGGCACATAATTCCTAAAGCCAAACAATGACAGAAAACAGGTGGACTCTTTTTTCATGTTTGCAGTGTTTATAGTGGCATTGGAGGCCCACTTGGCAGCAGAAAAGGATGCTAAAGGTGAGTTTTGTGTAATATGTCCCCTTAATTTGTTTTTATCTGTCTGCTTCCCAGGTGTCTGTTACAGCCAGAGAGGACGTTCCTCCCTTTGGTCCCGGGATTCCAGATCCCCCCATCTTCAGAGATGTAAGGAAAAGTGGGGAAAAAAAAACAAGAAAAACGATTTTAACCACTTTTATTTTATGACATGTTTTGACACTTCAATACGAAAGTTTTGGTGAAGTTAGATGTATTTATGAAATGGAAATATTACATTTTCTAATCTTGTTTTTTAGCGTTCCCATCTGAGAGAATTCCTTCTCACCAAGCTGATCAATGCAGAGATTTCCTGCTATAAGGCTGAACAGTTTAGCAAATTGGAGGTAAATTTTTTTTTAAATCCTCAAAAATGCTCGTTTTGTGGAATCCCATTCCCGCCACTCTGATTTAAAAATATTTATCTCATTGTTATTACTTTATGTGGTGGTGTCTCATATTTATGACTCAGCTATTTCATAATAGCGAAACAAATTAGCTAAGTCATAATACGGAGGTAGTATCTCAGTATTATCACTTTGTATCTTGTTATTATGAGATAGCTGAGTCATAATTATGAGATTTTGTTAATGGAGTGGCAGGAATGGGCGTTCATACTTTACTTTGTTTATTTTCTTTTTAAAGAGCAAGTCACCCCCTACCAGAGTATTACTCCACTCCCACTTTCTGTTTGAAAAATGCAACAAATGCTGTTGCCTGGCAGACCGAGAGGGTGGAGCCGCTAACAAATACACACACACACACACAGGCTCACAACAACATTGTGACATCATATGGTACCAGCTAACGTTCTAGGGTACCTCTTAGCCAATAGCGGTGGCAGATTTAAATTCAAATGCAGTGCAGAGTTTTTACCTGGCAACGGCACAACACTGACAGTTTTAGGCAGAAATTTTACATTTGAACTAAAATGCACTGAAGTGTTGACTACACGTGTCTGCAGCACGATTAGACACACATTTATATAGTTCATCAGAAAAAAAATATTGATTTGAGGGGGCTTGCTCTGCATTTCCTTCTGCTTGTCTCTTACAGCTGCGTACACGCTCATCCCTTCTAGAGAGCTTGCGAAATGAACTCTTCACTCGTTCCCAGTGCATGATGGGAGATCCATCCCTTCCTGCCGTCTCCACTTCTGAGGCGGGGCGGGCTGCATCTGAAGGAAGTGGAGGCTTTATTGAAAATTTTAAGGTGAGTGCTGGCTCCTCTCATAAATGCATCTCAGGTTTGGCTCAGATACTTATTTGATTTCATTTTTCTTCCTGAATGTTTGACATCAGAGAGCCATCAGAGTGCGGAGTCATTCCTTTGAGAACCTGGGCGTACCCAGGAAAATCACTGGCAATGCGTCAAGCAAGCCAAAGGTAAAAATATACACAACAAACCAGGAGTTTAACTAAATAACTTATTGAATAAAAAACTGAAAGACAGGTTCTCTTTCTTTTACAGACAGATAAAGATGGAGAGAGGTGAGACCCCCCCAAAAAAATAAGAAACTGGAATATTTTTTTCTTTTTGATCAGAGAAGGTAACAGAAAATTTTTCACTTCCCTTTCAGTGATAAATCTGCGACACTTCTGCCCGACAACTCAGCAAGAACTGAAGTTAAAGATCAAGCAAGTCCTCAAGAGGAAACATAAAAACACTGTTAACTTTTACCCACATATAATTATAGATTACCCTTTATTATATACCTCTGTGGGTCAGTATCTGTAAATAAAAGTAAATAGACTTTTCAGGAAATGTAATTATTTTACATAGAAGAAATATTTTAGATTGCAGAAAACCTTTCAATACATATAAAAAAGAGATGTTAAAACAAACAAAGCTGAGAAATTTAAACACTACTTGAAGTTTTGCTTTACAGATTAATTTAGATCGAAGCAAATCTGGACTCTGAGAAGCAGTTGCATTAGTTAATGCCAAAGACACAAAATTAAACCACATCGTGAAATCGTAATAAGAATATTGGCATTGGCTGCAGCTCCATTTGATTTAAATGATAGATGAATGTATTTTAGTGTAAACTCGCTATTTTTGTGTCATTTCTATAAAGAATGTAGCTTGAGGAATTAGAATTTCACATTTGTGCATTTTATGAATGACTATTTATGTTTTATTGTGGTTTTATGAACACAAATGTGTTTATATTTATATTAAATGCCTTCAGTCTTGATGTGTTGTTTTGAGAATTTTATTTTTTCTTAGGAATAAGTTTATCTTTTCTAGATTTTATGATTTTTCTTTAATATCATGCAATCAATTACATGACTGTAATACTCCCATGATTACAGAATAAATGTAGAAGCTTTATTCCAGAAGTTGTCAGTAATAGACCAGTGCCTTTGAGATACATAGATATGACTGGACATTTATATTTTTTTCCTAAAGTTTAGTAATAGACTATGCAGTAGTGTAAACGAAGTTGGGGGGAAAAAAAGACAGAAAATACAACTTTTTTGTTTTTGAACTTACTGATAATTCAGATGTAAAAGCTAAGTTAGTCATTAGTTTAAGGGGGGAAAAGTTTAACCTCAGATCTATTTTGAAAAGATGTTTGATTTTGTATGAGAGGATCATATTTCATCACGCTGCGTTGTCTGTTTTGGTTTTTATTACCTGGTTACGTCAGTTTTCATAACCACCAGCTAGTGGCGCTGTTGCGCTCTGAGGTGTATTTTTCAAACGCTAATAAAACACACGAAGAAGACGGTCTCGGAAATGCTTTTCTTGTCCAGTGTTGTTTTGCAGCTTTTCTGTACTGCTTATATCATGCAGATTTTAAACTGTGAAATAACCGGCTGCTAGTTTATTCCGCACACCCTAATTTTGCAGTATTTATTTTATTTCACCGTTTATTCGGCCAAAATACAAATTCGTTCAACTTTGACCCACTTGGAATTCTCCCAAGGTTTTCTGGAGCGAGGGCGAAGTCGCTTTAATTTAAACTAAGCGTACAGTTAGCCTTTAAAATGACCTCCAGGAAAGTAGTGGAGCTGTTCTATGACGTGGTCTCACCGTACTCCTGGCTCGGTTTCGAGGTTTGTGCGCTCCCCTTTTGCTTCAGATGATCTTAGACTTTATTTTATGTTTCTTTCTAGCGTGTTGTTATGTTTGCAGGTCATGTGTCGCTACAGAAACGTGTGGAACATAGACCTGAAACTGCGTCCTGCGTTCCTGGGAGGCGTCATGCAGGGAGCAGGTCAGGAGATTCAATCACCTGTTAAAAGTGTTTGTGTTTACATCTTTATAATGTGTGTGTGTGTGTGTGTGTGTGTGTGTGTGTGTGTGTGTGTGTGTGTGTTCATGACAGGCAACAAGCCTCCTGGTGTGGTTCCCACCAAGTTTCTCTACATGACCAAGGATCTGCAACGCCTGTCAAGATACTTTGACGTTCCCATTCAGCCTCCATCAGATCCATTTGAAGTGATGTTCAATAAAGGTACCAGAGGGGTGTAGATTAGGTCACTTTTGACTTGTAATTAGGCCCGAGCAGCGAAGCGCTGCGAAGGCCTATTGTATCTGCTCCGTTTCTTTTTCTTTCTTTTTTTTTTCTTTTTTTTTCTTCCGCGTCTTTGGATGGCCTTTAGGGGGTCTTAGCATATCCAAAAACTCACAAAATTCTGGCCCAATATAGAAAGTGCGTGAAATTTACGTATTTCACTGGCAACGTGAAAGTTGGTAAAAAAATGTTTCGACAGCGCCCCCTGGAAAATTTAAAATACCCCTCCGCTTTGACCTTTTTTCATAGTAGAGTGATGAAATTTGGTACACTTGTAGAACTCAACAATACGCACAGAAAAGCCTCTTGCACCCATGGTCAATATCAAACAGGAAGTCGGCCATTTTGGACTAAAGTGGCCATTTTGACCCCGTTTTGGCCATTTCTATGGTCTATATTTGGTTGAACAGTTTGGTCATTTTTCGCACGATTGTCTCAAAAATAGTGTGCGATCGAAGAGAAGCGATGGACGAATCAAATGAGCAAATAAAATTGACTTTTCGTAAATACTGAAGGGGCGGGGCCAGGCCTCAAAGTTTGAGCACTCGCCAAAAAAATTCAAATTGCTTTAATTTCATAAATGAAAGTATTACAGCTAAAGTAATTTTCTATGGACAATCGTCATCGCCCCCCGAAGACAAATGAATGGTCGATTGATGATGTCACATAAGCCCCGCCCCCTCAGGCCTTAAAAGGTCAAGTTTTACTGGGAAATTTTCCAAAATTCGCCCTTTCAAATAATCAGCCCAAATTTGTAGCAGGTAACTGAAGACAAGTTGGGGGTTGCTTGGCGTCACTTTATGGGAGTTTTCTGCAGAAGGCGGGGCTGTGGTGGCGCGGCGAAGTCAGGCGTACCGACGTGGCCTTACGTTTGCCTCCCATTTCGTCAATTCTAGAGATATTGCCACAAAACCTCTTGGGAGTGATCCTAGTTCAGCCCCCCACAAAATGTGATGTGAACATCCGGTGGGCGTGGCCTATTTTCTGAAATAGCGCCCCCTAGGACCATTAAAACTGTCAGCCCCAAGTCATGCTTTGACTGAGGATTATGAAATTTGGCACACTAATGTGGTGTCTCAGGACCTACAAAAAAGTCTCTTGGAGCCAAGTGCAAAGTCGCACAGGAAGTCGGCCATTTTGGTCCAAGTACTCGATTTAGTGGTTTTCGCACACGTTGTTTGGAGAGTGATGCTCCATCGCCCTTTTCACCAATCGCCTTCAAACTTCTGCTATAGACTCTTAAGACATAAAGGAAAAAATTCAACCGTCGGATTTTAAATAAGTATAAAGGTGTGGGCGTGGCTAAGCCTCAAACTTTGACCTGTCACCACGCCACTCTTTTTTTCACAGCTACCTATTGGACTCCTTTTACCCAATCGCCAGCAATCTCTGGCGAATAGCAGCTGACAAGTTGAGGTCACTTAGTCTCCAGTACTGGCAGGTTTTGAAAAAAGGCGGGGCTTTGGGAGCATGGCAAAATTCACCATCACGCCATGGCAATACGTTTGCCTCTCATTTCTTCAATTATCGTGCCATCGCCACAAAATGTCTGGTGAGTGATCCTAGTCTGAACCCCAATAGATTTGGACAGCTGTAGTTTGTGGGCGTGGCCTATTTTCTGAAATGGCGCCCCCTAGGACCATTAAAACTGTCAGCCCCTAGCCATGCTTTGACTGAGGAGTACGAAATCTGGTACACTAATGTGGTGTCTCCGGACCTACAAAAAAGTCTCTTGGAGCCAAGTGCAAAGTCGCACAGGAAGTCGGCCATTTTGGTCCAAGTACTCGATTTAGTGGTTTTCGCACACGTTGTTTGGAGAGTGATACACCATTGCCCTTTTCACCAATCACCTTCAAACTTCTGCTATAGACTCTTAAGACAAAGGGGAAAAAATTCAACCTACGGATTTTAAATAAGTATAAAGGTGTGGGCGTGGCTAAGCCTCAAACTTTGACCTGCCGCCACGCCATTCTTTTTTTCACAGCTCCCTATTGGACTCCTTTTAACCAATCAACAGCAATCACTGGCAAATAGCAGCAGACAAGTTGAGGTCACTTGGTCTATAGTACTGGCAGGTTTCGAATAAAGGCGGGGCTTTGGGAGCATGGCGAAATTCGCCATCAAGCAATGGAAATACATTTGTCTCTCATTTCTTCAATCATTGTGACATCGCCACACAATTTCGTATGAGTGATCCTACTCTGACCCCTAATAGAATTGGACAGCTGAAGTTTGTGGGCGTTTGTGGGCGTGGCCTATTTTCTGAAATAGCGCCCCCTAGGACCATTAAAACTGTCAGCCTCAAGCCATGCTTTGACTGAGGATCACGAAATTTGGCACACTAATGTAGTGTCTCAGGACCTACAAAAAAGTCTCTTGGAGCCAAGCGCAATGTCGCACAGGAGGTCGGCCATTTTGGTCCAAGTACTCGATTTAGTGGTTTTCGCACACGTTATTAGGAGAATGATGTCTCGTCGCCCTTTCCACCGATCACCTTCAAACTCCTGCTATATACTCTTAAGACATAGAGGAAAACTTCAACCGTCGGATTTTAAATTAGTTTAAAGGTGTGGGCGTGGCTAAGCCTCAAACTTTGACCAGTCGCCATTACGTTACTTGACTCAATAACTCCCTTGTCCATGATCAGATCAATTTCAAACTTTGTCCGTGTGATCACTGACCACATCTGAAGACAGTGACAATGTGGACAGCTGGCATCACCTAAGCCCCGCCCCCTGACTACAGGAAGTCTACTGTTTTATGGTGAAATGCCCATATTTGTCCCCTCTAATTTAGTCAACATGACACTAAGGTCATTCACTGTCTTCATGATGTTTTAATGACTATTCAGATCTGATAGCTTTTCAGAAAGGGAGGAGCTTTGATGCCATGGCGATTTCTGGCGTGACGCTGTGACCTTACGTTTGACTGTAACTTCCACAAACAGCCTCCGATTTGCCAGAGACTGAACATCACATCACCAGTGTGGTAAAGATAGAGTATCTCCTAGTGGTGAGACGTGTAATGCTGGGCTCAGAGGGGATGCTGAATCAGGGTGAGGTGTGGACGAGGAGGCCGTTCACGGTTTCTGGTGTCGGGGTGGTTGACTTTCTGTTCTGCCCGACGTGCCCTGGTGCCCCCGGCTGCCGGCCAGGATGGACAAGCGCGGAATTGGGTTTGGAGAGCGTCGGGGATGGAGCGGAGGGGGTGCGGAAGGAGGGCGAGCAGCTTCGCTGCGAGGGCCGAACGACGCTGCTTGCAGCTTTAATTTTACTTCTGATGAACTGATTATTCAAAGATTCAGGGTTGGACCCTACTCAGGGTCAAGAAACACAAAGTTTGGTGTCTTGAGATGACCTTGAGAATTCAAATAAAGCTTACAGCCAATCCATAATAGTACATTTTTGTTATAATTGCTGCGTAGATTAAGTTTATTGTGTTAAACTCACAATATTTGGGGCTAGGGATGCACCAATACCTCTTTTTTCCAAACCGATACAATACGATACTTGGATCTGAGTACTCGCCGATGCCGATTACCGATACCGATACTTCCACCACACAAAAAAATGCAATGAATTGGAATACAGATTTTATTTTCTTCTCTGCTTTCAACAGGTAAAGACCGTGAGGTAGATAAAAAGTAAAATATATGAATGGAAATCATCACAAAACTAAAATATTAGGTGAACAGAAATGACAAGTTACAGTGAAGCCATTTTCAAGCAACTGCATTGGTATCGGTTCCTGGAATCGGTTAACTTTTACCGATACTGGTATTGGTGTTGGTATCGGCACCGGTGCATCCCTATTTGGGGCCAGTCGTTATATTTTTGTAGATAAGAAACAGGTCTGTTTAACTGTTGTTTTTAGTGATGCACAGACATGAAATGTTTGGGCCGATACCAAAATCCATTAATAATATCACTGTTGTGGCCGATAACCGATATACTGACATTAATGCTTCTAAATCAGTAGATTTTGTATAGAATGAAGATTATTAATGATGAATTTACATTATCTTGTATATACACCACACACATTTATGCTTCTGAGATGGTTACAATCACTGTCACATGAGTAAACAAATCCCCCCCCCCCCCCAAAAAAAAACAGATAAACAAACGGAAACAAAATGGAAAAAATATTGGTTGTTAATATCGGCCCAGGTTTATTTATCGGACCGATACCGATGTGTTAAAAAATGACTTAACATCTGCCGATACTGATATTGATGCCAATATATTGTGCATCACTAGTTGTTTTAGGTCATTTTTTTACAACCAAATATGCTTTGCACTGGTTAAGGGGCACTTGTATGGCGTTTAAAGCGTGCCACAACCCGTGCACGCGCATTGGGTCCACAGCGCGCGTGTGAACGGGACTCGCGAGCGCAAATATACATGGCAGCGCGCGTGTGAACGGGACTCGCGAGCGCAAATATACATGGCAGCGCGCGTGTGAACGGGACTCGCGAGCGCAAATATACATGGCGAGAGGTCATTTGTGCACTGAGAGGGAGCAAACTGTGTCTGTGAGCGCACAAGGATGTGCACAAGTGACAAACCTGCGTGCGCGCGTTGTCAACGAGCACACGGCAGAGGAAAACGTGTGCGCGCGGCAGCCTCTGTGCGCGCTCGGCAGCCTCTCTGCGCGCTCGGTTTCTGACTCCTGCTCGCTCGGCTGTAAGGGCTTTTGGCACTCTGGAGGCGTGGCCTGTGGCAGATCTTCTCTGTCCTCTGATTGGTTAGTTTACCCCGCACTTTACCATCTATCTATATAAAAAAGTCTGATATTCAGTAGTTGCTGGCATAGCTCAGCTGGGAGAGCGGGTGACTCTCGCCCCGGAGGATCCAGGTTTGAGTCCGGGCAAGGAAAATGCAAAAGATGTCATGTTAATTTTTCTTAATTTCAGGTATTTTACAGTTGTGACCGTTCAACTGTCATTAAACGTCCGAATGTTTGCTGGGCAGTGTTTTAAAAAGTGCACATAAGCTAGATGGTTTTAACCATATAAAATTACATTTTTTGTGATACTGGAAAAATACATACTGAAATAAAACTACTGATTGAAAACTTTATGACTGTGGTTGTACAATATATGACTCACTAATACACTGCAAACTCCCTTAGAGTGGGGCTTCGAGAGAGAGAGAGAGAGAGAGAGAGAGAGAGAGAGAGAGAGAGAGGAGAGAGAGAGAGAGAGAGAGAGAGAGAGAGAGAGAGAGAGAGAGAGAGAGAGAGAGAGAGAGAGAGAGAGAGAGAGAGAGAGAGAGAGAGAGAGAGAGAGAGAGAGAGAGAGAGAGAGAGAGAGAGAGAGAGAGAGAGAGAGAGAGAGAGAGAGAGAGAGAGAGAGAGAGAGAGAGAGAGAGAGAGAGAGAGAGAGAGAGAGAGAGAGAGAGAGAGAGAGAGAGAGAGAGAGAGAGAGAGAGAGAGAGAGAGAGAGAGAGAGAGAGAGAGAGAGAGAGAGAGAGAGAGAGAGAGAGAGAGAGAGAGAGAGAGAGAGAGAGAGAGAGAGAGAGAGAGAGAGAGGTTCTTGCCTCATTAATGAATTGTTTATTTTTTTCAGTATTTAATTGACAAATTATCCTTTCAAATAATTAATTGATGAGTTACATAATTGTCCATTTAGAATTGTTGAATGGACTGAGTAAAGTTTGGTGCACTTTATATATTTCAAAACATGTTTTTTTTAAATGATGCATATAAATAATTTAAATGTTAATTTAATGAAATATTTCTATTTTTTCATTACCTCACCCTTGTTTTGACAAAAACGGAACCTTTCTGGATAATATCATGGAGAAACTATTTGTTCACAGTACATGGCTCAGTGAGGATCTGTGTACCAAAGGAGGAGATGCTCAGAAATCTGTCTGCAGATTGTTACAACCCAGACTGGAAGTGGTGGGCTGTAATAAGAAAGGAGACCAAACAGAGGAGTGGGGGTTCAACAACTGATTTATTTAACAAAAGTAAGGATTTACTAAAGCAAGTTAGTGAACAGAAAATGGCCAGTGAGGACTCTCCACCACACAGGAGAGACCCAGTGAAAGCAGAAAAACAGTAGGCTTTGTAGGCAGCACCACACCCTGAGCCCAGGTGCCTCCAAGGCTGCTTAACGAGCTGCCTACAACAGAAGAAAAACACAATTAAACACAAATGAAAACCCAATGAGACGGTGGGGGCATCACAACACGTTCAGGACTACCCAAACACCAGTAATTCTTGACTGCACTGATCTGCTTTAGTAAATCCTTACTTTGGTTAAATAAATCAGTTGTTGAACCCCCACTCCTCTGTTTGGTCTCCTTTCTTATTACAGCCCACCACTTCCAGTCTGGGTTGTAACAATCTGCAGACAGATTTCTGAGCATCTCCTCCTTTGGTATACAGATCCTCACTGAGCCAAGTACTGTGAACAAATAGTTTCTCCATGATATTATCCAGCAAGGTCCCGTTTTTGTCAAAACAAGGGTGAGGTAATGAAAAAATAGAAATATTTCAATAAATTAACATTAAAATTATTTATATGCATAATAAAAAAAACATGTTTTGAAATATATAAAGTGCACCAAACTTGACTCAGTCCATTCAACAATTCTAAATGGACAATTATGTAACTCATCAATTAATTATTTGAAAGGATAATTTGTCAATTAAATGCTGAAAAAAATAAACAATACATTAATGAGGCAAGAACTTTTTAAACTTGAACATACCTTCACCCACAAGTCTATTTTTACCTGGTTAAAACCATCTAGCTTATGTGCACTTTTTAAAACACTGCCCAGCAAACATTCGGACATTTAATGACAGTTGAACGGTCACAACTGTAAAATAATATCACAGGAATTAGGAAAGAATAATATGACATCAACTCTATGTTACTTGGCCGGACTCGAACCTGGATCCTCTAGAGTGAGAGTCACCCGCTCTTCCAGCTGAGCTATGCCAGCAACTGCTGAATATCAGATTTTTTTATATAGATAGCTAGAGAGTAAAGTGCGGGGTAAACTAACCAATCAGTGGATATGGAAGATCTGCCACAGGCCACGCCTCCAGAGTGCCAAAACTCCTCACAGCCGAGCGAGCGGAATTAGGAACAGAGCGCGCAGAGGCTGCCGAGCGCGCAGAGAGGCTGCCGCGCGCGCACGTTTTCCTCTGCCGTGTGCTCGTTGGCAACGCGCGCACGCAGGTTTGTCACTTGTGCACATCCTTGTGCGCTCACAGACACAGTTTGCTCCCTCTCAGTGCACAAATGACCTCTCGCCATGTATATTTTCGCTCGCGAGTCCCGTTCACACGCGCGCTGCCATGTATATTTTCGCTCGCGAGTCCCGTTCACACGCGCGCTGTGGACCCAATGCGCGTGCACGGGTTGTGGCTGAAAACATATTTCACATCACTGAATAAAAGTCAGATTTTTATTGGTATTATAAAACCAAGTGAATCATTTGATCTGAATGCACAATAAATTGGCAACTTTGATCTATTTTTTTGATTAGTTCATAATTAGATTAGCTTATATTTGAGAAGAATTTCTTATCCATTTTTACACAATTTTTTTAATTAGATTATGTTTGTTTTCCTATTAGAACAGCGGTGGGGGGTGCTGGTCCTCGCGGGCCCCTGTCCAGCATGTTTTAGTAGTTTCCCTGCCAACACTCCGGGTTCAATGGTTTAATTTAGGGATGCGCCGGTGTTGTGCCATAAATCGACTCGCTGCCAAAAAATGATTAGCTTAGTTTTTTCCAGTTCGGAAGTTGTTTTAAGTGTTTTAAGTGTTGCTATTTATCTTAAACGTTCACAATGAGGATATATTAATCCTTTTTGCAATATTTGCGATTGAAAGATGGTTTGTGGTAAGAACTGGCTTTCTTTATGTTACAGCCTTGATACTAAAAAATAAATAATGTAAAATGGCGCCCTGTATTGAATGTAAACGTTGTATAAATGTAAATAAACAATTCTCCAGCGATTTGATTTTTTCCCCCTTCCTTTCTTTAGTGGCTAATCATTTTTTGGCAGCGAGTCGATTTATGGCACAACACCGGAGCTACAGGTGTTATGCTTACCGAGGCTCCGCCTGCCTGCTTCATCACGGGAACACGCATTTCTCAATCCAGCTGCTTATTGAGGGAGCAAACAACTTGAAATAAGAGTAACACTCTACTTTTAAAAATATTCATAACATAAACACGTTTTTAAACGAGTGTCCTTCCTAAATAAGTGAAAGAGAAACTTAAAGGACAATCTGGATGTGTTTTCTTCTCATTTTAATGCTTTCCCCAAAATGATTTCCTTTTTTCTTCTCGTTTTTCTGTTTTCCTGAAACGTATCGGATCGGGTCTCCAAATCAAATGACTCTGAAACGTATCGGAAATCGGGAGCAAAAAAACCGTGATCGGAACATCCCTGCTTGAGTTATCTTGTCAGAAGGAGCTGATAAAAAAAAAATGCTGGAAATGCACCTTTGAGGGTCTGGGTTTCTCCACCGCTACTGTAGAAGACAGTAACTTGCAAAAAATGACTATTGGTCCTGAATGATTATAATATTGAAAGAAAGAAAAAAAAACAAGATCTAAATTTGGGCTGCACAGTGACGCAGTGGTTAGAGCTGGTGCCTTGCAGCAAGAAGGTCCCGGGTTCGCTACCCGGCCGGGGATCTTCCTGAATTATCAGAAAGGACAAAAAACAAGTTATTTGACGTGCTCCATTTGTGCTTTTAAAGAGCAAGTCAACCCCTACCAGAGTCTAACTCCACTCCCACTTCATGTTTGAAAAATGCAACAAATGCTGTTGCCTGGCAGACCGAGAGGGCGGAGCTTCTAACACATACACACACACAGGCTCACGACAGCATTGTGACATCATAACGTACCAGTTTACATCATAGCATACCTCTTAGCCAATAGCGGTGGCAGATTTAAATGAAAATACAGTGCAGAGTTTTTACCTGACAACGGCACAACACTGCCAGTTTTAAGCAGAATATTTCAGTTTTAACTAAGATGCACTGAAGTGCCAAATTATTGACGACACGTGTCTGCAGCACGATTAGACACTCGTTTATTTAGTTTATCAGCAAAAAAAAAAATTATTTGGGGGTGACTTGCTCTTTAAGTTTCCCTCCTATGAACTAAATCAACCTCACACATGACAGCAGTGCTGCTGAGACGGAGAGCCGAGTCACCCTGTGTTGTTTTATTTCTAGGTTCCTTACCTGCGATGCGGTTTTTGACAGCGGTGCAACAGAAGGAGAAAGGTGGAGACAAACAGGTGGAGCAGGTTTCCCGTGAGCTGTGGAGGCGGATCTGGAGTGAAGACAAAGACATCACACAGCCTGCATCTTTATCTGAGGTGGTGCCTCTTCATGTTTTACACACCTGAGGTATTTTTTACAGTATTAGAGGTAATATCTTTTTATTTTACGCAGGCGGCTAAGAGGGCAGGATTGTCTGACGGTGAGATCGCAGAGCTGCTGAGGATGTCCTCCTCCCAGGAAGTCAAAGACAAACTGAAAAACGTAACGCAGGATGCACTAAATTATGGGGTGGGTTCTCCTCAGCGCTCCTCGTAGGCTCAAAAGACAAAACGGTAAAATAAATCTGATGTTCCCTCTCTTATTGCCTCGCCAGGCGTTTGGTTTCCCCATGCTGGTGTGTCACGTCGAAGGGGAACCCGAGATGTTCTTCGGATCTGACAGATTTGAGCTGATAGCTCACTGCATGGGTGAGAAACAAAAAGTTTTTATCACTAAAATGTTCAATTAGAGCGGAACATTTCCGTTATTATCTCTTATTTTGTCGAAACTTTATATCAGGGTATCCGCGGGTCCTTAAAAAGTCTTAAATTTGCTTTTCCAAATTTAAGACCTTGAAAATCTTTAAAAATGACAAATAATCCTTAAATCCAGTTTCCAAAGGTCTTAAATGACCAAAGACCAAATAAACAAGATTATTTTATTTCTATAAAATGTTCGTGAATTTCTAGTGTTCTGCATTTTTTGTGTACAATGTTGCCGTAGACGGAACCGTACACAGTCGGTTGGTTGTGAAAGGGGACTATTTTTAGATGAGCACATTAGCTGGTTAAGCTAGTGGGAGCTTGCGCCTTGGGGAAGTGCGCGTTTAATGGTAACTGGATGGCTAATCCCACGTTCGCGACGTGGTTAGCACCGTTTCTAGGCAATAGCTGGAAATTATAGCTTAAATTTAATTTTAAAAATAGCTTAAATTTGGTCAAAGTGGCCTTAAAAAAGGTCTTAAAAAGTCTTAAATTTGGCTCCTTTAAACCTGCAGATACCCTGTATATTCTCATCCATTATAATTTAGTTTTCTGTTCCAGGTGAGAAGTGGCTCGGACCTAGACCGGATAACTCAGCTTCCAAGCTGTGAGAGGAGACGTCCGCTCAAACGTTAACACTAACGTTATAAACCATTTCTGACTTCCATCGTCTGAAATACGGTGGTTTGATTTTAATCCTCCTAAATAATCCATCCAAGGATGCAACATGACTGTAAATAATGGGCCTAAAGCACTTGCATTGAATTGTGTTTAAAAATAAACGTCATTTAAATGAATTAATGTTGTGATGTTTGTGCAGCTTTTATTAAATGCATAAATCGATCCTGTTTCTGCTGTTTGTGGTTCTTCTCTAGTTTATAGATCTGAGTTTGCTTCTTTAGCGCAGAGAATAAAAACATCCATTATTCAGCTGGTTTGACTGATTTATCAACAGCAACATTTATGTTTGTGATTAATTGGGCTGCACGGTGGCGCAGTGGTTAGCACTGTTGCCTCGCAGCACGAAGGTTGCAGGTTCGAAACTCGGCTGAGGCCTTTCTGCGTGGAGTTGCGTGTTCTCCCCATGCATGCGTGGCTTTGCTCCGGGTACTCCGGTTTCCCCCACAGATCACAACATGTCCTATAGGTTATAAATTGTAAGTCGCTTTGGATAAAAGCGTCTGCCAAATAAATAAACAAAAGCTTTTCCTGTGCTAATTGAACAGCTGGTGTGCTTTTAACAACTTGGTTTTTCTAGCAAATTTTATTTTTCTGCACAAACAAAAGTTATGAAAGTTCTTAAAAACACATTTTCTTCAGTCAATAATTAATAAAAATAACAAAATAAGACAAACATGTTAGAACAGCAGGTCTTGTGATTTTTTTATTCATTCTGTTGTATAAAAATAAGTTATTTAAGTCCATTATTCAAATTAAGTAATCAGAATCAGAAGTTTTTATTGCCATATGTGTGCCAAGTCACAACATTAGGAAATTGCTGTGGTATTTTGGTGCAGAAGGTAAGATAGAAAAAAAAATTAAGAGATAAGCAAATATAAGAACTAATAAAACACTCATGATAAAATTATTGATGTAAAAAGTGGCAATAATTAGAGAAGCAGCTATCTACTCCGTTGAGGTATTAATCTGAGTATTTGTTGAATGGTTCACGCACAGCATCGGGTCACGTGACTGGGACCAATCAACTTGAGTGGGCTGCCCTAGGATTTTCATTCAAAAGTCCAACTGCAGAGGGGGAGAAACTGTTTTTGTGGCGAGAGGTTCTGGTCCGAATGGATCTGAGCCTTCTGCCAGATCCATTCAGTAATCAGTAATTGGTTAAACAAACTGGTCCAACAAATTAGTTTTTTTATTAAGAAATTAAAGGGATACTATGCAACTTTTTCATAAATTTAAATCCTTTTTTAGCCAAAATGTGATAAAATGAGTCTTTAAAAGAAAATGATATTTTATAAAGTGCCGCTCAAGATAAAAATCACAAGCTTCACAATAACAAAATTAAAAAATATGTAATTTTTAACAAATGATCAAAACGTATAATAAAAATGATTACAAAAGGTGTTTATTTTGAAAGTGGGCTGCAATACCCCTATATGACCACAGGATGTCATTCTTACTCCACTCACACATGAGGCATCTTTAAAATTCTGTCATCATCTGATGTTTTGCTTTACTAATAGCTTAAATTGCTCTATTTTGCTCACTGTCACACACTTTCTAATATCGATCACTTATTGATTCACTTGACCAGATCTCATCTAACCCTGCATGCTCCCTCATCGTGGGATGACAGATAAGAATTAGCCTGTGGCTATAATCTGGCATATTTTGTTTATTAACACGTACTGTCCCAGTCAAAAATAAACATTTAAATGAAATTAAATTTCTAGAAGAAAATCATTTGAATGTAGAGCTGATCTTCAAATATGTTATTGTATTTGCAGGAATAACACAAAGAAAATGTCCAGGTTCCTTCGAGTCAAGCTGCAGGGAAAAATGACATCCTGGATGAACAATAAATACATAAATACACTCAGTAGGAATAATTTTCTCCTTGATCCAGTTTGAAATATGAAAAGCCTCTCCACTGGTTTCTGATTTTGCAGAGATTGAAAAGCCTGTGGTGCGAGTTTCACGCCAAAGAGGGCGAAACACTCAACAAAGAGCTGGAGGCTGCAGAGTGATGAGGAGTGGAAGGACCAGTTTCCATAAACAAAGAGCCGAGAGGCAAAAGCAGCAGCTGACGCGCTGTACAGCAGCTTTAGTAGAGACAGGCACTTAGCAGGAGAGGAGATTTCACTGCTTGATTTGAGACCAGATACAGTAGGAGGAAGAGAGGGAGGATGTGGAGCACGTGAAGAGGGTGGAGTTGAGAAAGCACAGAAGGTAGACAAACAGAGACTGATCCCCACAAGATCACCTCAGAGGGACAACGCCATGAGGATCTGAAGAAGAACCGATCGTGTTTGGAGGGAATCTGTGAAGAAAGGAAACATGAGCCTCCAATAACAGGATTCAGCTCACTTATTTATTCATTTTCCGTAAGGGACAGGATTCCACTGAACAGGTGAGGTACGGGTGTTTTTGGTTTCATCTGTCCATCATGGAGGTAGCTGGGGCTGCTTTAGTTTAGTTTTCAAGTGATTTCAGTCTGAGTTCCTGTTTGAACTCGGGGTGTGTGATCCAACAAGCATAAAGGAGAGAGGAAAATGCAGAAGAACAGGTTTAGACTGCTCGAGTCTGACGTGGAGGGAGGATCGTGTGGGTCAATCAGACGCAAGTGCTTCTTTTTGTGTGTGTAACAATAATGTTGTAGAGGTGAATCAAATATGCAGAATAAATTTGACTTATTTACAGTTTATTACTGGTTAGAGGCCGAGGTCTGCATCAAGCTGCCTGGTGAAAATGAAAAAGTGAGGAGAAACTTCACCAACATGAAGTGTCTGGTCTCAGTTACATGATTAACACCTTTTCTTTGTGGCAGCGCGTGAGAGTCGTGTTACTGAGAGCGGACACGGCGTGACAGACTTTCAGGAAAAACAAACCTTTTATTTGTTGTTAGTGTCCACATATTTCTATTTTTTGCTTACCTGCATAAAACTGTCCAGATGGTTAGGTGCAACATTTGAAATGCACGAAAAGACTATAAGGTGCTGAATTTAAACCCAGTCTCTGTGGTGTTTGTTTACATTTGAAAGGATGTCCACGGCATCAAACCAAGGATCTCGCTGCAAACAGGGAGAAACTCTCTGTGGTGAGTTTTTTTATGTGGAAAAGAAAAATATACAGTAAATATCAGCTCATACCATAGAAGCATTTATCATGATGTTGTCCTGTGTGTGTGTGTGTGTGTGTGTGCTGTCAGAGATCCGTGTGTACAAACAGGAAGTGATTATTGTACCCCTCCTCCTGCTGGTCACCTTCTTGGTCACTTTGGTTTTTATTTTGCTGCTACACTTCTGCCCTGAGAAAGTTAAGCGAGTTCGATCAAATGCAAACTCAACCTCCAGGAGGATGCTGCATGGCATTGATGGTGAGCGTCCTCAACACACACACACGCACGCACGCACGTGCACGCATGCACACACACTTTTTTTTTAGCTTTGAGAAACTTTGAGCACCCGCCCCTTCAAAGGTCTCTGCACTACTTTAACTTGAAAATACATATTTTCAGAAAAGGAACTTGAACCTTTGCTTTGCCTTCTTCTCGAAATGCCCACGCAGAAATGGATTGTGGGTAAAACAAGGCCCAATCCCAATACTCGCACTGGCACCCTTCAATTGCGCGTTCCCGGCCAGAGGTGCGAGCGCGTAGGGTGTCCCGATTCTCAAGTGCGGAAGTTGACCACGCCCCCACTGGGCCCTTATGGGCCATTCCCATCTGTACCGGGTCGGCCCGGGCCGGGTAACGTAGGTTGTTTACATATCTGGGTGGCCTGGTATTTTTCCGGGCCAACCAAGGCTCATTCTCAGCCCTCTTCTCGAGGGGGTCTGCTTCAGGCCGACCAGGGCCAACACATCCACTGCTGACAGCAAATTCCCACCTTCCATTAGAGCAAGCCTCTGATTGGTGGGTAGAATCAGCCCACATGGGCTTAAGGCAAGGATGTGTGAAATCAACCGGGCCAGGCTGGGGCTACCCGGCCCGGGCCGACCCGGTACAGATGGGAATGGCCCATTAATCTGCACTTCACCCAAGTCTGCAGAGATGTGGACCTCGGGCAAGGGTATTACCCACAAGTCATTGCTGCAGGAGAAAAGGCTCAAGTTCCGTTTCTTGAAATATGTATCTTCTAGTTTCTAAAAATTAGTTCATTTTAGGACGATTAGTTAATGCTCCAAAACTTTTAGACAAAGCATCAATAAAAGTAAATTTATTTCAATGAACTGTTTGGCTGTTTGTTTAAAAGTTGTTAATAAATGTTTTTGACAGGGACCAGCATCCCAGCATGAGTTGCGATCGATGATGCAGTGCTCCCTGTCCCAATCCTGCAATTGTTTGCCCACTTGTGCACTTGTCCAAGTGCACTTTGCTGAAGTTTGCAGGGCACAATGCGAGTAGATTGGGCCAAAGTCTGCATCAATGTAGACTTCGGCAAAGTGCGAATCAAGGGTGCAAAAGGGGCGTGGTCAACTTCTGCACTTAAGAGTCGGGACCCCCTACGCACTCGCACCCCTGGACATGATCACACATTTGAAGGGCGGAAGTGCGAGTACTGGGATTTGGTCGGCATTGCCGGTCCGTCCCTGCTGATTGGTGGAGCGGAGCTGCAGTCTGCTTCCAGCACCTTTCCTACATGTTTTAGATCGTGAATACAACGGATTTGTTTGATTTAGTGATGAATCACTCCTGTAGATGCTAATGAAGACTGGAGAGACGTTTCAGCTGTTAGATTAAGGCGAATAAAGATTAAAGAGGGAGGAGAAAAGTTTCATAACACAGTGAGTTGATACCAGATACTACGGGGTGCTACAAGCAAGCAAAACTGCCAAGTGTGCCTTTAAACTAATGAATAAAGACTTTATGGTGAAACAGACATTCTTCTCCGCCCACACATAATCAGAAGTAAAGTAAGGTGTGTGTTGTTTTTATTTCCTGCACCAGTGGCCTTTTCTCTCTGATGGTAATCACTCTCCTCTATCTCTGCCTGCAGCTCCAGCAGGTATCAATGTACTTGAGCATGAGAGCATCACCTTGGACCTTCCCGCCACATACTCCACCTTCCAGCCACCAAACTCATATATCAACAAAAAGCTCTCCACCGGTGCAAGCACCCCCACTTTCCCTGCCAACCCCCCACAGCTCAGTTTCCCTCCCATCGTCCAGCCCAGAGAGCTCCCCCGCCAGAGGCTGCCTGAGTCCTTCAACCTGGTGTCTCCTCTCCCTGCTTCCTTCTCTCCACGCTCTGACTCATCCGTGTCCCTCTACAGGGCACGCATGGAAAACAGGAACGTGGTCCTGCGGGTTCTGAATGGTGAGAGTTTAACGAAGAGCTTGTGTGGACGGCTATATCAACAGATCTATGACACATGTCCACGTCTTCCATTCCACAGACTCCGCCGACGCCACGGAGAGACACAACTTCCTGGGGTTTGCATCGTTCCTGGCCCAGCTGGGTCCACATCCGTTCCTGCCAGAGCTGCTCGGTGTGGTCTCCCTTCGAGCTCCTCTGATCACAGTTGTGGAAGAGCTCGAGAACACTGACCTGCTCAGCTACTTGTGGAAATGCAGACAGGTAAGACTGTGAAGCATCAAACCAGGAATCTCAATTCATCTGTTCAAAAGTCAGTCTTCAGGTGCTGCTGTGCTTGTTTTTCCAGAACAACGTGGATCCTCCCTGTGAAATGACTGAGAGGCGAGTGCTTACCATGGCCAAACAGGTTGCCTCTGCTCTGGTTCGTCAACTGTTTCAACTCCTTAAATAACCAGTCTCAGAAAAGATTTCATCACAACTCTGATTTCCAGATTTATTTAGGAAGAGCCAGTGGCGGCTTTAGCAATTTGGAGGCCCAAGGCGAACACAGAGATGGGGCCCCCTTACACAAAATTTTCGACATTTTCTATTGTCTTTCCTTTTCTGCTTCCTTTTGATGTTTACACTGAAAAACAACGTCACTTTTGGAAGTGAAGATAAAAGATTTTTTAAAGCAAGCTGCTTCTTTCTCTTATTGGAGCCACCAGGATAACTCCATTTCATGCTTAATGTTTTGACTATGGCTTCGAGTTTGTTACAAATGCTCCCACCTCTCTTCTTCTTCTTCTTCTGTTTTCTCTACTTATTCTTATTTGTGGTCTTATGGCACTTGGCAAATAAAAAGTTGGTGCATTACTGCCACCAACTGGATTGGAGTGGAATGACGACCAACCGTTTCCCGTTTGTGCATTGAGTCTTAAAGGAATAGTACATTGTGGCATTAACAGAGGAGAACCGGTGGTCAGGGCTAGCCCCCCCCCCCCCCCCCCTCCAAAAAAAAAACATATGGGGGCCCCAGGCAGCCACGGACCTATGCCTAATGGTAAAACCGCCACTGGGAAGAGCTTAAATCTCCCAAACAGGATCTGTGAATTCCTTGCGTTTGTTCTGCTCCCAGGAGTTCCTTCACAGCAAGGATCTCCTCCACGGAAACATCCGGGCCCGCAGCGTGCTGGTCAGCAAGGAGCTGACGGCCAAGCTGTGGGGACTACATGGAGTTTACAACCGGAAGAACCAGAAATCCACCCAGAAGGACGATCCCAGCATGAAGAAGTGGCAGGCACCGGAACTGTTAATAGGGAAACCTGCCACTCCCAGCAGCGACGTGTGAGTGTTCTCAGATATTAGTTTATTAATTGTATAGTAAAAGTGCTGCAGATTTGTAATTTAATCCCCCAGTCTGGAAATCTAACCTGACATGTTTCTGTCTTCCTGTAGTTGGTCATTTGGTGTTTTTCTGTATGAAATGGCAACTTTGGGTACGTCCAGCTTTATTTGTTTCATCTAGATTTCATTTAGTAACACTTTACAATAAAGTGCCCTTTATTAACGTTACTTAGTGCATTATTAACCCTCTCACTGTCCTAATGTGTGTGACCCCGCGAGGAAATTTGACCATTGAGCAGGGTTGATGGTTTATCCCTTGGGTCCATGTGGCAGGGGTGAGGAGTGAGCACCACCTCACCCCTGCCACGTGGACCTCAAGGGATAAACCATCAACCCTGCTCAATGGTCAACTTTCCTCGCGGGGTCACCCATAAAGACAGTGGAAGGGTTAAGCATTAATAAACCATTAAAGTATTAACAACTGTTTAACCATATTATGCATTATTAAGCACACAAACCCTGGCCCTTTGTCCTAACCTTAAGGACACCTAATAGTTAACAATAATGGGGAGGTTAATAAAAGGACCCTCTGTTAATTAAGGCTTAATAATGCATTAAGTAACATTAATAAAGGGACCTTTATTGTAAAGCGTTACTGATTAAATAATACAAACTACCATGTGGAAATGAAGGTAACGCTTGACAAGGGTCCCTTTATTGACGTTACTTGATGCATTGTTAAGCATTAATAAACAATTAAGTATTAACAACTGCTTAACCATATTATGCATTATTGAGCACACAAACCCTGGCTCTGTGTTACAACCTAAAGGACACTTAATAGTTAACAATAATAGGGAGGTTACTAAAAGGACCCTGAATCCTTTTTTTCCTCTCTAGGCGATGCTCCATTTGCAGAAATCCCTGTTACTGAGCTCCTGCAGTTTCATCAGCGAGGGAAAAATCTGAAAAAACCCTCTAACTGCTCAAACACGCTGTGAGTGTCTGCTGCTAGGCTGCAGATAATGAGGCAAAGCTGGTTACATGCTTCTTCCTGTTTTAACCAAACAATCTGTTGTGTTTCAGATACGCTCTTATTAAAAGCTGCTGCCAGTGGAAAGATCAGGACCGAGCCCCGCTGGCTGAAGTCAGCCGAAAGCTGGTTTCAGCAGAAAGAAGCGCCTCAGATAAAGTCATCAAAGCAACGGGTGTGGTTCACGTTGAGCAGTACCTGCAGGACGCGGGATACGGAGAGACCAGCAGCTACACTGTTTTCTGATCAGTTCCAATCTGCCAATAATAATGATAACAGTAATAAATGCAATGAACTTTTACACGTGACTTTAAGACACAATGCTTATTTTTATGTATTAAAAGGAGATTTTAATATATATTTTTAATAATTCTCATTTAAATTCCACTAAGCGAGAAAAAGCTTATATGAACATTTTACATATTAAAAAAAACACACTTGTGTTTGTATCAGGTAAAAATGAACTTCTTCAGGTTCCTTTAGGGTAAAGAGTTCATCATGTTGCCGTAAACCTGACCTGTGAACCCCGCTCACGTAGCCACGCTAATCTTGTCTGAAAAATGGCCAAAAATCAATCAAATGCTGTGTGTGAGCGTGTGTGTGTAAATATATTCTAAAGACCTTTTTTCATACCACAGACCACTGAGTGGTCGACTGGAGCACTGGGTGGGAATATCAGGCTTAGCAGTCCAGTGGATAAAATCTTACTTGTCAGGGAGGAATTTTTGTGTAAGAATTGGGAACTGTTCGTCTGATACTGCTGATTTGCAGTGTGGAGTGCCTCAGGGATCAGTCCTGGCACCTCTCCTCTTTTCCCTCTATTGGCTGCCGCTGGGTGACTTGTTTCGTCGGCACAACGTCAGGTTTCACCAGTATGCTGATGACTGTCAAATCTATTTACCTGTTATGGATGGCACAAAGTGTATTGTTCTTCAACCAGAATAAAACTGAGACTATCCTGTTCTGCCCGAAATACAAACATGGATGTGCCCAAGGGATTGACTCTCCTTTATTAGCACCTTTTGAGAAGGCTGTGGTCACCACCCTGGGGGTTGAGCTCACACTGGACAGCCAGGTGAATGGAACAATCAGATCCTGCTATTTCCATCTCAGGAGAATAGCTAGGATTAAGCCGCTTCTTTCACAAAAACATCTGGAAACTGTCATCCACGCCTTCATTACCACCAGACTGGACTACTGTAACTCGCTTTATGCAGGCATCAAGTAGGCCTCCAGTAGCGAAACTACAGAAGGTCCAAAATGCGGCAGCCAGGTTACTGACTGGTACCAGGAGATCTGAACACATCACGCCTGTCTTGGCATCCCTACACTGGCTTCCAGTCTCTTTTAGAATTTTGTTTGAAGTTTTGTTGTTTGTTTTTAAATGTTTAAATGAGTTGGCTCCACGTTATCTGTCGGATCTGATCCATCCTTATGCTCCCGCAAGGAACCTTCGGTCAGCACAACAAGGACTGTTGGTCGTTCCTAAACACAGACTGAAATCTTGAGGGGGTCGTGCTTTCTTGGTGCTGGGGCCGAGGCTCTGGAATGAGCTACCTACAGGTGTTAAACAGGCCACCACGCTTGGCAAGTTTAAGAGCCAGCTGAAAACACACTTTTATTCTTTAGCTTTTATTCAAGAGCCTCGTTAACGGATGGCTTTGCACTTTTTGCTGCCCCAACCTAAATTTTATCTGCATGTTTTTGTTGGTTTTTAAATGGTTTTATATGTTTTAATTTTTTTATTGTTTATTTCTGCTGTGCAGCGCTTTGTTTGGTCCTTGGGCCATGTGAAGGCGCTATATAAATAAATAAAGTTTAGTTTAGGTAGTTATGAATGTGCCCGACTTACCGTAATTAAAGCTATTAGTTGTATTTATGTTTACTCAAGACAATCTGATTATATGGATGTTCTATGGAGCTCAAAACTGCTTACTTAAATTAAAATATCAATAAAAATCTTAAAATTACAACAAACTTTCTGATGTTTTCATAAATGTTTATGTATTTAGCAGATGCTTTTGTCCAATGCAACTTACAAGTGATAATCGGCATATTACCCTTGAGGCTAACAACAACAATAACAACAACAACATTGACATCAGTCATGGAGAGTAGGGAACAAGGAGTGGACAGTAGAGAGGGGGGGACAGGTGCAGGCAAGGTGCTAGTTAAGAAGATGCTCTCTGAAGAGCAGGGTCTTCAGGAGTTTCTTGAAAATTGAAAAGGAAGCTCCTGTTCTGGTAGTGCTTGGAAGGTCATTCCACATTTGTGGAACGATACATGAGAAGAGTCTGGATTGTCCTGAGTGTGGTGTAGTCACTGCTAGCCGACGATCCTGATGACCGGAGCGGCCGGGCCGAGACGTAAGCCTTTGCAAGAGGATTCAGGTAGATGGGAGCCGTACCATCTCGGACTTTGTATGCTAGTGTTAGCTATTTGAATTTGATGCGTGCTGCTAGCGGTAGCCAGTGGAGCTCAATGAACAGAGGGGTGACATGTGCTCTTTTTGGCTGGTTGAAGACCAGATGCGCCGCTGCATTCTGGACCATTTGAAGAGGTCTCGCAGTACAGCCTGGAAGACCAGTTAGAAGGGTGTTGCAGTAATCGAGGCGGGAGATGACAGTAGATTGCACCAGGAGCTGGGTGGCATGTTGTGTTAGGTATGGTCTGATCATTCGTATGTTATACAGCACAAAGCGGCATGAAGAGAGGCAACATGATCTTTAAAGGTCAGGTGTTCATCAACCACAACACCAGATTTCGAACTGCCTTTGAAGGAGCCAGAGATAGGAAGTCATTTTGGATTGAGATATTGTGCTGTATGGATGGTTTTGCTGGGATGACAAGTAGTTCAGTTTTAGAGAGGTTGAGTTGGAGATGGTGGGATTTCATCCATTTTGATATGTCAGAGAGACAGTTTGATATTCGTGCAGAGACAGTGTGATCGTCCGGTGGAAATGACAGATAGAGCTGGGTGTCGTCTGCATAGCAGTGGTAGAAGAAGCCATATGATCAAATGATCTCACCGAGTGAGGTGGTGTATAAATAAAAACAGGCCCACACCAGCGGTGGAAGAAGTACTTGAATTCTACATTTAATTAAATGTACAGATTAAGGGGTACAAATTAAGTAAAAGTTGAAGTATCCATGAAAGGTTTGAAGTAAAATTATTAAATTATTAATTTTTAAATGTGCTTAAAGCCGTTATAGCGAATCTGCAAATAAGCTAGGTTTTGACTGTGTTGTGCCCAAACACATTCATTGAACGATCGTTCAAGAACTTCGTTTTTTCGTGAAGTGAAATCGTTCGTAATTTGCCTGACGAAGATTAAAGTGAGCGTGTCTGTTCTGGCGTGCGTGAACAGGTTCATGAAAGCGCTCATTCGATATTCGAGCTCCAGATCTCCACGAAGCTAAAGCCTAGCTAAAATATCCTGTTAACTACAGTTTATAAAAAGTAGAACCCGCAAATGCGAAAATAGAGGTCGTTTCGGCTTCTACTCATCTATTCCTACGCTGTGTGGAGGACGGACATCATGGTGCCTTCCTTTTAGCTCGGAAAATACACAACTGCACATAAAATCGATTTTAGATGCACCCTTAAAAGTTTATCTTGTAAAACAAACACATTTCCACCACAGCTACTATTGTTATTACAAGGAGCTGCTATTGAACCTCAAATTTGAATTAAAAAAAACTACTATCTGAATTTGGGGGGTGTTACAGTTCATTCTACTTGGAAGCAGGGGTGGACTGGCCTATCTGGCATTCTGGCACTGTCCCGGTGGGCCGCTTAGCCAAGTGGGCTACTTGCCCAGCTTGGACCAACACTACTCCACAGTTAAACTGCAGAACATTAGCTACATGGTAACCCAAAGCTAACAGTTTTTCCAGGCGTTTTTAGCAAGAAAAACGCGGTAGAGCGATGACGTAGGAGTTGTTTTACCGCGTTAGCATGTAGCTAATGTCCCGCTGATCTCCGCCTGTGGAGAACGAGCTGATCTGGAAGGCCAGGGCTCCTGGTCGCAGCGGTCTGGCCTTGCTTGTAATTTAACAGTCCCAGCCATATTAGGTCTCACATTCGGCCTAGAGACGAGTCAGCGGGCGGCAACACCCCCCACCCCCACGGGGAGGGCCGACGATTTGTAAAAATGCCAGGGCCGAGTTTTGGTCCCAGTCCACACCTGTTTGGAAGATGATATTTTTAAGTATGGAACTAACTGGAATGAACCAAGGGGGGGGGGGGGGGGGGGGGTCTAATCTGGAAAAAACTAGTCACAGTCACACCGATAATATTTAATTTTTGTTTATTTGTCCAAACGTATCCTGTTGTCTGTGACTTCAAATGGTGTTTTTCTTTTTGGGACTCTGGTAGTTTGTCCTAAAGATGAAGTGGTAGCAGACGGCTGTTTCCCCTTCTCTGACGTGGTGTTGTTGCTAAATACATGAGTGTGTTATGAATGGAAGACAGGGAAGTGCGGCGGTTTGGCGAGACTAGGCGGATGGTCCAATCGTTGTATTTAGTATGAAAGGTGGTATTGGTGAAGGTTTGGAAAAATTTGCGAGAACCACTTTTTTTTATCTCTACAACATATTTATAGCTATGTTAGAACTAAGAGGGATGAAAATTTGTTTTAGTTTTTCAAATTTGCTATTGCAGCTTTAAAAGAATCCAATTAACATTTAAATATGCATTGTGTGTGTAGAAGTGTGCTGTTGGACGAGGAGGAAATACTATTACCTCTGGAACTGCAGTCCGTCGTGGACAAGGTCTCCATCGAACCAAGACGGGGTCGGACAAAATGCAGATTTAAGTACTTTCACTTTTGAAACAAAAAAAAAAAAAAGTAAAAGTAAAAATAGGCATCTTTGGTGGAGATTCATTCTTTGGCACAAAAGATGGATGCCATCAAGGAGAGAGTGGACGAATCAGCACGGATTGGGATAGATTAACGTCCATTACTATTGGGATTCGGAGAGGTGAGGACCAACAACAAACTGTAAGACAGAGAGGAAATTATCTCTGTCTGGCCCCAAAACTTTTCTAATCAGAATCTGGTGCCCTTGAGCCTGCAAGGCTCCAACGAAAACTCCCCCCTCAGAAGATATGTGGAATATGCCGTCGCTATGGCAACTCAACTCTGCCTCCTTTCCCAGCCTGGGTGGGACTGCGGGAAGGCTGCTGAAGCGTCCAGGGTCACTGCACCCTCCAACCATAAATGCTCCCTCCCATCCACACTGAGGTGACATGCGCTGCTTCATCGTGGCTGCAGGAACTGAAGTTGGGATAGTCCCAACCCACCACCCTGTGTTGTCTGAAGTCTGTTGCATATCTCTGTCTGAGGTGTTTTTTTTAGCAGAGCAAAGCTGCCCTCCTGCTGGAGGGTAGCTCTGAGGTGCATATTTTTTCCCTCCACCTGAACCAATCCTCATGTAACCCTCTTATCTCTATTAAGGTGGTGCGACTCAGGGTTGCGAATGACCACAGACACCAATTCTTGTCATGTGTCTTGCCCATGTATGTCTGATCTCTGAATTGTGTGTACTGAAACTCTAATTTCCCTCTGGGATTAATAAAGTATCTTTGCTTTTGATTTTTTTGATTTGATTGAAGAAAATGACAAGTACAGATACAGAAAAGCTGTACTTAAGTACAGTAACTAAGTACTTGTACATTGTTGCATTCCATCACTGATCCACACAGATGTAGTAACTCGTTTACTGGCAGTACTGCATCTACAGAGAGAGCTTCCATTCAGTAAAACATGAGAAATACCAGGTAACACCGTTCAACGCTACTAAAACTACGTTGCTTTTATGAAAAAAAACTTGATTGTTCTATAAAAAATGGAAAATACAAAACTAAAACAAATAAAACCACCAGGCTCTTTGAGTGTCGTGTTTCGTCATGATTGGAGCCGGCTCAGTTGAACTTCTCAGACAAAAACATAAAGAATGCATAAAAAAACACTAAACATGAATGTAACTGACATTTGTTGACATCACTAAAGTTAAAGCACATTTTGAAAAACCGCTAGAAGGCAGCAGAAGCCGTAGCGCCCCATAGGTGGACCGCTTTAGCACGCTTACATTCACAGTGATAAAAAAAAAGTCATCTGTGGCATCGACTTGGATCCATTCCACGTATCAGAATGACCGACAGGGCACTGTTGTTTATTAGAAAAATGAATCATTTAAACCTTCTTCGAGAACCTCAAAAGTCCAAGTGTTGAATTTGACAAGGTCAGAGCGAACAGGAACGCGTTTACTCGCGCAGACTGTTGATGGAGGCACAGATCTTCAGAGCAGGACCCAGCTTAATATTCATGGTGGAAATGAGATGCTCCTCCCTCAGCAGCAGCAGAGCCTGCCCGTCGATTTCCTGTGACAGAAAATGGGCCGCCAGCTCCTCGCAACCTAAACGCCGAGGTGAGGAGAATCCATCAGCAAAAGGAATCGAGATCTGCCGTAAATAAACCGAAATGAGCAAGACTGCTGACCTTGGAGCGAGGAGATGAACTTGCAGACTTCGTCCACGCTCCACTGAGCGGGAGTCGCAGACAGGAAGCTAGCTCCTCCCAGTGGGAGGCCTCCAGGAGCTGAGCTGTCAGACGGAGGAGCGCTGTGCTCGGCTCTGGAGCAGGAGTGTGACGAGCTCGGAGACAAGGAAGGAGAATCCTCCTCCTCTTCCTCTTCCTCCTCGCTGGATATGTCTTCAGAGTGACTGGACTCGGAGTGACACTACACCACGACAGCAGGGATTAAAATATAATCATACACACTGTGTGTGTGTGTGTGTGTGTGCTTAATGATAGATCTCACCTTGACAGAAGGATGCTTGCTGGATATTTTATTATAGTTGGAGCTCGAGCTGCTCCTGCGAGAGGGTCCTCTGCGCAGCGTGGTGCCCCCAGATGGCATCGGGCGTGGTGGCACCCGTGCACCGCTCCGCCCCCTGCTGGACTTGAAGTGTTGAGTGCAGCTTACGTTATATCTGCCAACCCATAAAAAGCTCAATCTGATCACAGATTATAGATCTCTCTTAACTGCTCTGACCTGTCCGATGCAAGCCTTTGTTTTTCCATCACTGAAACACGATGTCCTGGTTTACGCTCCTTTTTATTTTGGGATTCAATGCAACTGATTACAGACATAAAAATCATGAGGAAAACAATACGAGTCCAACTCAACAAGAATCTTCTCCTCACACGTCTGAAGATTTAGCAGGTTCTCAAAAAGTCGGTGGTTATGCTCTCGTTAACAGCACATAAGGAAACGGAACGCGGTCCGGATTCCGAACGGCTTCCATAAAGACCAGAAATCATCAAGTCCATTCAGAGCATTCACACCAGCCGAGGTGCACATCCAGAAGAATCTTTTTATGGATGCTGCAAGAAGCTAAAGAAGTCACATGAGCCAGACAGGAAGTGAGATGTGGAACAGAGAGGTGAAGTTGGTATATTTCAAAATAAAACCCACATTCATGTTATTCATAGTTCATGTTAAAGTAGGGCAGGACAATAAATCAAAAATTTATCGTTATCGAAATTTCTGACTTTTATCGAGAATTTTTCTTGTGTCAATAAATTTGATAATAAAAAAATGAAAAGATGTGTAGGTTGGCAACGTTCGTGTCCCTTTAAGAAGCGGTACCACCGTGAGTCAGGTAAAAATGTGGCCGTGTTCGAGTTGAGCAGCGCCTCGCCTGGAAAACAGACGAGAGTAGACGGACGCAGCAGGGGGAGCGGCTGAACGTCGGCGTTTAAGTCGGACAGATTTCCCTTCATGTGTAGCTCGCGGGTGACGATGGATGAAGATATCACGTTAGCGTTCACACTTGTTTAATTTTTAATTTTAATTCTGGTGCCTGTTAGCAACCGAAACACATCCTCACGTGCTTGTGGACATAATGTAATGCATATGGAGACATGACTGTAATAATAAGTAAAGGTTATCGGCTGTAGCTTTAGTGTGTTCATAGAAAACGTAACAAAAGAACACAAAACACATTTCTCTTTGTGGCCTAAATAGTTACAATCAACGTAACATGATTTACTGAATACATGTGACCAACTAACATTTCATGTTCTACCACCGAATGTTCGGATCAGAATGTGAACCAATCAGACCTTAGATCAGGCGAGAGCCAGGCATTTCCCGTCATGCCCTAGGTTTTGCAGCCGGTAGAGAGCAACTGCAGCGCCTTGCTCTAAAATCTGCGGCCGCCTTGATCTCACGAGGTTATCGTTGCCTACGTAGGCATGACGTCAGAGCAAGTCAGCGTCAAGTCAGACACAAATCTAACCGGCATGCACTCCAGAACTGGCTCATCTCGAACACGGCACATGTGACAGCCCCCTCTAGTGGACAACTGTGTTTCTGCGCACACCTGTAGTTATCGTCCATTTATGGTTATCGAGGTGAAATTCTCAATATATCGTAATATTGATTTTAGGCCGTATCGCACAGCCCTACTTTACTGGTATGGTTTGCGTCAAATTTCTAAAGAATGTGGGATAAAATTTCTGGAGACGTTCAGAACACGAATTGCAGTCGGTGTGAATGGAAGTCCGTCCAGAAGCCTTAAAACAACCAGAACACATCTGTTCACAATTGGTGTGAATCAGGCGTTAAAAGCCAAGTTCACTTGTTTTCCAACACATCTGCTGCGTATAAATGAACGCCTTGTGAGTCGACCTCTGTAGGAAAAAGCTCCGGTGCTCCCGTTTCAGGAAGCAGAGGAGAGGCTAACAGCAACGTGCCTCAGTTTACTTTGGAACGCTGATGTTTTTTCTCCACAAACAACACAAGCCTGATGGGAGTTCAGCCATGTTGCGGAGTTGCTAATGCTAACAGTTAGCTTCTGCTAGCGGAGATGTTCTCTGCTGTTTCCTGGATGCTAAACCAACGTCATCCTTCCCCGTCGTGAGCCAAGATGGGTGAATCCATGAATATTAAGCGACAGTGTGACGTAGATCTGTTATTTTTTTCAGACCCGAGCATTCCCTCTACCAGAGGTTAATGAAGAAAATACGGGTAGAAGACTATTTTCATGTCCAGCCTGCAGGTGGAACTCAGAGTGACCGGTCGCATTGCAAAAACAACAAGAAAAAAACAGTTTCTCCGTGAACTTCCTCTCTAACCTGATGCGTACCTTTACATAAAGTTTTTGGAGTTGATTAAAACCCCGCACAGCAGCCATTCTCTATCAATAATACTGAATTAGAACATTTTATTTACCTTTTAGCGCAGGAATTAGAACAGAACCTCTTCGACCCCCGGAACTGGCTGGCTGGAGCGAGGCATCCGCAGTACTCACACTTCAACACTGCTGGTGAGACAAAGACCACACAATCAGAACACACACACACACACACACACACACACACACACACACACACACACACGCACACGCACACACGCACACAGCTCTACTCACACAGGTGGCTGTTCTCCGTGCGGCCCACCAAGGCAAAATCTCTGTCCTTCAGGAATCCGGCGACCTGCGATGTCACACACGAACTCTAGATAAAGGTTTGCTCATTCTGGTGAATACTTTGCGTTTGTGAGGTTTTAAACTTACAGGGAAGGGTTCGGCTCCTTCTTGAATCACAAACCCCTCGATCAGGTGGGTGAGAACTTGAGGTTTGACCACCGCCTGCGGGAGTGGGATTCGGTCTTTGTCCCCAGCTTTCGACAACGGCGGAGGCAAGGAAAGGGTTGGAGGAGACGAGAACGCAGCTTCTACAGAGGGAGCTGCAAAAAAAAAAACAGCACAGGTGAAACAAGAATCAACTCTATGGCAAATATCTTTGACGCTTTCAATCAAATGTGACAAAATAATTTACTCGAGTCCTTCGTGGGGGCGGGTGATAACGGCGGAGCGCAATCTTTGATGGGTGCGGACTCTGATTCTGTCGCGTTGTTCGGTGCATCGCATTCAGACTTTCTCTTCAGAGAACCAGCAACCGGTTTGGTCTTAAAAGAAAACAAAGCAAATGCAAACGACTGACAACTCTCCAAACATCATTTAACCCTCAACCTGGGTGCCACATTCTGATCTCACCACAGCGATATTGTTGAGGACTGAGCTTCCACCGGATGAAACCTCCTGGACTGAGCCGCTCCGCGCCGGACTCAGAGCCACAGCTTGTGCGTTCCCTGCCAAGCCCTGCCTGGCTCCCACTAGCTGGACCGGTATGTGGGGAGGGTTGTGACCTGCTGCGGCATTGCTCGGCGGAGCCGGGAGAATGGGGGGAGGATTTCGAGTTGACAGCTGAACAGGCAAGCGGTGTCCCTGAGCTGTCTTGGGTTGGATCGGAACAGGACCTTTCTCCACGTTAGTGCCAGCCTGTTGTAGGGGCTGCACCACCAGAGTCTGAGCATTTATGTTGGACTTCGGAGCCACAGGGCCAATTGGATAGCCCTGGGTGGAGGTAGTTACATTTGAAGTGGGCACCAGGAAGACGGGAGCAGCAGAAGAAGACAAGAGGAGCTGAGGGAGAGGAAGTGCAGGAGATGGAGAAGAGGAAGGAGCGACGGTGGCAGAAGGAGTGACGGTCATGACAGCCTGGTTTCCAGGTTTCAGGGTCATGGAGCTGGAGGCAGCCTGCTGATTAAAGCTGGCTTTGGCCATCTGTTGCAGTTGCTGTGGCTGAACTTGCTGCTGCTGAGCTGTCGGGGGAAACGTCTGCTGCTGCTGCTGAGAGAGAGGAAAACTGGCAGCATCTTTCCGCTCCGAGATTTCAGACTTGGCAGTAGCGGCTTTGAGGGCAGCGGCACAGTCCAGAGTCAGATTCTGCACCTGGAGAAACCCAATCTCATTAGTTTCCTCTAAGCATTCATAAAAACTTTACTGATATAGTTGTAATCGTACTTGATCACCGTCGGAGTGGCCGCTTGCAGCTGTGGCAGCAGCTTCCTGCTGTTGCTGCTGCTGGGGCTGCGTCTGAGCTACGGCCGCTACAGTAGCTGCAGTTCCACCAGGCATGAAGATAAACTGAGAGGCAAGTGGAGCTCTAAGGGAGCGGTTCACCTAAACAAAGAGCAGCACAGCTGAGCAGAGCCGGTCCTTTGACCCAGATTAATAAGCATCACATCGATTACTGATTGTTGTGGTTTTTGGTTGCGACACAATCTAGTCAAATATTTATAGCTACTGAAAACTCACTCTAAGATACATCTGCCCCTGTCCTGGTGAGTTTCCACCCAGCAACACCGACTGGTTGAGAGCTGTTGTTGCTGCAGAGGTAACTGGTCCGTGTGGCCGAGGAGTGGTCATCGTCCCACCTGCAGACGTAGAGCTCAGGTTCACCTGTAGGATGAAAGATAATCAGACATTTCTAAATCAAAATCATCATCATCATCATCATAATAAAACAAACAACTCAGCAAATGAACTCACAGTGGTGGGAGCTTGGGACATGCTGTTGCTTGCGGTGTTGGACTGGCGGCTTGCTGCAAGCGTGGCCTGATTTAAAGAGTAAAATCAAACATGAGTGACGTCCTTTACTAGCTGTCAAACTGCACAGTTTATTCCTAATTGTGATTACCTGTTGTACAGCAGCCAAGGTGTTCAGCTGCGCATTATTGATCTGTTGCTGCAGCATGAGCTGCTGGAAGTACTGAGCTGCATTAGGCTGTCTTTGCAAGGCCTGCAGAGCCTAAATATGAAACATGCATGCATTAAATTAAATACTTATTGAAAATATGATCCTATAAATTTAGTTTGAGACAATAAACCCTCACCTGAACAGCCTGTCTTTCATACAAAGACATGTTGGCTATCTGGGGTGCCCGGGAGCTCCCACCTGTCTGAGTGTTCCCGTTAGCGTTGCCTGTATTTTGCTCTTCGCTTGGATCCATGCCTGCTGCTCCAAGCCTAAAAGAAATAGATGAGAAGTTTTTATATTGATTTATTTGTCCACAACACACAAAAAACATTATTTCACAAACCTTATCATTAATTCCTACTAACAAATTATAATAACTAATATAAATCAAATAGTTTAACGTGTCCCAACCCATTCAATGTTCAATGTTCATAAGAACATTATTTGTAGTGTGATTTATTTAAGTGATTTAAAGTTTGCAGGGCATCTACGAGCCCCTGTTTAGCACTAGAGCATGAGCAGTTTTGTGGTGTTTACACTAATAAAGCAGCTGTCAACGTGATAAACCGGTGACGTGAAAACAACATGGAGGAAAAGTTCAAAACATCAAAAGAAGTTAGCTACTGTCTGTCGGTGGCTAACTCCTGATGGTTACTGCTGGGTTATAACTCTTTGAAACAAACATTTCAGATGTTTGAACCGTAATAGTTGTTGTTGGTGTGATCATTTAATGTGTTCAGTTATGTTTTATGAGGATAATATTAAAATTATTTTCAAAGTATGTCAATATTTAGCATAAGCTAACTGCTTAGCAACGTTAGCTGCTTTTCTGCAGGCACAAAACTAGTAATTATAACTCTTGCAACCCGATAGCGGTCGGTGTGTTTTGTACAAGTTATGCACTTACCTTATGCTCAGTTTGATGGCCCTTTTCACAGCTGAAATAAATCCAGTTACTTTGGTGGTCCTGGTTTTTAATGGCAACAACGTCAGACCCCTTTTTGATTTTCGCCTGCAGTGAAACCCCGCCCCCTTACTTTCTGATTTTGGGTGCTTTTCTCCTGACAAGACATACGGGGGCGCTGTCGTTCACAAGTTACGAAACATGATCTTTTGACCTCACGCTTTCAAAATGTTTACTGATGACGAAGTATTTATCACGCTGGCTAATTATGTATTTTAGTTTGATCGGCTTTTATTTTCAATAATTATATGATGTAGATAAACTCAGCCCTCAATATGTGACCTGCGTTGCCAGTTGAGCTGGACTAAACCAGTCTCTAGTTCACTTGGGTCTTTTAGGACAGGTTCCCAAACCTGTCAGCTACAGACCCACAAAATAAAAACAGGCACGTGAGCCCAGATATCTCTGATTTGACAATACAAACATGCTTAAAACCCCTAAATAACGCAGGGAAAGAAGAAAAACACTTCAGCTCATATTCACGTCCATCCACTTCCGGTCTACGGGTCCCAAACTGCCCCCAAAAATAATGGGAGTTTATGTGCGGATAAAAGTTTTTTCTGATCCTGTTTGAAATGTGTCATGTACTTCATACATGATGCCTGTGGATTTCAAAGACACATTTTGATGCCAAGAAAGCAATTATTTCTGAATGCCAGCAAAAGTCATGTTAGCTTTTTTGTGAAAAATACGGTGCCCGTCTGGTGAAAAGGTAACTCGTGGCCACGACATACTTAATGTGTGGGAACGAGTTATTAACTCGTGCCCATGACTAATAAATGCATTCCCAAGATGCGTGGCCACGAAATATAATAACTTGTGGGAACGCATTAATAAGTCGTGGCAAAGAGTTAACAACTCGTTCCCACGCATTAAGTATCTCGTGGCCACGAGTTATTTATTTTCCTCAATATCACCAGACGGGCACCGCAGAAAAAACGATTTAGGTTTACAAATGTTCGTTTCACCAAATTGACGTCATCGAACCAGACAGAGAAAAGGAGAAGTTTAGCGAGTTTCGAATCCTCCTTCCAGGACGACGGGGGCATTAAATGTGGAGAAAACCATAAATCTGGCCATGTGGTAAGAAGCAGGAGGAGGGAGAAGAAATTCTGATGTGACGTCATATATGAAACATCTGATTTGTAGTTATTTTAATAATGTATTTTTATAAGCTAATTAATCTTAAATTACATGAGTCGAAACACTTAATTACTTGTGTGATTTGGAGCGTAAATCAATGCAGATTAGAAAATAGCCCATTCACAAGCCTTCATTTTTCTCTTAATTCTGGGGACCCATGAACCGACTGGCAACGGAGACTACTAGTTCTGTTTGAAAGTTGAGTTTTTATAATAATTATGCAGAAATATAGCATCTGCAACTGTTTTTCTATTTTCTATTGTGGAAATTATCTCAAGACCCTCTTTGCAGCATTTGGTGACCCACTGTGGGGCCTCGACCCCAATATTGGGAACCAACGTTTTAGAATATTCTTTCTCTTTCGTCATCTATATAAAAAACCTATTTTTGAAACTATCATAGAAAATATAGAAAATCCAATTATTTTTAGATGTCGTCAAACGCTCATAGGCGAGTTCACCTGAATTTGTGTTGTAAATAAACTATTAGAAACAACAAACTTTTTAGTTCATCTTTATTAGAATTTGAAAACAAACAGCAAAGTCTATACCTGATCAGTTTCAGCCAAACACAAATTTCTGTTCAAATCCTGCAGCAACACCTCACTTCCTCAGACCTTGGTTCCAATCAGTCAGACTTGTATTATAAATGGTTTTGATCTTAAATGGTGTATGTCAAAATGCTGTACAGTGCCACCTTGAGATCAAACTAAAACGTAACATGAGCAGGACCGAAGCCAAGGCTAAAAAAACATACTGTTATAAAATTATCTGAGAGAAAAAAACAAAAACAAGAAACATTTTCAGAAACAGTCTTTGGGAATGACCCTCTTGGTACAAAAACACCATTTTCCACCCAGCTAAGGATTAAATTGGTTACTTTAGAAGTTTGAACTTAATAATTTGGAACAAAATCCAGTTTTCGGGACAAATTTTAATTTAAATATCATGATTTAATTTGAAGTAAGCTGTAATTTTGCCCTTTAGCGTGCAGACAGAATTTATCGACTGGGTTTAGATGCCATTTTACAGTTGCACAGTGATTAGACAGAAAAATAAATTATACCAAATTATACCGCTCCAATAACTACAATAAAAACCATTTAAATGTATAAGAAAGTCTGGCTCCTCGGAAGCAAAACAAAGAAAAATAAGACCGCCCAAGACTTTTGCACAGAATATTGATATCACAGTAAACCAGCCAACATGGTCGCTATTTTATTCCCTTCAAGCACAGGTGAAAGTGTTTCTGCCAGATAATCCAGAATATAATTCAATTAACCAAGAAAGAAAAAAACAAAACGAGGCCTACAAAGCAAACGTAACACAAGTTTAACAGACAAAAGAACAAAGTGCTAACACCATCCAAACGTAACCAAACTCAGACGTTTTCCATCAAATTACAAACAGTTTTTAGCAACATTATATTTAGATTTTGAAAAAAATATTATAAACATCAAGAATGAAATCTAAAATAACATTTTATAACCATATTATTTAATAAAGGAGTATCAGTCGCTCCATGTTTACAATAGAAGAAAACAGCAGCTCTAAAGTGCGCGCCTCGTTTCAGCCGCTTGAGTCGGTCTTCTAACGTAGACCAGCAGAGCGGCGTTTTCTCACTCCTCTTCACTTTTAGAACTAGAAACATTGGTGGTTTGCAGATGCTAATTTATCTGATCAAAATACGAACACATACAGAACACCACATCTTAAAGACGGGTTTTCATGTAGAAAAAGTTCATATATGAATGTTTTGTAACTATTCATGTGAAAAAGAGGTTGATCCGTAATGAACTGAAGATGGACGCTTTGCTTTATAGCCTCAAAGTTAGCTTTTAATTGCATCGCTGGCCTTTTTGGACAGAAACCATAAAGGACAGGTGGGTTCTGCACTCAAACAGGACAAGGTAGAAACGCTTAGAAATACTAACTAAAAACAGAAAAGAACTGATTTCAGCTTTGGTTTTGTTTTTTTTGCAGCTCTTTCTACTTGTGCAACAAGGTTGTAAGTACAGCCACGTTTACATTCACATATCTGAACCAAACCAGAGGATTAAAGCCGATTTACACGAGAAGAAACGCCTCAGTGTTGAGCAACCTGCAGCAACATAACACTTTCAACAAAAAAGCAAGAAAGATTAACAAAAACATCAACGATCTGGTAGAAATTTAACAAAATACCCCATTTTTTCCTCCTCAATGTTTATTTAATTTGAATCTTTAATCTTGGACAAATCATTCATACGGATGCTCCGAACAGGAGCAGAGACGAGTCTATTGGTGCTGTGAGTATCGTGTCCTCCTGCTTGTAGGCACAGGTGTATATAAGCAGGAACGGACTTAAACATGGTAAAGGAAACAGACGAGTGTACCAGGCTGCTTGTCTAGACTGTAAAAGCGGGATCTGTACCACACAGTGAAGGGTTGTGTCTACTTTCTGACATACTGAGGTCACATAGGTAGTAAGTGGTCGTCTCGCTCTTCTGGCTCCTCCTCCACGGCGTCTGTGGTCACTCCTCTGTAAGCTGGAGATTCCTCTCGGTTTCTTGACCGGCACACAAAGTCACAGCCGTCCTGAAGGGAGGGGGTACATTTTATCATCAGATAATAACAAAAACAACAATTAAAGAGTAATTTTTAGATGAAAATTACAGCTGTTAGGTTTCCAACTTCCACCCAAAAAGCATAATTTGGGAACTGCTCCATCCCTTTGGCGCCGACGATCAGCCGCTGGTAGAGGAAACCTCCGATAAGGTAAACGGCCACGAGGCAGAAAGCGCTGAAAGACAAGAATCTTTATTTTTTTTTTGTTGTTGCCATTTTTCTAAAGGTTTTGTGCAATTACTGAGTGTCTTTACATACATGATGAGTAATATGGATCCGGCGCTGAGCTGAGAAGACTCAACGGGACACGCGGCGCTGGAGTCCAACTCAAAGAAGTAATAACAGTTGTTTCCTCTCTCCCTGTCCTCCGGGAAGACTTTCAACTCACCCTAAGAACAAAACAAAGAACGCTAAAAGATAAAGAGAAACAAACACTGGAAAAACAGCCAGAAAAGGCAAAACCACATCCTTAAACACACACCAACTATGTCCTGTGACACTTATTCTTCTTTAAACCGGAATTTTCACAAACAGAATTCTGGTAAAAAAAAAAGAATAAAAAAAGTGGAAACTGAAATGTGGATGTGCTCGTTCACGTTTCTACCACTCTTATTTGTTATCATCGATGGAAGAAATACAGTCTCACCAGAATGAAGAAGAAAAGATCTTCTCTACAGCGCCTCTCAAGATAAAAATCACGAGGCGCTTCACAAAAACAAAAAATGTAAAAATATAAAAAATAATTTAGAAAATGATTAAAAATATATTTAAAATGAGCAAAAAGATAGACAATTGTGATTAAAAAATGTTAAGAAAGAGAGAGAGTGAATAGGAAAGAGGGAAATCAGTGGATCCCGAGGAAGGTGGAATAGGTAGGGAGAGCAGAACAAGGAGAGGTGATGAAGGTCACACCAAAACCAGCTTAAACAGGTGAGTCTTCAGCTGCGTATTAAAGGAGACCACTGAGTCCACTGATCTCAGGCTCAGGGGGAGAGGGGTCCAGAGTCTGGGGGCCACAGCAGCAAATGATCGGTCACCTTTGGGCTTTAAAATGACTTTAAAATGACTTTGTAGACGTAGAATTTATGACATCATTTTTCTTCTTCTGTGAAATTATGTATTTTAATTTTTTTTCTACTTAAAATAAATCAGCAAAAAAAAAAAAAATACCTGGAAAAATTTGACAGAAATTCTACGTAAAAATTTCATCAGCAAAAATTTTACAACTGGGGTGACCTGTGACCCAAGCCAAAGTAATCATCACTCAATCGAGTCGAGTGGCTTTTAGCCAATCAAATGGTACCTTTTTGATCATGTGACACTACTGAGGCGTCGCCTCAAGTGACGATATGATTGGCTTGAGTCACCAGGAGGTCACCTCAGCTGTTGAATTTTTGTGCTGAAATTCTGCAGCTGAATTTTTACAGATGAAAATTAAGAATGTTAAAAATTTCAACTACATATTTTCACAGAACAAAAACTCCACATCTATTCTGGTGAGACGGTATTTGTTCCACAATAAAGAATCATTTTGATTTTTAAACACCTGAATTCTCTGAAGCAACGCGCTGCTCTTGTACAAAAACCACCAGCGTTTCATTTACCACATCTGCATTCTTGTTGCAGGAGATCATGATCATAGCTCTCCTCTTTTCCTGACCGCAGTGGTTATCATATTCCTCACCATCGTTGTAGATTAACAACACCCATTGATCTGAAAAGGCAGAAAGATGTCAAATAATGCCAAAACACCTATTAATGTTGACTATTTGCCTCCTAACATGATGCTTTTCTGAGGACACTGGATAAAGAAAATGAAGCAGTTTTTACAAAACAATTCTGCCAATTTGCCACATCAAGGAGCCTTAGGCCGGGGACACACCGGCCGCCGAAGCGCCGGGAGGCGAAGCGCTCACGAAATTCGGCCGCTGCTCCTCAGTTCAGACCAGACGCTTGATTCTCCGCTCCGGTCGAGGCGCGCCTCGTAGTTTTTCTTTTAACCACTTGGTGTCCTCCATTTCCTCTCTGCCTTTATTCTGCTCTTTTCCTCTACACCCCCCTCCCCCTTGCTGTTTGTGTGTGCTTGTACGTGTGTGTGTGTGTGTGTGAACCTATGGTGTGAATCAGTTATTAATAGCTGGCCTACGACTTTCTGCCTCTCTGTCCTGTTTGCTTCGGTTGAAAGACATCCAAAACCGCAACACGCACACACACACACACACACACACACACACACACACACACACACACACACACACACACACACACACACACACACACACACACACACACACACACACACACACACACACACACACACACACACACACACACACACACGTTCGCTGTGTGTGTGTGATTTTTATGCAGTGTCTGTTTACGAACACATTTGACTATCGCGGAATTGTATTTTGAAATGCTTTATTTTGCTAAATTTACCGGCCTGCCTCTTATGTCTAAGGCCCTGTCCACACGTAGCCGGGGATCTGCCAAAACGTAGATATTTTCTACGTTTTGGCCTGTCATCCACACGAAAACAGAGTTTTTTCACACGAAAACGGATCTTTTTAAATACTCCGGCCAAAGTGAAGATCTGCGTTTTCTCCGTTTTGGGTGTCTGCGTGTGGACAGACAAAACTGGAGTTTTAAGGTCCGCAACGTCACTTCCCGCGACAAAAAAATGCTGACATCACGTGTGCGACCTGTGTTTACACTAGCCGGCATCATGGAAGCCCTCAGAGCTGCGCTCACTTTATCAATTGTCCAAGCGCTTTTTGCTTGTTTGTTTTTGCAAGCGGAATTACTGCTCCTTGCGGAAGACCACAGACGAAGGACGAGGTTAAGAACGGGGGAAGTACTGCCGCCTACAGGTCTGGCATGTCCTTAACAACGCATTTATCCGGGTACGTGTGGACAGAGGTTTTTTTTTAAAAACGAGGTGGTGTGGATGCAAGTTTTTGGAGGGGCGGATATTCGTTTTTTTAAAAACCCAGCTACGTGTGGACTAGGCCTAGGTTTCACTTCCTGTCAGAATTGAAGCTGTTCACCCGCGGCTCACGAAAAAAATAGAGCAGACGCCGAAACGATTGCTGCACGGCGCGGGCTGGAGCGCCGGCGCTTCAGCGGCACATGTGGTCTATAGAATAGGATAACAAGGGCGCCGAATGAAGGCGGTCCACTTTTCGCGGCGCTTTGGCGGCCGGCGTGTCCCCGGCGTTAGGTCGTTTATAATTGGTCAGACTGTGGAGGTAATGTGGTGCAATTGGGTCCTTTTTACAAAAGATTAGGCGATGGTGGCATAAAGGAGTTACGGGGGCGGTCTCTGTGCTGCTGTGGACTTCTGTTTATCTTGGACACAACTTCCTTTTTTATTGCAATCGAATCCACGCTCACTACGTTTTTTAAGAAGCTGCTCCTAAAGGTGTTTGTCCTCCACAGTCCCCGTGCTGTCTCTGGCGATCTGAGCTCCAGATCTAACGGAGAGAAGCTCAAGGAATGCTGCACTTTTCCAGTCTCAGCTGATTCTGTTTACAAAAGCAAAACTTACAGCCCGTGTTTACTTTCATTTTCAACATAGTTGCCGGTGTTACGTCGATATGCGTTCCCCCCTCGAGATCTGTTTCTTTTGGAAACGACCCAGTCACAAAAAACATAACTCTCACCCTGAACCTTAATCTAACCATAATCACACTGTCACCAAAAATGTGTTTTGCATAATTCATTCTGAAAGTATTATGTGTAGCACCATTTTTACGTTTGTTTCAGGATTATGGTTAGGGTAAAGGCTGGGGTAAAGGTTAGGACACTCATTTTTTGTGAGTGGATGGCTCAAAGTTGCAGCTGGGTGCAAAAGAAACAGATCTCGAGGGGGGAACACGTCGACGTAACACTGGCCGGAGCTCGGCAGTAACTCCCCACAGCATCATGACACCCCAAGGCGCAATCGCCGTTTATAAGTCAGACAATTACGGCAATATTACCACCAAGCGAGGCGGAACGAATATCGCAAAATTCGCGCACCACCATGCCAGCACGGCGCGTTTATAAGACACATCGTTGTGGTAGTATTATGCCAGTTTGCCGGCACTTGTAAAAAGGGCTTGAGACTCACTGCCTCCAATGACTTGTGTTTTGGTATATAAGCCGATTGATGTCATCTTGTTGGTTTTCTTGTTCACTTGAATAACTCCAGCTTCTGGAACTCCCCCTGCATCTCCACACAGCTGGAACACATACGTGTAACTGTCCTCTCCATCTGTGATGTCTGCTGTAAAGCTGCCAACATGAAGCAAGTTCCAGTCAAGAGTGGGAAAAAACTGTAGAAACACTAAAAGCCCTTCAAGCTAAATGAGTTTGATTAGATATTCCTCACTGGTGACATCAGTGGCGCTGAGATAAATGGTTCAAAACCCAAACATTTCTTACGTCTTGTTAGCAAGCTGCTCAAGTCGATCAAGGACCTTCGAGGAACTTTCAGAAGATAGTTTACAGGCCTTGGTGCCGTTACCAGCTAGCACGCTACTTCTGCTCAGAGCCAGCTGAATCACAAACGTCCACACTAGGCTGTAACTGGGCGTGGGAAGACTGAACAGCTGCTGAAAAAGGTGTAGAAAGGAAAATTACTTACTAAAACCTAAAACAACTCTTACACACAAATATTAAAAACATTATGATTTGTCCACAATAACAAGGAATCTAATAGAAAAATCAGTAAGCAGTTAATCTGACAGCAAATGAGGAGTGGAAGGTTTTTCTCAGTGAAAACAGTTGACTCTGGTTACAATTCTTGATAAAAATACATAATTCAGAATTTTAAAATACGAAGTGATCTTTGTCTTTTTCCACTTAGGATATAAAACTGAACATTGCAAAGGTTCAGACATCTGACTGAACAAAACAAGGAACTTAAAGCTATCATTCTGTTCTCTGGGAAATTACAATAGATGTTTATGCTTGTTTATTTGGCAGATGCTTTTATCCAAAGCGACATACAATTTTTTTAACTTGTAGGACATGTTGTGATCTGTAGGGGAAACCGGAGTACCCGGAGGAAACCCACGCATGCATGGGGGAGAACGTGAAACTCCACGCAGAAAGGCCACAGCCGAGTTTCGAACCTGCAACCTTCTTGCTGCGAGACAACAGTGCTAACTGCGCCACCATGCAGCCCGAGACAAAAGACACATACGTATATCAGTAAGTATCCTTGTGATGAACATGTTGTATAATATGTTATGTTGACTGAGATCTTGACTGTCACCTCATTTTTGCAACAATATCTTAAAAACAGATTTTTTTAAAATCATAAGTTCAGATTGCATGCACAACATAAGAATGTGCAGACATGTAACACTTACAAATTACTTTTACAGTTCTCCTTAAAGAAATGGGGTGTCACAACGAGTCAGTAATAAACTAGTAATAATTTGAAATACTAGGACTTTTCCCAGACTGTGCACCTACCTTCATGGCTCACTTTAATGTAAATGTGAGAGGGGAGAAATCGTCTCCTTGAAAAGGTTCAACTCCAGCTGACTGATTCAACGGTAAGTTGCAATGAAGCTAACGTCGCTTCCTGGTTCGCTTTAGCATAAAAACTGCAGTTTTATTTTGCCTAGAAAACCAAGTAAATCCGCGCGGAGACCTGGAAAGCATATAAATACTGTATTTTTTGCCTGTGTGATTAACAGGCTCCCTCGTAAGGTACGTTAAGTGCTATTTACGATGCTAACATGCTACAGGCAGTTGAGTGCGGAAGTGAACAGACACACCTGCACGTGACCAACAACAGCTCAACCAATCAGCGGCAACTGTGTCTTCCACCACGTCACGTGACCAGTGTTAGCCACAAGTGGATGATATTTTTTTGTTTTTCAGCACAGCACCGTGGAAAATGTAGCATTTGCTCTTGGTACGTTCACACTGCGCAGTACACCATGTTTAAACGACTACAAATTCAAATATATTTTAATACATTTCAAGAAAATGCAGTAAATTACTACAACTTCACTGGCTAAGTCTAGAGACAGCTTTAGGGTAATTAGCATAAACAATTATTTAAATATACTAAGAATTTTACTACGAGTAAAACAGAAACCTGTGTATCCAGTGTGCTTTTTCCCGTTGAATCAGCAACTTTTCACAGTGCCAGCAAGGTTAAAAACAGCTTGTTTTCTAGAGAATTTCAACACCTCGTGGCTCCAACTTATCAGCATGAATCTGAAAAGAGAACAGCCTTTTGTTTGGATTTTAATCAGACAAACAATAACCCACTCTTCCACTGTGCACCTAAGTCAATTTGAAGTGACACGATTATTGATATCCGTTTTGCATTTCTTCCTACTGACAGCACCTAATATCTAGTAAAAGTTAGGTTTTCACCGCTTTCCCAACTGCCCTTGTGGAAAACAATCCTAGTAAATTCATCATTTCATTTCATTAATTTGACTTTTGCATGTTTTATTGAACATGATCCTATCACAGTCATATGCAAAATAAAATCTACACATCATGTTGTTAATAAAGAACATTTGAGTCAAAAGAACAAAAGGGATTTGTGGTAGTGGCTGTTAACATACTGAAGTGACCCCAGTCAAACGAGAGCAAACTAAAGATTAATATTTAAAGCTGCAGTGGCAAATCTACAGGACGTGTCAGCTTAAAACATTTTTCATGCATCTTAAGCTTCTGACATAGTATAGCTATAAATATATTTTAGAGATAAAAAAAACCAAATTAATAAAGTAGTTCTCTGGCATTTGTCAAAAAAGCGTCTGCCAGTACCAGGGCTTGGACGGAAAGCAACTTTTGGACCATCCGGTGCTCGGCGTGGCCGAATCGCCACACTTCTACACATCGTCCTCCATTCATTAAGTACTTGCACCACTGGTGTGAGAGGTTTAGTGATGTGACGTTCACGAAGGGATCAAATCTTTTGAACAGGTTTTCAAAGTGAATGATGAGAGCCGAGTCCCTGTAGAGAGCCGTTCATCTTAACAAACCTCCCCGGGAGTCGGTCAAACGCACCCGCTCAAACTTCACCCACCGCTGTGATGGACGTAGGAGAACCGATAGTACACGTGACGTGTTTATATACATATCTATGGGAGGAATGCTAACCAACCGCATGCGCCCTCACGGACACCACAGGAAGACGTTGCCCTTGATCCCCCCCCCCCCCCCCCCCCCCCCCCCCCCCCCCCCCCACGGCTTCACCTCATTCGAAGGAGCCAGTCTTTTGAACGGCTCTTTGAGGTAAACGACTGACTCCCATGAAAGAGCCATAAATCCCATCACTAGAGAGGCTCTCAAGCTCAATACTATCAGAGAAGGAGAAACAGCCGGCTGCTACCACTTCAACTGTAGGACAAACTACCAGAATCCCAAAAAGAAAAACACCATTTCAAGTCACTGACAACAAAAGACGTTTGGACCTAGAAAACGGTGACTTGTGTTTGGTGCCAACTCGTTTCTTCTGAGAAAGCGGGTTCTGGGGACGTGGACCATAGCCGACGGGAGAGGTGAGTGGTATAACTGTGTTTGCATTCAAAAGCTAGCTTGTTCTGCACAGTTGCTTTTGCAGGTTTAACTGTACTGATACTGATACTTTGCTGAAATCTCAAAGTCACAATACCATTTAGATTTGATGAGGATGTAGGATCCGCTGATCTATTTGAAACAAATGAAAGTGACTGAATACAATAATGTCTATTAAAATCACAAAACAAAACTAGATCATCATCAATTATAAGCTCAGGCATTTCAATCCATCTAAAAATCTGTTTTTATATCAAAGACTTACGTCAGAAGCGCCTGCATAAGCACAGAGAATTCAACTGGAGGAGAAAGTAGCTTCAAATTTGGAGATTTATTTCCTGATTTTTGGACATTTAACGTTAAATAGTCTTATTGGTCTATAAATAGGGTCAAACATGGTTGTGTTATACATTGTTGTGTTACACTTAATGTTGTTGTACCAATAAAGCTATTCTATTCGCCCAGGGTTGGATAACACCAATGTGACGCTACCACTGACTCCACTGATGTTTTATCTTCACAAATAACACAAGCCTGAAGGAGTTCTGCTGTGTTGTGGAGTTGCTAATGCTAACAGTTAGCTTCTGCTAGTCAAGATGGTCTCTGCTGTTTCCTGGACACAAAACCAACAACAGCCTTCCCTGTCACAAGTCACAATGGGTGGGTAGATGAATGTTAACTGACAGTGTGACATAGATCTGTCAGGCTTTTCTAATTTCAAAGTTTCACCATCTGTTTCTACCAGAAGCTAATGCAGCAGATAGGTGTAGGAGACCATTTTCATTTTCAGCCTGCATGAAAAATTCAGAGTGACCCATTATAATAAGAATTTTTTTCAGTGTTCCACACTTTTAAGAAACAATTCCCAAGGAAAAGCACCGTAACTCAACAGCTGAATGTCCCATTACTCACAGCCATAAAACTGAATCAACAGCTGATAAATTCAACATACTCAAAGGTTGTTGTCATTGCTGTGGAGTTAAACTACTCCCCGTTAAATGCTTCTGAAGAACACATTTAATTTCGAAGGAAAACCTGAGATGGTTGGAAGCATTACATGGAAACAAAAATCGTGATAATAGCGATCACATAATGTGGAGTTTAGTCGTGGCGTTTCAGATAGTTTAACTCAGGCTTTGTAGTCAATAGAGGTACGTAGACGGTAAATAAACCGTTCACTATCACACCTGCACTCTGCCCCTCCCTCTGTGATTGCTTCATCTGTTTTTTTTAATTATCATAAGAAAATGGTTTTGTTTCCCTTTCCTCCTCTTTGGTTCCACCTCCCACGAGAAAGTAAAGACGTTATTATGGTCCTTCCGTAAGCTTTCCTGCACGGTGTGTTCGTTCCCTCACTCTTCACTTTCTTCCTCCCTTCCCCCCACATTTCTTGTGTTATCACAACCGCTTACCTTGACAGAGTGTGTTGAGGAGACACACCCGGTCATTGCATATCAACCAATCACTGAGACGCACTCAAGAGGTGTACTTCCTGTGTTTCGTAAAAGGAGGAATGAGGCAGAAGAGAGGTGAGATTTGTGTACTTGTGTTTGCCAGAGGGGAGGGGGTGTCCACTCTGACAGTCATGTGAGAAGAGCAAAGGATAGCAGTGGACACGCTGACAAGATTTTATTTTTGGGGTTGATTTATGAGAGATCTCCTGGTGAAAGGCGCACAACTGGGAGGACGAGAGTGAGACAAAGAGGAGAAAGATAAGTGTCAATCTGTTGAGACTTGTTTGGGAATTTGAGGAAGGAGGGGAGGTGGGGAGAGACAGCAAGAGGAAAGAGAGCAGGGAGAACTCGGGCGTAAACATGCACTTTTCAGAAGAGTTTCTCGTCTGCGAGAAATAAAAGGAAAAAGACAAAGGACTTTGTTTGGTCACTTAGGTAATGTCCACACAAGGAATGAAATGTCAAACGTTGTCCAATTCCCTGCTGAAACAGGAGGGAGAGAGCAGATCTTCCCGGGATACACCTTCAGGTGAGTTCATACTATAAACCCTACGCTTCTGTTAGCTGTCTCTAATTTGAAGGGATGTTTTCAGAGCGCTTTCAGCTTTGGATTGCATGCTACATACCTTGCCCGTGTGTCACAGGCATCTGCTTTCTGAAAGCCGTCGTTTGGTATGCTGCCTGTTTCAGGTCTGTGCTGCATTCTTACAGAACAGTGAGAGGGTGTCAGCTTTTCTCCTGGCCTGCTTCTTCACTTTGTACCGTAAAAGCTACTGGCCAAACATGTTTTGCAGAAAGCTAAATCGCACCAGTATAAAAAGAAAACAACTAAATAAAAAAATAAACACCTGGATTAGTTTTGTTTGACTAGTATCGGTGAAATATGCTGAATGATCAGCAGCGTTGTGGAAATTTCACCACTAATAGGTAATCTGGTTTTAAAATCAAGAGGCAGCTGTGTAATTGTCCTGAACCTGAACGTTTTGTACCTGAAAAGGTTGAGATTACATCTCTGTAACTAACATTTTTTACTTCTCTTTTAGGCTCTACAAACTATAATGCCAAAGGAAGCAAATGGGCCATCTCTACCAATTTTGAGACTTTGTGTAACCTAACAGCTGGTTCAAGTGGAAAAAGCTCCAGAGACCCAAGTCCAAGGCGAGAGATGACTACCTCTTTGGAACAAGATAAAGACAAGTATGATAAAAGCAGGAGGCGGGAAATGAAAAATGAGAAAATGGGAAGCAAAGGAGGATACAACGACACAGAGCCGAGGAGACATGTTGAAAGTGAAAGAATTTCCGATTCTCGTCTTAGAGATGCTGAGTGGGTAGTGAGAGAAAGAAAGCCAGAATATGATGCAAGCAAACAAGACATGAAGAAAAAGAGGAAGAAGGGTGACACATTTCCCAGAATTAAAAATGGAGACCGAGATCCTGATCCCAGAGTAATGCCTCCTGAGATGGAAAAAGAAAGGCGGCATGGACATCGACCCAAAAGAGAGGAAACACAGTTTTGGGAGGAAAAAATTGATAAGTATAAGATCAGGATGAGGAGAAAGGAAGATGGTAAAAGTCCAGGAAGAAGACCTACAGAAGATGAGAGAGCACAAAAGAGGGAACTATATAAGATGTCTGGGGTAGAGTTTCGGGACACAACAAGGGAGACGATTGATCGACAGGACATGAGAGACAGAGTAGCAGCTAGAAGAAGAGAAGATATGAGACTTGACTTGGATGAAAGGAATGCCAGAATGAATTCACCACAGAGAACAGAAAGAGAGATGTATGGGAGGACTCAGGGAAGGACAGTTGCAAAGAGTGAAGGAGACATTGATGAGAGAAGAGACAAAATGAGAGACAGAAGAGGGGAAGAGGGGGACTACATGAGCAAAATGCAACATAACAGGGACAGAGATAGACACAGTGGCAGAGGAACAGAAGCGGAAAGACCCAGAAGGAAAGAAGAGGCCACCTTTGACAGATGCACAGAGACTGACCGGAGAATAGCAAGACAGGTAGACAAAGAGAGAGAGAGACAAATGGAAACTCGAAAAGACTTCAGTGGTTACAGAAGAGAAGATGATCAAATCCGAAGGGAGAGGAGAGCCAGGGAAATGCTTGAAAGGCGGGAACACGCAACGGCAGAGAGAAGGAACAGATCCACAAGTGATCCAGATCCAAGGGTGCCACCGCGAGTCCAAAGCAACAGAGAGTTGACCAGCAGCAAGGATGATGAGAATATTAGAAGAGACAGAGCTTTTTATGAGGAGAGGGGTCCAATGACAAATTGGGCTGCTGAAATAGAAAGAATCAAAGAAATCCCCAAAAAGCATAGAGGAGGAAACACGAGGATTGAGCAGGAGCGGAGAAGGATGTGGTTAGAGCCACAGAAGGACAGAAACAGTGCTGATGAAGACAGAGAAAGGTATAGAAGGTGGAAAGACAGAGAAAGAGAGAAAGAGATGGATGTCAAGTCACAGGCAGAAAGGGCAAGAGATGTGCAACGAATAAAAGCAGAACCAAATGAGAGGGACTTTGACCAAAGGAGTCATGAAGGAAGGCATCGAGGAGCGAATGGGAATGATGAGAGGACTGAAAATGGGAGAAAAACATTTAGAGAAGGGAAGGGACATCTGTCCGACAGTGACGGAAGGACAGGAAGAAAGCTGCAGGGGTGTGTGGAGGGAGAGAATGTGGTAGATGACAACAAGGAGAGTGGCACAGAGGAAGAGGGAGGGGGTGATTACTTAGTGCGCTCCGGTAGCGAAGGAGGAAGTGATGCCGGCTGGATGCAAGACAGGGACAGAATGCTGTCAGTAGAGAACAGCTCTGGTGGAGATGAAGAGGATGAAAGAGAAGAGGAGGATAAAAATGTTTTGTGTGAGGATCCCACTTCTGCTAGTTCCAAAAGTTTTGAAGGGGATGAGAGGAAAGAAGACTGGGTGACGAAGAAGAAAGTGACTGATGAGGATGAACAAGGTAGGCAACAGAATTCAAACATTATTTTCAGTGTGACTGGGCAAAGTCATCCTCAGTCAGAAGCCACCCAGTTGTCATTGTCAGAAAATGACGAGGTGGGTGGAGCAGAAATAGATGAAGCAAATATGGAAAAACATACTCAACGTAGTCATGATATCACACATGAAAATCCTCAGCTGACATCAAGCGAAACAGATGAGCAGCCAGTTTTAACCAACAGAGATAAAGAAAGCGACCACAGCACATCAAGATTCACCACAGAAGATGCTAAAGAAGACGTTCAATGCGAAGCATCCCAAAAGCTCCAAGATGAAGAACTCGGAGGCGGAAACAAGAGCAAAGAGGGTCCTTGTGTAAAAATAAGACCAATGAAAAGAGACTCACAGACTGAAAAACTCCTTAAACGTTGGAGAGAGCAAACAAATGAGCCAAACACTTCTGAGCAAACGCGTCCCCTATTGGAGGATATAAACACTGAATCAATGAGTCCAGAGGAAATTGAGAGGATTCAGATTAGAATGAGTAGAGTGTGGGCCACATCCGAAGAGCCAAAACGACATTCCCAAGCCGCTCACATGAAATGGGCCAAGGATGTCATGCGTTTGTACATGGGCAACTCCGAGGAACAGGTGGAGGACCAAAACACAGGACCACGGGAAGATCAAGGGGTCGCTGGATCCGAGTACCACCAGGAACCCCAGGTGGTCTCACAAGTTAGCTTTGAACTTCCCACTGTTATACTGACAAGAGACGATCACTTGGCGCCGGACCTGGAGGAGGAGTTAGGAGGTATGAGGCAAGCTGATATGCAGGCTGATCAGGCCACAGCTATGCATGTCGTCACAAACACATACACTCATACTGACACACGTCCGAGCACAGCAATGAAGGAAGACCGTGCTAAAAACCAAACCACTGAACCGTCCAGTCAGGGCCAGTTAGACGAAGCAGATATAGACGAGTTAAGAAAATCGGGCACGGATGTTTACATAGAAGAGGAAGAGGAGTGGTATTTAACTGGTACCAACATGCTGTACAAGCCAAACAGCTGTCCGACACTTTATTGTGATTTTGAGTCTGACTTCAAAACTCCCCCTACAAAGGCTAAGAGTAAAAGTGTGGTTGATGAAATCAGTCAGAGCGTAGAGGAGAGGCAAACTGATAAGGAGGTTACTGAGGCGGAGGTGGAGAAAATGATAGGAGAAATGGAAGAGGAAACCGAAGAGGGAGAGACAGACGCTGAAAAGAGAGCGGTGGCTGAGACAGACGCCTGCAGCGTGGAGGATTATGGTCCTAAATCTCGCTTTCGAAGAAGAGGGATCCGTTTACCTACTAAGAGAAGAAATGGAGAGTGTGAAAAGGTGGAAGAGGAGGAAGGTGTTGGAAGAGATCGCAGAACCAGAGTGTTCTTTACTACAGGTAAAGACAGAAAACTATGTGTGATCACTGGGATCATCTGTTCCAATCCAATAACCCTTCCCCAAATCTACGAAACAGCCTCTCAGCCTTTCTTCCGTCTCCTTATTTTTTTTATCCCACGAGTGTGGCAGATTCCTTTCAGACTTCATTTCCTGGTTACTTACAGCAATCAAATTCACTGAACTTAACATCTAACCAAACCAAACAACACCTAATATGACTTCAAAGTCAAATTCTCTTTTTGTCTGTTGATTATTTTTCGGCCTCCATGCTTCCTTTACTTTTATGTCAGTCACTGAGGTTAAAGTTTGGAGCGTAATCTGACCCTTGCCTCCGATACGCCTATCAGCATGCGTTACCTACTCTGGAAATTGTGTCACAGTGATTGCATATGAGTGGAAATCAGTGGAGGTGGAGAAAGCAAGCGAAAATCAGACGTGTGTCGTTAAAAAGGCCAGTGTTGAAACATTTTCTGTCTCAGACACATTGGTAGCGAGCCACTGAAATAATTAAATGTCTGCAAACCAGCTTGATTTCTAAATTATGTTTTTTTTATTATTTATTTATTAAATATTTAAATATAATGGCTGCATTAAAGTGAGATAAAAGATATGCTGTTTTATAATTCCTCCACCAATGGATACTTTTTTATTCCAGATAACGACGATCATAGTAAAAGCTGGGGAGGGATGGAGCTGAGGTGAGTAAACAAGAATTATGTGCAAGAGAATACAAATTTTCAAACCTTTTAAAGCGATTTATATTTGAATTCCTCTTTAACGGTTTTCTCTCATGTTCTTTTTACTGCAGAAATGTTTTGGATGAAATAAAAAAATCCCAGAAGAGTCACGGTTTTTTCAGTAAGTGTCTCGATTTTACATTTCCTTCTTGTGTTGATTTAAAGAATTTTATTGCAAGAGTTGTGTTTTACGAGTCAAGTCTTTCTGCGTGCATGTGTTTGAGAGTAAAAAATAGCAGTGATAATAACCACTGGTGTACGTGATCATATGCGATCTAAGTGCTGTCAGGAAAAGCACAGCACAATCATTTCCCTTCAGAGCCTGTGAGTCATTTCTGTGTAAGTACCAGATCTGTGACTGTTGATCTCTTAATCACTCTATGTTAGGGTCAAATTGTCACCCACATACTCAAAAGAAGGAAAACCTGTGTTTGTTTACGTCTGGCTCACATTAGAAAATAATGTAAACGGTCTGAAACCTCAGCGGTTCCTTCGCTGCTGTTGAACTTGTCTGTTGTGAGAAATGGGAAAGTCGTGCGTTGGTGCTTGATCTGTGTTTGTGAGTCACGGACAAGTTTCTGCAAGCAGTCGCTTCTTTCAAACTCCCCAGGAAAACACCTGGAACTGTAGATTATCTCTACAAATGTTGCAAATGCTAAAAACTAGTCGTGGATATCACGTTCTTCCTTTGCTTTCTCCAGGATTTAAAAAAAAATAGTTTTCATCTTTCAGTCCTGACATGTTTGTCTCACTTTTTCACTTCCTTTTATTCCCGTGCAGAAGACACACAGCTCTACCAGCAGTACATTGACACGACGCAGGAATTTGAGATCCTCCGATCTCGCTCCGATGTTCTCTCAACGTTTGAGGACGCCAGCCTGTCCCCTGCGCCTTCACCTCCCCCCAGCCGCAGACCTCTCCCTCCTCTACCGAGCCAGCCGCACCTTCACTCGTTGTCTCACACGGGCTCAGTCACTAGTGCCAAAAACCTGCCTCTCCCAGAACTCCCCAACACAGAACGCAGGCCTTCCTCCCCACGCCTGTCCATCTCCCTCTCACAGTCGTCCTTACTCTGGCGGGAGTTGGAGGATGTCCGGTACAGTCCTGACCTGGAGCTGCTCACTGAAGATCAGAGGCGACTACAGGAGGTAACCAAATTACAGTCCCTCAGCCGGCGGTCTAAAACTTGCTTCTGTCTATTCTTAAATAAACCCTGTTGGCAGCTGCTGATCATCTTTGCTTCGCCACAAGCCTTTACTTGCTTGTTTAAGTATGAAGAAATGTAACTTTGAGTTAATGAAGAATGGTATTAGGAGTCAGTCATCTGCACTTTCATCTCTGGAAAGTTACTGGAACAACATACCTTGCATAAAGAAATACAAAATAATCCTGAGGGCAAGTGACAGTAATAACTCTAATTTATTGCTCCACCAGCTTCACTTTAAAAGGCTTCATTTCCGTTAGAAAAAAATGTGCTTTTTTTTTACGTTAGGGATTGATTTCCTTGAAGCTGCTGACTGTTATCCCGTCAAACTGCTAAAATTTCCCGCTACTGATCTTGTTTTTACTGACAGTGTATCAAACCAAAAGACAAGCATTTCTGAGTAAACCTCAGAAGAAGTGTGAGTCACAGTCAGACCTTTTTTCCACGTGTTGTGAAATCCAAGCTGATAGATAACTGCTGCAGTTTAGTCGTTTTCACGTCTTCCAGCATCATCGCTTCTCTGATTTTATTTACAAGGTAAGATTTGAGGTTGTGACCTCAGAGGCGTCCTACTGCCGAAGTTTGGACATAGTTGTCGACCACTTTGTCAAGTCCAAGCAGCTGGGACAACTGTTGACCACTCAGGACAAGAACTGGCTTTTCTCCCGTCTGGCCGACGTCCGCACAATCAGCCGCAGGTCAGAAATGTTACGCCTCGTTTCAGATGAAGAAGGGTGGGGACGTTTTTAAAAAAAAGCTAACCAGTCAAAAACTTTTCATGTTTCTGTTCTTTTTAGATTTCTGTCAATGCTGGAGCAGCGCATGGAATCGGACATCATGCGCTTTACCGTGTGTGACATAATTGCTGAACATTGTCCACGCTTCAGATGCGTCTATGTGCCCTACCTCACGAACCAGTCGTATCAGGATGCCACCTACCAAAAGCTTATGTGAGCACATTCTCGTTTGCGTTTCCGCTTTCAGGTGGACTTTTCATAAAACCGTAGCTTAGTTTGACCCATTTTTCCGTTTTTTTAGGAATGGGAATCCAGGGTTTAAGCAGGTTGTAGAGACATTAGAGAAGAGTCAAGTTTGCGAGCGACTTCCTCTTCGCTCCTTCCTCGTTCTCCCCTTCCAAAGAATCACAAGAATTAAGCTGCTTGTTCAAGTGTGTATGAAACCTTACTAAAGTGCACAAGCCTTACTTGGTTTTCTCCATTTAATCTGATGCCTGTTCTTGTACTTGTGTAGAATATCGTGAAAAGAACAACTCCTGGTACAGAGGAGGCGACGCACGCCATCAGAGCTTTGAAACTTCTAGAGAAGGTGCGGCGAGTTCTTCTGTTTCTCACCCACGACTGTCACTGCTACGTAGAAATCTACAACATGTACACGAAAAACTGTTTGCTTTTCCTCTAGATGATTCGTGAAAGTAATGAGAGCATCTCTCAGATGAAAAACCTCGAGTCTTTAGTCGCTCTCAACTCTAAGGTCAACTTTGAGTGCAAGGTGAGTAATAACAAGACTCCAGAATACTTGCTGGACTTTTACTAAACACTGCCTTTTTTTTAGCTATTGGAGAAACCCCAACTGTAGGACAGAAATATGGTTTTCTTGTTGTTGTTTCAGACTCTTCCACTGGTCAGTCAGTCTCGGAGGTTGGTGCGTGAAGGTGCCATCACCAAGCTGTCAAATTCTCTAAAAGAGCCCGAGAAAAGTATTTATTTGCATCTCTTCAATGACTACTTGCTTTTCTCCGTTCCAAAGGAGTGAGTAACTTTGTGATGTCATTATAACCCGTCAGCAGCTAACTGGCTCCTCTCTCATTACTATTCACTGCATCCTGTTTTTCTATCATCTGCTGCCTCATTATCTCTCCAGTCTTATCAAAGCTCATCCTTCCGCTGCCTGCCTGACTTGTCGTTTGTGCTTTTGCTGTGTGCAGAGGGGGGAGATTCACGGTGATCAACCACTATCCTGTGACAGAGCTGTGCGCGGAGGACTGCCCTGTCAAGCTCGACACCCTGCAGAAGAACCTGTTTCGATTGCGCACAAAGCAGAACCTCCTTTTGCTACGAGCCGACTCAGCGTAAGAAGCGTGCACAACAGAACAGATGGCTGCGAATCCTTAAGCCACCTTTCCATCGGATGCAAAAGCGTTGCAAAACGGCCGCTAAACCTACTTTGCTGCAACTAACTGCCTTTATATTGGATGGGTTCCTTTCCGCTGTCAGCAATGAGTAATGTTTTGGACGCTTCCCAGAAGCAAAGACACTCTTACATTGCGTTTCGAGTCTATTTTTTACGTGCTATGCCTCCAAAACACTTCAAACTCTGCAGTTTATGTCGGGCCAGACAGGAAGTCACACACAAAAGCAGTGTAAAACATCCATAGACTTTCAAAATAAAGGTGAGACGCAAATAAATGCATTTAATTTCCTGTAAACCCCCTGTAGCCAAACAGAACAGAAACTAAACCACAGACCTTTGTGGATACATGCAGCTGTCTTTCTCCTCACTTGTTGTTGTGTGGACTTCTGAAATCACGCGTGGTGTTGCAATTCTCCTATGATTTTGTGACTTTGTAGGACCCACAGCGTGGAATGCTTTTGCTCCCGGTTGGAAGGGAGCTTGTGGGTAAAATGGCTCTTTCCCGTTACACGCCGCTTTTATCCGGTGGAAAGGAGGCTTTAAAATAATCACGTGTTCCATCATAAACCATCCAAAGGCAATTATAGAACATACATGTGGAACTTCAGGTCACATTTTACTAATCTCACTTAACACCAATCTATTTTTGGGTTTTAAAAGACAATAATGCAAATCACGCCAAAAGACTGAAACATAATCAAACGAGGAGCTAATTATATTAAAACATAGAAACTAACAGCGTTTGGCGGTTTGGTGTTCTAAGATCCATTGTTTCAGAACTCGTCATTTTGCAAAAAGTGGATGTTTGACAGCCAAAACATCTATAGAAATAATAAATGTCTTCTTCATACATTCTCCTGCAATGCCCTGGTCCTGTAGAATGAGCCCTGGCATTTTTACCGTGATTGCCTGTTTTTCTGTAAAATGACAGAAAAAGAGAGATGCTCGGGTCGAGCAGGCTGCTTCATGCGCGTTCACGCTCAGGCATAGCCCGTAGCATTTGCTATCCGTAGCTTTAGCAGCAGAGAGAGAGGCAGTGCCACTTTGTCGCTGTTCCTAACGCCTAGTGACGAACCTAGCTACATTTCTGAGGACCCTTAGCTACTTTCTGTAGAACTTTCTTCTAGATATTTCCTGCAAATTAGCAACAAAATAGCCATTTTCGCTCCAAATTGTTCTTTGGTTTGACGTTGTTTCAGCTGTCATCAAGGATATAAATGTTACAGATACAAAGGATGTCACTGGCGCTTTAGCTCACCTAGTAAGACGTCGGACTCTGTGCTGAAGAGAAAGGTGCAGAACCAAATTTAATTAATTAGCTGCACGTTCTCCTGTCCTCTGTCCTCCGGGCCACACACACACACACGCACGCACGCACGCACACACACACACACACACACACACGGGACTGTCTCAGCTGTTATTTTCGTTAAGGAGTGTGCACGTACAGCATGCCTGCTCGTGCACGAGCTTACTATTGAAGCTGCCGTTACGCTTTTGGCCTGAGGGGGCAATCGCGAGCATAAAAATGCAAAACTCCGTAAAGTCCCTTTAATGTCTGAAGTTTCCTTTAAAACAAAAACAAACCAAGGACACTTGGGCTGATTAGACAGACAGGTACACACAAGCTTATATCTGGTACTTGGTGCTTTTTAAGTTAATATTTTCTTGTAAGGAGGATTTTCCACCTATGATGTTTGTTTATTAAGTGTTTTACTAATTTAATGAAACATTTTTTTGTTTGAATGAAGGAGTTGACTTCTAGAAAACAACCTTTTTTCAGAGAATACTTTTTTCATCTTGTTCACGTTACTTCTAAAGTTGTGTTTTATTTTAATTTATGAACAATTTCTCATTAATTGGGAGGATTCTACCTCATATTTTTAATAGAAGAAGATCTTTAATTGTATACAACAAACATTTATTTCACAATTAAAACCAACATCGTAAACAACTAAAATATTGGCACATTCAGTGTTTAAAGTCAACTGCAGCGACCAGAGATGTGCTTATACACACCAATCAGTGCAATAAGTCCAAGTATGCTTGAACTTGTTTAAAGGGAACTTTAAATGTTGCAAATCTGTGTTGCAGAAATACAACAGATATTTATCTTAGTCAACCTCATGCAGAAATGTTTTCAAGAACTTGATATGTGAGATTTGCGTATAAAGTTGTTTTAATGCTAAAAGCTGTTTCCTCTACTACAAATGCTGCTGCAGCTTTGACCTAATTAGACTATTTTCTCCTCTGTGCTCTTTGGAAATAGGTTTAAAAATAGCTCAAATTGTGGCAAGAACCTCAACAATTCTTCATAAATGACAATAAAATTAAACCTGTCTCTACAGAGAGGCAAATTCGGAAAGACAAAAACCATAACCCTATCCACCCATCCACCTGGACAGCAGTAGCTCAGGAAGTAGAGCTGTAATCTGAAGGTTGCAGGTTTGATCCTGAATGCTGCTGTTGTGTTCTTGAGCAAGACATTTAACCCACCTTGCCAGCTGGTGGTGGTCAGAGGGACCGGTGGCACCTGTGCTCAGCAAGCCTCACCTCTGTCAGTTCACTCCAAGCAGCTGTGGCTACATCGTAGCTCATCATCACCAGTGTGTGAATGTGTGTGTAAATGGGTGAATGACTGATTGTATTGTGAAGCACCTTGGGTGGTTCCAGGACTAATAAGGTGCTACATAAATACAAACAATTTACCACCCATCCATCCACCAATCAACTCATCTATTCACCCAACCATCCATCAATTCATCCATCCACTAATCCATCCATCCACCCAACCATCTGTCCATCCAACCATCCACTCACCCATCCATCCACCAATCAACTCATCTATTCACCCAACCATCCATCAATTCATCCATCCACTCATCCATCCTTCCATCCATCCACCCAACCATCTGTCCATCCAACCATCCACTCACCCATCCATCCAGCCATCAATTCATCCATCCACTCATCCATCCATCTATCCATCCATCCATCCATCCATCCATCCATCCATCCATCCATCCATCCATCCATCCATCATTCATTCATTCATTCATCCACTCCCCCACTCATCCAACCATCATCAACTCGCCCATCCATCCACCCAACCATCTATCCATCCAACCATCCACTTACCCACCCTTCCATCCATCTATCCATCCATCCATCCACCCACCCACCCAACCATCCATCCACCCATTCATCCATTCATCTGCCCATCCATCCATCTATCCACCCAACCATCCATCCACCCATTCATCCATCCATCTGCCCATCCATCCATCCATCCATCCACCCACCCACCCACCCAACCATCCATCCACCCATTCATCCATTCATCCATTCATCTGCCCATCCATCCATCTGCCCATCCATCCATCTATCCACCCAACCACCCAACCATCCATCCACCCATTCATCCATCCATCTGCCCATCCATCCATCCATCCATCCATCTATCCATCCACCCATCCAACCATCCATCCACCCATTCATCCATTCATCTGCCCATCCATCCATCTATCCACCCAACCACCCAACCATCCATCCACCCATTCATCCATCCATCTGCCCATCCATCCATCCATCCATCCAATCAATCAATCAATATAGGCCTTTTGAACCCAGGAGACAAAAAAGTACACAGCAATTCATGGATTTAATCTGAAGTGGGGATTTTTCTATTTGAAATTATTGCTATTAGAAATGAACCAATAAAATATCTATTATGGAATCAGGAAGTTAAATGTCTTATTCCATTTTCACCTAATCACCAGATAGTCTATATGTAAAAATAAACCATGTCCTCATGTTAAAGAATGGTCAAAACAAAGTAGATATACATGAGATTGACCAGCCTTTTCCTGAAGTTCTGTGTAGGTAAATGTTTTTCCATATTTTACTTTAAAAGGGTTTTCTTATTAAATTGCCCTTCACAAAAGTAGGACATAATCCTCATTCTTAATCCCATTGCACCATTGGAGACAGAGCTTTCTCTGTGGCTGCTCCCACCTCATGGAACTCTGTCCCCCAACATATTCGTACTGCTGACTCACTTCATAAATAAATTAAAAAAAACTCCTGAAAACGTACCTGTTTAATCAAGCATTTAAAGCCTGTCAATTTATTTTACTGTCTCCTTCTCTCTGATTGTAAAGCATCTTTAAGTTGTGGTTAAAAGCGCTATATGAAACCAATACATTATTATGATTTATTATTCTTATTATTCTTAACTGTTTTCTCTACAGGAGTGATAAACTACGCTGGATTTCAGCAATCTCCCCGCCCCAACCTATAGAACTTTCCTCTGTACAAGGTACGCACACGTTTGGGTAAGGTGGAAACAGACAGACAGGATGTGTTTACTGTTTATATCTTACTCATGCAGCTCATATAGAGCCAAACTGTATCGCGAGCCGGTATCATGCTATTTTACACCTTCAGAGCAACGGTAGGAACACTATATGATAAAATATCACTGTTTGCACTTTTGAGGTGTCACTTTTTATAAAATATGTTGTTTTTGTGAGACTTTCCTTCATCCCAGAAATAAGACGCTTAAGAAGCACTGATAGAAACACATATATTAGTAGACTATAGACTTTCACTTAATACGAACCTGCATCTGTATCTTTCAAATACCACCTTTTCTTCCTTTATCCAGATTGTGCACAGATGCAGTGCATCCGAGCTTACGTGGCCCAGCAGCCAGATGAGCTGTCTTTAGAAAAAGCTGATGTTATTCTGGTGCACCAGGACTGCGACAGTAAGTCAATCATGCAGCTTAGTCTTGTGGAAAATACAGTGTTGCCAACTGTTTTTGACTGAAAGTAGCTGAAGTTCCCCCCAAAAGTCGCTAGATGTCGCCAGATGACGTCACGTGCTAATTTACATATTGATTAAGTTATCACGCCACATTGGCATTCATTTCCCCATAGTGTGGGAAATGTTTTAGTCCTATATAAAACTATGTTATGTGTTAAAGTTATTAATTAGTATGATTAAAATGGCCCAAATTGCTTTGATATGTACAATAAATTCCAAAAGTATCAATAAAGTGACATTAGGACAGATACGGTGTGGTGATCCAAACAGTTCTGTTGTAGGATATAACTCAGACCTCCTGCTCTCCTCATTCTCACAGCCATTTTCCTAAAAAGCAGTTTTTTTTTACACCTCATAGTTTCTCTATTTCTCTGTTGTGTATTCTTTCCATCGTGATAATAACGGCGCACCAAGCAAAAGGGAGCGGGTGTCTCATGGTATAACCATCCCTGTGTCACTGAAGGAAATTCAGATGAGCCACAGAGCTGCGTGTGTAACCGGGACGGTAGTTGAAACTCCCGTTGACTTTATTTGCCAAATGCCGGAAAAAACCAAAGTGTCTGACGGCTGCAGGACCAGAGATCGCAGGTTGATGCCTGTGCCGTCTCTAGTAGAAGCGTGAGCCTGCAGCAGCAGCAGACGTCGACGGTCTCCAGCTCTGCAACTGTACCTTTGTCTTGGGCGAATCAGCCCGTCCGAAAACGGTTTATGATTGGTCAGTCCTCGTGCACATGTGCAGATTATTGTTCTTTTTTTACTCCTGGAAGAACGGTTCAGAGTGCAAATGGTTTCTTTGTTGCTAATCTGTAGGGAATATCTACAAGAAAGTTCTACAGAAAGTAGTGACGGGTCCTGAGAAATGTTGCTAGGTTTGTCGCTAGGCGCTTTTTGGGAAAAAAGTCATTGAGGGGGGTCAAAAAGTCATTAGGAACCAGTGTTGGGCAAGTTACTTCAAAACTGTAATTTATTACTTGTTACCCTCATTTTAAAGTAATTCATTACTTTACAATATTACTGATTTTAAAATGTAAGGCATTACACTACTTTTGCATTACTTTAACCCTTTGATGCATGAATTATGAAATCTTCAACCATGATTTTTTAAACAAATTTTTTCATCGGTCTTTGGGTGTGAATGAAACAAATTTCAACAAATTTTTTGGTAAAATTTTATAATTTACAAATAATTTATTACATGTCCACCTCAGTGGGCAGCGTGCATTCTGAACATGAAATATGTTGGCTTGGCTTACTGAAGTCCAAATGGAGGGGCTCAAATGCAATTAAGTCTTCAACAGCTGTGCTTAATAACAAAAACAAATAAATAACAATTTTGAGTACCTGTCCACTGTAGTGACCATTATGCATCAAAGGGTTAAGTTACTTTCACTAAAACAACTTCAATATGAATCTGGTAATCTGACGCTCAGTGAGCTCATGACATATATGTGGAAGGTGATGTGGTGTCTGAGCTAGGATTGCTGTTAAAAACAGTCAGATATAATAAAAGTGCTTTAAATGATTGTTTATTAAATAAAAGCAACAACAATCTGTACTCTCGGCACGCTGCCATCTTATATTAACTAAGCAGGGAGTGAGGTGGTGGGGGCTCCAAGCCTATATTTGCCTTGGTCCCCAAATGCCTTGATACGGCCCTGGATGTGGCACTGACTTCTGGGGTGATCTGATTCTATCACATGTATAAATATTAAATGCTTATATATTATTGCTTTTCACTGGTAAATATGTGTATTGGGGAAAAATCTACCTACTTTTTTCTTTTCAAGCACTTTGTTTTGTTTTCTTGATTTTATTTGAATAATTTCCTGCCCTTTCTCTCTCTAACCTTCCTGCATGCTGCATGTTTTCTCCGTGTTCCAGAAAAACTGTTTCCTAGACTTCCTACTTTCTAATGATCAGCCAAAGGGATCTTCACATGCGCTGCGCTCCAGCAGTAATGAGTTGAAATCACCGGGTCACAGATTATGAACTCAGCTGAGGCAAAGCACGTCAGAAAAGCACAAAATACCAGAGAATATGCACCGATATGAACGATCGCAAGTGAATTATTTTGTTTTATTGGAGCGATTTTGTGAATGTTACAGCGGCCGCGTGGAGGATGCAGCTGGAGTATTTGAGCCGGTTCCGCTGCGTCCTCTCTGCCCACAAAGCTGAGTCCATAAATGACGTAATATATGCAGATACTGGATCTTTCTTCGGGTTTCCCGCAATTTGAATTTTTAAGGAACACATTTTGATTCTGGGTTTAAAAATGCATTGTAATTACCGCGTTACTTGTACCGCGTAAATATTACCATTTTCTTTCCCTGTAATGCCTTACATTACCACATTACAGCAAAAAGCAATGCATTACAGTAATTAATTACTTTTGTACCGCATTACTCCCAACACTGTTAGGAATAGCGACAAAGTCGCTAAGTTGGCAACACTGGGAAAATAATGATTGTTCACTGTTTTAGTTCCTTCATATCAGATCTTCTTGTATTTCTAGACTGGGTAGAAGGGACCAAACTGTCCGACCTACATCGTGGATGGATGCCCAAGTCGCATTTGGAAGCCATCGTCAACCCTAAAGTCAGAAAACGCAACCTATCAGATGCCCTCAAAGTGACTAATGCCACCGCTACTGCCTGAGCTGTACGCTGACACCCTGAATGTATTATAAAGTAGTTTATCTGCTTTGTACCTTGAACAATAAATATTCTGACATTTTGCTGATAAGTTGCTGACATGAGTGCAGCAGCTTAAAAACACCTAAAAACAACTTTATGTCTAGAATAAAGTCTCACTGTGTTCCCAAATTGAACAAAGTATTTATGCAGAACAATGCATAGATTTGTATGACAGCCATTCTCAGTTAATATCCATTTTTGTATGACTACTAACAGCAGATGCAATGCATATATTTTCTGCACATCAGTGTTCTCAGAGTGCATTGGTGTTTTTAATGCAATTGTTTAAAATAATTGTCTTTCTACAATTTTAGTTTAAAAAACACTTTTGTTCATGGAAAAAAAATTTTGGGGGGGAAATTGCCTGTTGAGCTCCTGCATGCATAAAATGTAACACAAGTCTTTATAACGATTCAGTGATCTGTTTAATTTTTGTTTTTCTTTGGTTTAAACCTTTACATTCAGTGCATTATTTTTGTATGACTTGTCTGTCGCTGCTGTAATAAGTCAGTATCCCCTACTGGGGATCAATTAAGTCTATGTTGTCTGATCTACCACGTGTACAGCTTCATAAAGAAAATAAACATTTCAATAAAAGGATTGATGGAACAGAACGAGTTTGAGTCTTGCACGTGTTCCTATTTTTGAGCTTACACAACTTAAACTGCTAAAATGTGCATTTGAAGCAAATTCACACATTTTGATGTTTTCAGAACATTATTGCAAGACTTGTTTACCGGACAAAATGAATAGTTCAAACCATTTTCTACATAACTGCGTTCTTCTGAGGCGTGGCCGTGAACCTCAGCCCATGAACCGTCACTGGTAGGTTAAAGGGGAAAAAAAAAGCAGGACCAGCTGTAAACAGACCGAACCATTCATCCAATGGATGTAAAGTGTTTCACCCATACCCTTTTTCATTGGGCGTCTGTTTTGTCAATCAGCAACACGTTCTCTGATTGGCTGTATCATCAATAGGTGGGGCTACAGCGTTTGTTGTTGTTTTTGACCGACGGCATAACTGGAGCAGACGCCATCTTTGAAATCAAGCTCTGTGTTTTATCTTGTGATTGTTTTTTGACTGAAACGTTTCCCCAGAAGAAACCTTTCTACCCAGTCATCGGAGGCTATTTTGGGGTTGACCTGGTTTCGGAGAAGCTGGTGTTGCGTTTTTGAAGGTAAGAGCAGAGCAGAGGAACATCTCGTACGTTCGTTAACATTAGCTTAGATAGCATCATATTAAAATGCATTTAGAACATGTTTAGCTGAACCCATATTGTTTTCAGGGACTAATTTATGTCTTTATCGTTGAGAGGTTTGTTTCTGAAGCGACTGTTCCGAGCTCTTGCATGGGTTTTTAGCCTCTCGTGAAGCGTGACGTGGCGTGATGTTATGGTGAAATTTGTTATCCCAGACAATTGGGAGTCCACCTTTTCATAACAAAGATTTCTTAACAGCCAGTTGGCAGAGGTCGTTTTTATAAAAATGAAATGTATTATTATTATTATTGTTATTCAGTGTCTCACACGGATTGATTGACCTAATTTAAATAGCCTGAAACAGCGGTTTGCCATTTAACCAAAAGGAAATTAAAATTATGATTATTCTTGTGCATACTTTGCAATTTAATCATAACTTTTTATAGTTTATTGCCAGTTTCTATGTATTATGGTGACCTATAACATTTATGCTCTATAATAAAATCGAACAGTTGTTTTTGTTGTAAACGAGCAAATACTTGTGTTTCTGTTTGATATGAACAGTAAAATAACTAAAAGTCCTAGTGTGACATAATACATTTATTTTAGAATGCAAACAAACAACTTTAACAATACGACTCCATTCCTGCACATCAACATGCACATTTTCAGTAAAGCATAGCATTTTTCTCCCACATAAGTGATCTAGATTAAATCTTAAAGCCAATGTAGAGCCTTACCTGTCTTTAATGTTGTGTCACGTGTTTCTACTAATGCTTTAACAACCTTTTATTCATTTTCAGCTTTACCTACACATATTTTAGTTTAAATGTTTAAAATAAACCAAGCACACCTCTGAGTTGGTTGATTCAGCCTCACTCATCTTATCTCTCGATGACCTACTCTTCAGCCTGGCAGCATCACCTGTTCGCAGAACGGTTGTCAGTTTCTAACTCTCCGTTGTCTGCACAGTCAATAAAGCTATTGTGAGAGACTTCATTTGTCCTTGTGTTGTTTCCAGATGGGCAGTCAGTATCAGCGCTCGGTACCACTGGAGGTAAGGAGAGCGGAGGGAGAGAGGGTTCGTGCCAAGCATCCTGACAAGATACCGGTCAGTATGACAACAGCATTCTTGTTAGGAGCTTGTTATTTCTATGATTAAAAAAAATAAAAAAAATTAACTATATGGACAACTTTTTACAGATGACATAACTTGCTGTTTTTTCCAGATCATCGTAGAGAGGGCCTCAAGGTCACGAGCTCCTGAGCTGGACAAGAAGAAATACCTGGTGCCGTCAGATTTAACAGGTGAGCCCACAAAAACGTGTTCGAAATGTTGAAAATCACATAAAGAGAATTAATTCTATTCAGTTTTTTCATTTAGCACTAATTCACAAAAAGAGTCATTTCAAGGCAAAGTAAACATTCCTACTTGAGTTCAGTTCATTTGGCCAATCAGTTAAAAGTTTTCTACGTAAGGAAACCCAGCAGATTGCATCAAGTCACCGATTTACAGCATTTACAGCAATCCTCATGGTATGCAAGCATGTAGCGACAGTGGAGAGGAAAACTCATCTGTGAAAGGAATGATTCCTCCAGCAGAACCTGAATCAGTATGAGCAGCTGATTTCCACAAGACAGGAAAATGGTAACTGTCAGGAGAGGGAGAATGCCGCTTACTCAGTAATGTCTAGCAACTTATTTTTCCTTTCGATTCCTCTCGGATGAAACCAGACAGCAGGATGTTACCATAACTGACCATTTCCTTCCCTTTTTTTCTTTCATCAGTGGGGCAGTTGTGTTTTCTGATCCGTCAACGTATGTCGCTGAGGCCAGAGGAGGCGCTCTTCTTCTTCGTCAACAACTCCCTCCCCCCATCCAGCTGCCCTCTCTCCACTGTATACGAGGTAACTGCAGATCTATTTGTGTCGCGTTTAAACCCCGGCGGTCTTATTTATACCTAAAACCAGCCATTAGATATCAATGTAAGTGTTTTAGACGTGATTTATTCTCTTCTGGTCATGTTTTGTTGCAGGAGCATCATGAAGAGGACCTGTTCCTCTACATGACCTACAGTAACGAGAGTGTGTACGGTGCCTGAAGTGGAACAAAAGGCCGATGAAAGACTGAGAAGGAGAGAGAGCCAAGTGAAGCTGGACTAAGAGAAAGTTTTCTGTTATGCTTTGTGACACTTTATAATTTTCTTTCTACGTTTTGATAAGTAACTACAGCTGATGGTGGAAGAACAAGGCAGAAGGTGACGCCGGTCGGGTTTTCACAGTTTTACTGACAGTATTTCAAGCTGAGCGTGATTCTCGGAGCTTTAAACTTTGTGGTGCCAGTTTTGGTTCGTTTTAAACACAGATGAGGTTTTTCTTTAAAGAAAAACCTCATCTGTGTTTAAAACGAACCAAAAATGGAATTGGAAGACAAACACAGCAAGAATGTACAAAAGATGTTTAAACTTTGTGGTTTTCTTGTTTGGTCAAAAGTCAGGGCTTCAAAGATCGAGTTTAAAAGGGAAGATTTAAAAAATTGAGTTGAAAGAACTCATTCACTTTCTCAGTCGTCTGTATTTAATGCAAATAGTACTTTTTGTTTGTTGGTTTTTGTAAATTACCGCAGATCTTTGTGGGGAATAAAGAATATTGAAGAATGCATTCTCGCCGTCAGTCCCCTTTTTCAACAATCCTGTATAAATAACTAGCCGGCTGTAATTAGCTCCACATTTATGACGCCTCCAAATATTAACATTTAGTTTAATGTGGAATATGTATGATGTGCACACAGAGCAGAGCTTCACCTGGGAGTTAACGATGAAGCAGCAAGAATTAAAACAGGCCTTAACCGCTGAAGCCTCCACATGCCAAATAGGGGAAGGGCAGAAACAGATCTTTAAGGGGAAGTGTTGTCTCTGCTGATCAGAGGCGTTTGTTTTCACTGGACATCAGAAACTTCTCTTTTCTCTGTTCTTTAAAACCCATCTGGACATCTTGGTGCAGCATTTGTGGCACCGGGGGCTGAAAAGGGTTACATAACCTCTTGAGTTGATCAGAGACAATCGGAGCAAATCGAAAGTTGGAGCGACAAAGGGAGAGCTATGGAGATGCAGACCATCCCGTCACAAGGAACGGAAACTGGAGGTGAAGCTTTGCTGGAGGTGAAACCTCAAGGTGAGCTTAAAGGGGTCAGACGAATAAAAGAGGTGTTTGAGAGTTTAACCTTCCAGCACAAACGTACAAAAAAACAAAGTTTTAAACTTTTAGGAAGTTTTTGGAAGAAGACTCCAGATGTTTGTGTTTTTATCTTTAGAGGAAGCAGAATCGGCTTACGATACCCTGCAAAGTCCAAGTGAGGACTTCTATTCAGACGCTCTCATCAGCGTTCCTGCTAAAGCAGCAAAAGGTAAGACAGAAAAAGCAGATTACAGCTCATTTATAAGCGTATTGTCTGTGATGAGCAGGAAAATCCCACGAGCAGCGCGTTTTAGCACGTCTGAGTCGGTCGCATCTTCCTTTGACAGAGTTTAAGTTCTTTATTAAGATTTTAGTAGTGATTTATTTTCAATATATTTATTCATTTTCACAGCTCTGGTAATAAGTCCTGTGCTTTTAGACGTTAGTGTTTGTTCCAGTTTGATCTGGTGATTGTTCCTGAATCAAATTATTGTTCACTTGTTTCCACATATTTAAGTTACTGTACAGAGGTTTGGGGAAACACCTATGAATGTGCATCATCGTCATTATCTGTGTTACAAAAAAGGGCTCTAAGGATCATTCATAACACTGGTCACAGAGATCATACAAACTCAGTATTTTTAAAATTACAAACCTTAAAATTTCCAGAGATAGTTCAGTTTAAAACAGCACAGCTAATGTATAAAGTAAACAATAAACCACTTCCAGACAACAAATTAAAACTGTTTCATAAAAGGGAGGGGAGGTTTCGGTCAAGTGGGGAGTTAAAATTCAAACATGCTCGAGTCCGAACATCATTAAAAACTTTCAGTGTCTCTCTCTCTCTGTGTGTGTGTGTGTGTGTGTGTGTGTGTGTGTGTGTGTGTGCGGTGTGAAACTGTGGAACAGAATGAGGCGATGTCCAAACATGATGCTGTTTAAAAAAAAAGCTTCAACTCATGATGTTTACCAAATACAAGGAAGAAGGTCCAAACGTGTGTGTCTAAACACAAAATGTTTGTATTTATGAGATGATCTTTGTTGGATAAATTATGAATAGATTATTTTATTATTTTTTAAACGAAATCTTCATCCGGTTTATTTTACCCTGGCAACAGACAGGCGTTTGACCTTGCCTCTTTCCAGTCCTGGCTTATCAGTAAGAACGCCCTGTGCCAGCGCCTGTTGTCTCCCTAAAGAGAGTCTAAAGGAATGTCAAAGTGTGTGTGTCAGTGTTTAGTGTGTAAACGTGTGTGCGTTTTACCATTTTTGTGTGTCCTCAATAAATGCTTTCTGAGGGTTCTGTCTGAGAGAGCGAATTGCCTACCGACTCGTGTGAATCATTTTATCTCTCTCCACTTTGCAAAGTCTAAATTGTTTATTGGTAAAGATTGGTATGGGTTAATCGATCGGTTTATTAATATGACTCCTGCGTGTTGAACTTTCCCTCAGGTAACCCTGGATGGGAAAATGAAATGACCTAACATTTTGGTGCCGTGACCTAATTTATCCAACAATCTTGATAAACCATGTGCCATTTGTGTGAATATGTTGCAAAGTAATTTGCCAAAAACTACCAGACAACATTAAATAACTATTAGTTATTTGATGTCGAGAAAGGGGCGGGATTAACCCTTTGATGCATGAATTATGAAATCTTCAACCATGATTTTTTTAACAATTTTTTTTCATTCATCTTTAGGTGTGAATGAAACAAATTTCAACATATATTTTTTGTTAAATTTTATAATTTACAAACAATTTATTACATGTCCACCTCGGTGGACAGCGTGCACTCTGAGCATGAAATACGTTGGCTTGGCTTACTGAAGTCCAAATGGAGGGGCTCAAATGCAATAAAGTCTTCAACAGCTGTGCTTAATAGCAAAAACAAATAAATAACAATTTTGAGTACCTGTCCACTGTAGTGACCATTATGCATCAAAGGGTTAAATGTTGTGTGTATTACTATGTGTATGTACGCATGTTCAAAATAAAGACAAAGACGAGACAAATTATGATTTTCAGTTGCTCTGAATGTCTCAAATGAGAATAAACAGCATCAAAAATTAAACAAGGTCTGGATTTCTTGTTGGAACATCTAGTTGCTACGCTAAAAAACAATCAAAAGACACACACGACAAACATCTTCTTCCGGCTCTTGGAGAGTACAGACGCTTTTTTCTCCTATCCCTCCCTCCTTAGCCCAATTGGCTCTTTGTCTTGTCTGTGCACGGCGCTTTCTGCATTTTTTCTGGAAACTGGGAATTGTTAGAAATGGATCTGGTCAGTTGGTCTCGCAACGCGATTGACAAAATGTTTTCAGCGATGCGAACAGGAGAAGGGGCTCCCGGATGCCCCGCTGGGACAGAGCCAGCTGGGTATATCATGGACTCCTGGAAACAGTGGAACCTGAAATGCCTCTCTCAACTGTCTGTAGAGGATTCTGAAGATGTTTGGATATTTGTGGTGTTGGTGTCGGGATTCCTGCTCTTTGGCCTGAGCGGTTACCTGGCTTACCGGAAAATTAACGAGCTTTTGAGGAATATTGGCTCAATCCCGGAGCTCAAGGATGGAATGCACCGTGCTGTGAACGCACAAACTCATATAATTGTCGAGATGAGTCGTAAGCTTGGAACTTTGGCTGAGATTAAGACTCTGACCCAGAAGGTGGATTCCACCAAGGACAGAGTTGTTGACGGATCAGCACGGAGTGGGATAGATTAATTACGCCATTATTGGATCTAGAGGGGTTGATGACCAACAGAACTCTAAGGCAAGGAGGAAATTATCTCTGTCTGTCCCCAAAACAATCATCTGAATCTGGTGCCCTTGGAGCCTGTGAGGCTGAAGAAAAAACTCCCCCCTCAGAAGAAATGTGGAATGCGGCTGTTGCTATGGTAACTCTCCCTATCCCAACCTGGGCGGGACCGTGGCCGGTGAAGGCCGTGGAACCGTATCTAGGAGTCACTGTGCTCTCTAACCCAATTAATTATCTCCCTCCCGTGTGTGTGTGTGTGTGTGTGTGTGTGTATGCGCATTTCCTGTTGTGCCTGAAGTGCCTTTTTTTCCCTCCCCCTGACTCTATCCTCATATAAACCTTCTTGATCTATTAAGGTAGTGCGACTCGGGATGCGAATGACCACAGTCACCAATTCTTGTCATGTGTCGATGCCTATGTACGTCTGATCTCAGAATTGTGTGTACTGAAACTCTAATTTCCGTCTGGGATTAATTAAATATTATTGAATTGAACTGAATAAAATCGATAAAATTTATTTCTTACCTTTTTCTCCACGTAGCTGTTTAAGCATAAAGGAAAATACAGTAATATATTGTTTAAAATACACACGTAAAATTGTAACTACTAAGTGGTTGTATTTATATTTCAGTTAACATAATAAAGGTAAGTAACCTTTCAAAATAAAATACCCTTTACACTTTAATGTAAAAATAAGTCTGTTGGCTTTTTTTTCCCAGCACCTGATATTAACAAACAACCCTTTAATAAAAAGTTTTCCTTATTTACAATTTACAAAAGAAATAATATTAATTGCTGAGAGTAAATAAACAGACTTAAGCTGCTGAAAAAAAGATTTCCGGTAAGAAGCTGAAATTATATAAATAAATTTAAAAAAAAAACACCAAGACTCAAAATCTATTTTGTTTTAAATATCTTCTAACTACATAAAATAGATTATGCTTTAAAATGCAAAATACGTTTCGTGATGAATCTCTAATGGAATATTAATAGTTTCCTGAATAAATTAAAACTATTTTCAAACCAAAAGTTCAAAAAGTTTTTCACTTCTTAGAAAACCCAAACCACACACACTCTTTACTGTAACTTTGTGGCTTCATTTCTCAGGAATTTGTTTCTGTTATATTTCTGAAAAGACTTTCAGAGAAGATTAATCTGCATTTTTAGGCGTGTCTTTTATATGTGAAGAAATAATCTAATGTTAATTTAAAACTCCTCGAGTTTTTCTTAGAGGAACCTACAATGTTTAAATCCAGGCCTTCTTTTTATCTTACACACACACACACACACACACACACACACACACACACACACACACACACACACACACACACACACACACACACACACACACGTGCACACTCGCCCTCCTGCACACACACACACACACACACACACACACACACACACACACACACACACACACACACGTGCACACTCGCCCTCCTGCGCACGCGCACACAGACAGACAGACACACACACACACACACACACACACACACACACACACACACACACACACACACGTGCACACTCGCCCTCCTGCACACACACACACACACACACACACACACACACACACACACACACACGTGCACACTCGCCCTCCTGCGCACGCGCACACACACACACACACACACACACACACACACACACACACAGTTTTGTTCTTACACAGGAAGATAGGCAGAGATTAAAGTTTTGGAGAATTCAAGGACAAACCCCAGATTGTTCTGCAGGAATAGTTTAGGACTCATGAAGGTTGGTGATGTTGCCAAGGCAACAAGACAAAGGGGGGGGGGGGGCTCTTTAAACTGTTCTGGCGCAGGCAGTCGATACTCAGCGGAGCAGGAAAACAGAGCAGGACACAGGAAACAGCTTTCTGACGTATAAACAGGACACCTTTTGTCATGTACATTCAATTTTGGCGTTGGCATTTTGAGGATAAGAAAGAAAAACTCGATGAAAACTCCTTGTCCAAGTTATCAGTTGAACTTGAGTGGGGGAAAGGTAGGATGAAGCTGTTTCCTCGGCCTTGATGGTGGTTTATTCTCCTCATTGCTTGTTTTCTCCCTCTTCCAGGGCGGCAGGTTGGAGGAAGTGAGCGCCTGTACCGCTACGGGTGTTTTGCTCTGACAGGAGTCTGCTTCATTCTCCTGCTGACTGTCATCCTCCTCAGTCTGAAACGTGAGCGCCTGCAGCCATTTGATCACTGTTTTGATCCTGGTTCTGCTGAAGGCATCCAGCTGCAGCCTTAAGGCAATGCTCTTTCCCTTTTGGCTCATCCAGCTGTTTTCTGCTTTCTAGTTGGATCCCAAGCCTGCCCCTTTGAGCACTGCCCCAAGCAGATCTCACAAAACCAACGTAAGTCTGAAGACGCAACATCGATGCTTTGTTAATATCTTAGAGACACTTCTGCTTTCTGAGCATAGAATAATGATTTCTGTTTTCAAAGAAACATCTAAGGAAGTTATTTAGTTCCTCTTTCATTCTGATAAATATTATTTTTCTAATAGCCAAAAATCTGCTGATTTTATTGTGCATCATCATCACTTCCTTTAATGGGAAAGATGAGTGTGTAGATTGGTAAAGAGGCCAATTCTGAGTAGATGAATATGAGTTAAGGTTTTTGTTCTGGCGATTTGTTTGCTTTTTGAGTCTTGACTGTACTTAATGTTTTATTTTTTCCAGATCATTGCTATCAGCAGTGTGCTAAAGGCTGGCTCCCCTACGGCAAATCATGTTATTTCCTGTCTACTCTCAGGCTGTCGTGGGCCGACAGTCAGAAGAACTGTTCCTCTGGTGGTGGTTCTCTGGCCGTCATCAGCAGTCGAGGCGTTCAGGTCGGTCTGAAGGACACAACACTTTGTAAAGTGTGCTTGTGTTTTTGTGAAATGATTATTATAATTATTTTACTGTCAACTTGTTAAACTCACTAAAGTGCTCGGCGTGTTTGCCTGAATCTTCTCTTGTAGCATTTTCTGACACGGACGGGAAACCTGACATACTGGATTGGACTGAGAAAGAACACGACTGAGTGGAACTGGGTCAACAACACGCAGCTGCAACAGAAGTGAGTCTTCGAGATCTTTAAAAAACAACAATTGATATGTTTGGCGCTACTTGAAAAGAAAGTTGTGTAACGACCTGAACTTGAGGACCCGTGTGGACACCAAGACACAGTAAGGCACTTTAAAAGTCTTTATTAGCAAAAAGCTAAGATGTGGCGTTATCCGTAGAGGGCGAGGCTGGAGACAGAGTCGGTGAACAGGCGAGGGTCGTGGGGGCGGGCAGAGTTCTTGGCAAGGGTCAGGCGTGGAAACGAGGTCAGGAGGTTATGATCAGGCAGGATGAAAATGGCTGGAAGATTTACGAGCAGAAGCGTTCAATAATCTGGCAGAGGGCTGGTAGTTGACTGTGGAATATATAGCTGGTGAGGCAGGTGTGTGGCATGAGTCTGATGAGATGAACGATGGTGCGTGGAGGTCAGGGCATGGCAGGATCATGACAAGTTGTCAGAAATCTGGGGAAAAAATCGACTCCGCCATCAGGTTCAAGACACAAATTTATGTGGTTGTGTGGTCTTGTTTTTTAAATTTGAGACAACTCTTTACACTGTAAAGATTTTTATGTTAAAATGCTGGGATAGCCAGAATGGTACTGTAAAATGACGGGCTAAATGTCTTTCCTTTACGGTAAGAAGGTATTTTTATTGTTTTTACTGTTAAAAATGATACGGAAGTCAATATTTTACCATAGAAGAAAATGGTTTTACTTGAAAAAGAAAAAAAAACTAATTGTTTTACTGTAAAATCTACATGAAAATAATCTATAAAATAAAAATTTTGCCACTAAAAACAACATTTTTTCCACTAATTACAAAAGTCTAAAGGTTTTCCTCACTACATACAATCAGTTCATAGAATGAAACACTAAATTTACTACCATTAAGATCATAACTGGTTATAATAACTTAATCCGCTTAATTCCTGCTCAGGTCTTTCAACTGCACGTGTGTGTAAAACTGTAGCAGTCAAAAGCGTTGAGTCAGGAATGACATCGGTATTGATGTAAGGCAACTTCAAGTAAAATCGACAGTTTTAGATTAGTTATAGTTGACAGGTTTTTCCTGTTTATCACTGTTAAACGTATGGCTATTTTTTACAGTGTAGGATCAAGCCCCTGTTTTCTATGGCATACTTGGAGTCTGTCATCCATGCATTTGTCCTATCCTGACTGGATTACTGCATACCTTGTATGCCAGTCTGAGTCAGGGTGTGGTTGCAAGGCTCTAACTTGTCCAGAACTCATCTGCGAGATTTCTGACAGGCACTAGACGTCGGGTACGTGTCACTCCGGTGCTGGTGACCTTACACTGGCTCCCAGTGTAAATCCTCCTTGTTGTGTACAGGACCCTTCATTGCACTGCTCCCTCCTACCTGTCAGCATTGTTGATCCGACATGTCCCATCTCTGGCTGAGCGAGAGCTCTTAGTGGTCCCACGCTCCAAATACAAATCACGGGGGGATTACGCGTTCTCAGTTCTGGCTCCAACACTCTGAAACGAATTGGGTGTCAGGCATCACTTGTGATGGCGTTTCAGCATTAGGGATCACTTCTGGGCCACATCTACTTCCTGAAACAGGAGCATCAGAGGCTTTCTCCCACAGAGATCGACTCACAAGACATTCATTTCTACTGACCACTGCAATTGTATTGAAAAAACAAGTGAACTTGGTCTTTAACATTCCTTTCTGTGTATGTTTACAGTTACTGGTCAGGCTCTACTATACGGTCAAACTGTGCATACCTCAGCAGCGAAGCTCCAGAGGAGAAGAACTGGGAAACTGCTTCCTGTCATGCTCTCAACTACTTTATCTGTCAGCTGGAGCTCTGAAGGCCCATTTCTAACCAATGCATCATTAACTCTTCAGTGGTTCAGCATATATTTAGATTTTCCTCACCACAACCCAGTGTGCAGAAATAAAAACAGGGCCGTGTCTCAGATAATATGGGCATATTTCACATTTAAGAAGATAATTTAATTTATAATATAGAGTAGTATTCTCTAACAGCCTTATATAGGACACTTTTGTCTGATTGGCTTAATGAATTGACCTGTATTGGAATGTTTATTATGTGAAGTGCCTTGAGACGACTCTTGTCGTGCGCTATATAAATAAACTTGAATTGAATTGAAATTGTGTAACTATCATGGCAGATCTATCTTTTTAATGCTGTATGCTTAATTTTCCTGCTGAAATACAAATAAAAAGTCACAAAATGGCTTCAGAAGCTTTTATTCTTACATATTTATTTGACAAGTTTAATCTTACACTTTATTTAGCTTTGCATATATTATTGTTACATATTTTAACATATTGCTGTAAAAATAACACACTCTGTATGATAGCATAATACTGCAGAAAGAATTGCACTGTTGCCTATGAAAGGGGAAAAAACTGAAAGAAAGTTCAAAGTAATGCAGATTTATATCAGACAGAATTACAATCTAAACATATTTTATTTCCTTTATGTCTTCTGGCTCCTCTATCTCCATCTCCATGTCCAAACCCAAAGTGCTGAGGCGTACCACATCCCAGGCTGCCACCGCCTTTTTGTTTCTGGCATTTTTGCTTTCAGATCGAAGAATCGGGGATCCGTTTGCTGCATCTGATTTCTCCTCACCCTCTTCATTTTCATTTTCCTTAGAGAAAGCTTTAACGTAGCGCCTCATTTTTTGCAACATCATATCGTTTCTGTTCTCCACCCTGCAGATAAATGAGAAATTAAAATGCACAGAACTAATCAGTCTTTATTCAAGCTCAGATCACTCTGTTTTCAAGGCCACATTTGTACGCTACAGCCAAAATGAAACTCAGTTCAAGACAAAAAAGTGTAGATAAGAAAATGAAATGGGAGACAAATGAAGATGGATGCATTGTAGATGCTTACAGGCATAGAGGAATTAATTTAAAGTAGCATGAGCCTCGAAAAACCAGAATTGATGCACAGCTCTGGTATCAGTGCATGAAAACAGAAGCAAAACTAAGGAAAACTGAAGAGTTTTTAACACTTCAAGCTATTGGTTTCAAACTCGTTTCAGTGGTTTTTGAACCATAAACTTAACATTGGACAGCGCTCTGTAGCCCTCTTCGGTCCAAAAACTGCATTTAACAGTTTTGTGGTTTGAGAATGTGCACTAGTGGAAGGTCTCTGCCTGCTTTAGTCCTACTTTTTTACTGAGCATTTAGCCTATAGCATATGCTAGCAGTTAGCTTTTCCAATTTGCTGATCATCAATTAAAAGCACAAGAAGAATTTGAAGAAGAATTTAGCTTTTTTGTCAGCATCATGGAGCTTGGAAGTAAAAGTAAGAGAATAATCTCTCTGCATCCTAAATAACAGACTGATGGTGACCTACCTTTGTTGCTACTGGATTTGTAACTAATATTTTTTAACCAAAAGTGTGGATATATTTAATTAGTGGTTTATTTTAGAGTCAGTTGGCTTGTTTTAGCATTAGCTTGTTGTTAGAGCTAGCTAAAGCATGGTTGTTTACAACAGTTGTAATTATGTTTTCAACCAGCAGGGGGAGAAGCAAGTAAACTTATTTACAGTTGCTTTATTTGGTGCCATAGTGAGCAGTGAGAAAACAGTCGGTGGAAAAATATTTTCTCCCCTGGGAAACAATTTTTTTTCAGTCACAAATAGAGATTTACACTCCTGTACTCTTCACCACTGTGCATCGTCACAGAAAAACAAAAAAATTCTTTGGAAACAGCCAGAACATGCAGGTTTCAGGTCATATTTTATGGCTAAAATTAAAAATTCAACAAAGTAATGATATTTTTTGTCTAACAGTGTGGATATTTTTACTTTTGGCTCATGTTAGCATTAGCTCATTGTTAGCGCCAGCTACAGCAGATGGAGGGAAAAGCAGAAAACTTATTTAGTGTTGCTTTAAGTCATCTTTGATTCATTTGTTATTCTCAGAGAAACTAATAATAGAGCTAATAGCTTCATAGAGGTGTATATATAAACATTTGAAGAAGCAACTTTGCTAACTCATCGCTGGCTGAATGCGGCCATTTGTTATGTTGAATCTGAGTGGTATGCACTTTCACTGAAACTCACACAGAATGGCACTTTTTAAATCTGAGTTCTGATCTGGGTTCAGCAGTTTAAACTTGACATTTAAACTTCTGGTTCAGTTGTGTCATCATACCTGAGATACCAACGCTCCTTCAGGCCGTAGGTAAGCCCACACACTCCGATCTGACACCACAAACAGCGAGGCAGCCTCCTCTCTACCATCAGAGTTGTGGCCACCACCTGAACAATATGACAGCTGTAACCACGACACAGCAGAGTCTGTTTCAAGCAGAAAACTTGACATTATGCAAGTGTTACCTGAGTCCTCCACAGCTCATCTCTCTCTTGGGCCACTCGCCACTGTGTGTCACTCATCATGGCAATCAGCAGATTGAGCAGCAGGGTACAGCAGATCACAGAGAAGGCGGCAAGTATCACTTGGTTGATTGGGGGTATCTGGATGCTGTTATCCATAGGGAGATCAATCATGCTAACAGAGAGCTCAAACTGGGAATAGAGAGCTAAGGGGAAGGAGCGGTACTGAGACAAGGAGAGTGGATCCTGGGTCATGTACACCATCCAAATAGCTGAGAAAAATGACAAAAACAGCATGTTTGCTTTAATAAAGTTTTTAAAAACTGTGTTTCTTCTTTCAGCTTTGTGAGAACTTCTGAAACAGGCAGCTTCTGAGAATATACTCACAGGTTGTAAAAGCCATGAGCATGATGATGAGCAGCCACATATACTTTACCAGGTCTCCAAGTATAATCTAGGAGGAAATGAGACAAAACCACAGAAAACACAAGCAGATCAGCTGCAAGAAAAACCAAAGCAAGAGCCTAAAAGCGTACATGCGTGGCTGTGATAAGGAAGCAAACAGTAAAACCTGCAGGGAGCTGTCACTGACCTTCTGGATCATGATGACAAAAGGACCAAGACTTTCAAAACCACGGGCAAAGAACAAGACATTGGACCAGCCGAGAATCAAAGCTATCGCCATTATCTCAGTCTCTCCCTGCATCTCAGTGAGTCTGAGCACAGTCAGCAGCACCACCAGGATAGCGTAGACGATGCTGGAGGGACAGCAGCTGGATCAGACAACACAGCAAAACAGTATTTCACTTCTCAGATGGGTTTTTATTTACAGGATGACGTGGAAAGGTCCTCCGAGAGCTGTCTGACCAAAGTAACGCTTTGCTCCCACCCTCAGTATGTCTGGGATCTGTTGTAGAAAAGTATTTTAGTGCTGCACCATGCATAAGTACAAACAAGGAACATTGTTCATTTACTCACCTCCAGAACCAGGATTAGAATCGCTCCCACGAGGCTGATGATCTCTCCTACCAGCCGTAGACTGTCCCCGTAGGTCACATAACTCTCCTAAAGCAGGCAACGGGAGAATTAACCAACATTAATATCAAATCCATCTTCACTGTTGTTTTGTATCGTATGTTGTATGTACAGGGATATTCCTGCAAAAGCTAGATGACTGGAAGAAGCTTCTTCTTTTGCAGAAAAATAAGTGAAACTTTGACTTTACAGTTTGTTTATTTCAAGCCAGTTGTTGTACGCAAACATACTGCAACAAATATTTATATACATACATATGTACATATACCTACATATACACATACAATTCTTTTAATGGTAATCTCAATTATTAACAGATAATTTTAGAACAGTTGAGTGAATTCAGCTTCCTTTCTCATACTCCATGTACTGTGACCAGACCCTTTCCACGGTGCAAAGACCTAGCTTGGACGGCTTACAGACGTGGTCTTGACCGACAGACTCAATGTAGACATGATCTGCACGTCCGTGCGATGTTGACTGTTTGCAGGTTTTTTTTTTTTTTTTGTTTTTTGTTTTTTTACATGGAATTTAAAGCCACCACAACCCCTCAGATTATAACTCCCTTTGTTTCGTGTAAAGACATTTTGGCAAGTGGAAGGTAGAATTTTATACAGGCTTTATAAAGTATTTGTGCATTATAAAAATCACCTAAATCAAGAAACAGTTTGGACTGCAAAAATAAAATGTTGGTGTGACTACAAAATTTTTTTTGGAGAATAAACAGGGGTCGTAGTGAATTTGTATAGTTATTGCCCCAAATCTCTTATGAAATACGTTAAATAGGGCAACACAAATAGGAAGCCTAAGTCACTTCCGCATCACGGGTCCCCGGAAGAATGAAAAAATGAATGCAAGCCAACGGGGCTAAAAAAGCTATTTTCTAATCCGCTTTGCCTTACGCCCTGGATCGCACATATGTTGTACTGCAATTTAAATGAAAACTATTGATGGGTGTTTCAACCACGCATGTCATGTACTTTGAGATTTATTAGCTTGTAAAAGTTTGTAATTAGCATGACTACACACCAGAAATCGGCATGTTGCATAGCCTATGTGACATCACCACATAATCTCCTCTCCCCTAGCATAGCTGCTACTTATCACATGACCAGATTTATGGTAGTTCTTTCGTCCTGTGGAAAGTTTGGTGAACTTACAGCCATTTTGTCTCGGTTTTCTCCGTGTCTGGTTCGATGACGCCACTTTTGTGAAGCGCATTTGTAGTCCTGGACTTCTTTTCACACAAAACCTAAAATATCATTCCCCCGTTCGAAAAGAAGCTCATTCTTGGTATCAAAATGAGTCTTTAAGATTCACGGACATCATGTGTGAAATCCATGGGACAAAGCAAGCGGAATCAGAAAATAACATTTTTAGCTCCATTGACTTGCATTTATTTTTTCGTTCTTCTGGAAACCCATGGTGCAGAAGTGATTTAGGCTCCCTATTAACAGTATAATAAGTACAGTGCGTTATAATCTAAGAAATACTTAACTGTATTACTAATTGAGACACTTTTAGAGACTTTACGTTGTGGCTAATGTGAGATTCTATCACAACACCATCAATATTTTTTATTTGGTCTAAATTTTCTTTATGGTTTCTGAAGAAAAAGTATTTTAGTTTTGTCTAAACTGAGGATAATGTATTATTATCCATTCATGTTTTTAATTTAAGTAGCTCATTATTGACATTATTTATTTAATCACCACAACTATCACTAGAATAGCAAATATCAGTGGCATCTGCAAAAACAATTCATTTGAACAATTTAGATAGATAAAAAATGTCATTGATATGCAGATTAAACTACTTGGGGCCCATTATTGGTCCCTGCGGGACACCAAAGGTAATGCCCAAATACCTTGATTTAAATCTTCCCATTCTGTTGCCTCTGTGCTAAAAAAAACTCTATATCCAACTCAAGGCTACTCCCCTAATTCCATATCTATGCAACTTTTTTAGTAATATGTCATGATTAAGCATACCAAAGGCTTTATTCAAATCAATAAATATTCCAACTGCATATTTCTTTTTATTTAGACTATTTGTGATCTCTTCTACTGCATCAATTATCTCCATATATGTAGACTTTGCTTACCTAAAGCTGTACTACTTTCAATTATTTTATTGTATTTCTCTATAAAGTTGTCTAATCTGTTGTTGTAGAGTTAATCTAAAATATTAGAAATATGAGTTAGCAGAGAGACTGGTCTGTAATTAGTGAAGATGCGTTTGTTCCTGTTCTTATACAGCAGTATTAGCCATTTTCATTTCATTTGGAGAGATTCCTATTTAAATTATAAAATATATATGTGAGTTAAAGGTTTGGACATACTACATATAATTCTTTTAATCAGTAACTGTGGATCTCTGGACTTTACCAGAATGCTGCATAATGCATAAAAAATGAGTCAACAGCAGCAACTGAACTTCATTTAGCTGTTTCGAAGAAAAAGAAATATAAAACTGGTGAAGTAGTTTGAAAATATTCCAAAGCATTCTGCAAAAAAAAAAAGAAAAAAAACCCGCAAAGTTTATTATTATTGGTGAATTATAATCACTTGTTTGTCAAATCTATATTTGAACTTGAAAAATACAAAGTTACTATAAAAGTGCTCTTGCACTAAATGCATTGAAAGTTTTAAAAGGGACATATTATGCATAACTCGCCTTCTGCATCTTTTTGAGCTGCCTTGTGGGTCTCTACTGCCTCTATAAACACTCCAGATGTGAAAATAACCAGTCCATATTTTGTCTGTTAGTGTTTGGTTTTGGAATTATGTTCCTAAAACAAGCCATTCCAAAAAGTCCCTGTTTGTGATGTCACAAACGGGAAAACATCATAGAACCACCTCTCATCTGGAGGAGGTCACGCCCAGCTTGTTTTCTTGACAGAGCCCTGAAATGACTCATTCTGGAAGGTACTGAAACAGTCAAGATGAAAACTGATGATATCTTTATATGAGAGAGATTTAGTGTAAAGAACTTCATGAATATGTTTTGTTTTGAGCACAGAACTATTCTAACTTCAGAAAATAAGTTATAATATGTCCCCTTTAAAGTATAATAATAAAGAATGTATTATTGTTATAAAATCATAACTTTAACCCACACTTAGAGTTTTCTGGATCAGGATGGTTTTGATGGGGTCGTCACTAGAGATGTTCCTCCCAGCATCCTTTAGGGGGCGATACACACAAATCAGGGTGAATGTCACGATGTACAGGAGGTACACTAACAGCAGCAGCCTGACACAAGACAAAGAAGTAAAACACATTAAAACACATCTTGATGATTTTTACTTTACGCAGTGACCATAAAGAAAGAAAAAAAATACCTTAAATAATGTTTTCCATACAGGTTCCATTTTAGTGAGACCAGCTGCCTGACAGGAGTAATCTCCAGAATCTGTCTCGCCTTCAGAATAAAAGTATTTTAGACTCATCATCAGGTTACCACCGTTATTCACGTGTAGTTAGTTTTTGTTGTACCTCTTTCTTCGGACTGCTCACAATAACCTCCAGCACTGACATACTGTCAGCCCAGGAGTCGATCTCAGTCAGGTCGTACAGGTAGGAGGTCAAAGGTCCCAGATTCCACTGGACTGCTCGCCTCTTATTGACCAGGTGCTGGAACACCTGGGGGAAACGAAGGAAATCACAGGATCAGTGAAACAATCTGCCCCAGCTTTGGCCTCCACTCAAGCTCTCCACTCACCACGGTGTTCCCCTCTTTGGCTGCTAGTTTGAAGGGCGTGAGGCCTCGAGAGTTGGGCACCATGTCGAGCGGTATCATATGGTCCAGCTCTGCGTCGCGGGTCATGATCAGATCCATGGCCTGACACGCAAAGGTCTTATGGGGCTGCAGCACCAAAATATGGAGAAGCGTGTTGCCTAGAAGACAAGATGAATGCATTTACATTAGATTGAGATGCAGAATGAGCTTATGCCTATTGTCTTCTACTAAAATGCAATTTCAGTTTTTTTGCAGGTTGCAAAAACAAACCAAAACTACATTCACAGATTAACCCAGTTCTCTGTTTTAATGTGTTTTTTTATGTAATGGTATTGCATTTAAATGTTTCAGATTACTTAAAGGTGCAATATGTAAGACTGACGTCCTGTCGTCAAATTTGGTTACTGTAGTCCATTTTTAACTAAAAATATTACATTCTCACTCCCAGTGAGTTTCATGGCTAAAAAAGATTTATTTCTGTTCACGACTATTACGAAACTTCACCAAATCCTGATTGGTATTGACGAATCTTTGTTTTGGTTCGTGTTTGAAGGTCTTCCTGTTGTTTAGTGTCCTTACTTTTAATTTTGGTACTGCCGCTTTAAGAAAGCGCTCCATGACGACGTCAGCGCTTAACCGTTCTCGGTTGCCTCATGGCTGCCTGAGAAGAGGGGACTGCTGACTCGTTTGTGTGGGAAAACTACATGTTAAAGAACACGTTTGTTCATTCCATTTGTACAGATCTGGCAATAATAAAAAAGACAACCAGCAGACTCTGTGTCCTGAGTCCCTTCTTCAACAGAACACAACGCAGAGGATTGATAAGATAACTGGCATAACCAGTCGCAGTGTCAGTGGAGGACAAGAACAATTTACACCAGTTACACTAGTTACGGATGTAACGGAATGAAATGACAGCAAAAATGCTGTTTGGGGGCAGCAGTAGCTCAGGTGGTAGAGCGGGTTGCCTCATGATCGGGAGGGTCATGGGTTCGATTCCAGCTCCCGCCAGGGGGTATCCTGCTGTTGTGTCCTTGGGCAAGACACTTCACCCAACTTGCCTGTGTTAGTGGTGGTCAGAGGGGCCAACGGCGCCAAATGGCAGCCTCGCCTCTGTCAGACCTCCCCAGGGCGGCTTTGGCTACAAGTAGATTACCATCACTAGCAGTGTGTGAATGTGAGAGTGTGTGAAAGCGTCTTTGGGTGTCTAGAAAAGCGCTATATAAGTTCAATGCATTTTTATTATTACTGTTTTCCACCTAAAAATAATTCCCCCCTCCTCAGCAAGATCTAATCTGCATGAGTTATTGTTCAAGGTCGCATGCATCTGCTTCTAAACTGTTTTCCTTTCCAGCGCAAGAGAAGAATGAAGACAAAGGACTCTTTCGTTTTAATAAATCAAAGAACTCTGTTTTTAATAAGCTAATCAAACAAAGTGTTAGTCAATAATAAAATGTGAACCGATTTGTGAAACGAAAATATTGATTACTTTATTATAATCCTACAGAATATAATAAGTAATGGTAACTTTTAATGTTTCCACTAGAGACTGATCACACGTAGCGTTAAGACATGACACATTGCTTTACTGATCCAATCAGACTCTTCCAGATCTGACTGAGGCGTGGTTTTGGTGGTGCTTGGTAAATCTGCCATCTTTTCATTCAACCATGAACCAAAACATCCGAAGTATAAAACTATGCCCACGTCATCTTTAACGGGAGTTCAAAGCGTTCTAGAGAAGTTGTCGGAGTGGCCAATCCGTAACTTTCCCCTTTAGCCGAAAGAACCAACGACAAGCTGGATAAAATCTGTTGCTGTTCCAACTGCTGCAACAGTTCCTTTCAGAATAAAAGCTGAACCATCGTGACCCCGTTTTGGGTCTTGATAGATGCCAACAAAACTGTTGTGACCCGGAAGTATCTCAAGACTGGTCTGGTCGGCTACCGCTGCTTTTCCTACCGGCTTCGGTTCCAGAGAGGGTCAAGCTGGACGTCGACATTCCTGATCTAACGGGGACTTCCAAAAGGGTGCGTAGGCCGACAGAATGGCGTCTCAATGTGTGTTCATGAATCTCTGAATCAAAGCTTAGCGCGAAGACATTCACTCCCACCAGAACTAATCGTTTCTCCAGATTTGCTGGTTCTGAAATATTCACACATACACCATTCTCAGTCTTACCTCACCTTAGTTATACCATACACCTAGTGTTGAAGTTAGTCTAGTTTTAATTTGTTTTGTAATAAATCTTTAAACTTTTAAGACTTGACTCACGCTCTTTTCTTGAAGTTAATACAGAGTGTTGCTCAATCCCTGCAATAAAAAGATCCAATCTTCTGATTAAATTTACTTAAAGATCCATTAAGGTGATATTTCACATTTCGTGATATTTCACATTTTATGGTTTCTAATTAAATGTAGGAATTTATTTGCTACACGGATCAGCACCAGAAGTTTGTATATATGACAAGCAAAGTAGAGTCATATCTACACTTATTATGGTAGTTAGTCTCCAGCATTACAGGAAGTGTGGTTGTTTGCCATCTTGCTGTTATAGTGCGGAACGACTCATTAAAGGGAGTAAAACAACAGGATTGACTCATTGTTCACTTCATACTTACGTTTCACTGTAATATTCAGTTGTTTGTAATTGAAAAAGTAGCTTGAGATATTTTTAGAGCCAACTATTTGCTTCTAATTCCCCGTTTGCATTGTTAGCTCAACGTTAGCTTAACTTTAGCTTCTGGCGTGCTTAATCTGATATTAGAGTACAACAAAAAGATGCAGAGGCTTCTTAGGGGTGCAAGAAGTAACTTCTGGGTCGCTCCTGCCTACTGGCTTTGGTTCTTTAAACAACTCTGGAGCTTTTCGCTGGCCGGTGTCAAATTACACTGCTGCGGTAGCTCGCTGTAAATTTGGCTACTTCACAAACTCACACAGTGTAAACAACTGCGTTCTGCTTTTGTTTTTGTCAGGCTGAGAAAAACTGACAACCCACCAGCCAGCTGAGACTTAAATCTGTCTCAGTATAACGTTCCTTCCAACATAATAGAGACAGTACATTATTTTGTGATTATTTCTTGGTAGAAATCTTACATATTTCACCTTTAACCCTCTGGAGGCAGGCGTTGCAGATTAGCAACGTTAAAACCTACCTACCTACCTGGTTACTCCACATACGTGTTTCATGAGCATTTTTTAACTCAGAAGTACCCCTGAAGGACTTAGTTGTTCGTCCTTTTACCAAAACTTATTTTGAGCCTGAGAGGGTTAACACATTAACACAATGTGTATTTTTCCAGCCAAAATGCAGAGCTCTTTTATTAAAAGCTCTTCTTGAGAAAATAACTGATTGTGTCAGGGTTAAATGATAATAGTAACTAAATTTGACTGTGAAACGTAGTGATTGGTAGGTAATTAGGATTTTATCAGGTTAGATTGCCTTTAATTGATCTGAATGCAACAAAATTTGAAAAGGACTAAATAAATAACTTTGATCAATTTCTGGCTTGTAGGAAATAATTTATTTATTTCCTGGTGAATGAACTGAGCTCCAATGTGAATCAATTTTATATCCCAAGAAACTGCCTTGACTGAAAACAACATGAATTGGGATTTCAAACCTTTGTAGTCTTGGACCCTGGTGCTGGCCCCATTGTCCATCAGCATGGTCATGATGTCCAGGTTTCCAGTGCAAGCAGCAAAAGACAGGATGTGCTCACCTGTTCCCAAAACATTAACTTGCATGATTTTGTCAACTTCAGCTCATTTTGCATCCAACCCTTTAGCACTTTAGCTGCTGCTGACATATTGTCAAGCTGACTCACCACAGTACATCAGTCCTCCTTTCCTCTTCTTGAAATAAAGACCGGTGACTCGAGGTGCGGAAACGTCACCTCCACGACGAATCAGCTGTTCAACGAGGTCGATGTTTTGGTTCACCACAGCGATGTGGAGGGGAGTAATACCTGAAAGAGAGATGGAGTCGCAGTTTAATCTGTGCACAGGTAAATATCACAAGATTCTGGTGATTTGTACATAAAAATGTCAATTACAGACAAAACCAGTACTCATTCCTGCTGCATCTTGTGCTTGTTAACCAGTGACCAGTGCATGCTGGTCCTAAACAGAGCTGGTTCTTATCATTTTAACAGAGGTGTGACCGTGTCCCAAGTAAGTCACAAGTCTTTCCAGTCAAGTCTCGAGTCAAGTCCAAGTCAAAGATAACAAAGTCCAAGTCGAGTCCAAAGTCAATGATGGACCATCCGTGCTTTCATTACCTCTCGCCTGGACTATGCAAACGCCCTCCTAGTTGGTGCTCCGGTCTCTGCCCTGAATTGGCTGCAGGTCGTCCAGAACTCTGCTGCCAGGTTCTTGACAAATACGCACCGACGTAGCCATATTACCCCTGTCCTGGCACATCTTCACCGGCTCCCTGTCATTTTCAGAGTACAGTTTAAGTTATTGACTTTTGTATTCAAAGCACTCAACGACCTGGCACCTCCCCATCTCTCTGACCTGCTCACTCCCTATGTACCCACGCTCACGTTGAGATCGGCTGACCTCCTGCTGCTTTGCGCGTCCCGGATGCGATACAAATCGTGGGGTGAACGAGCATTTGTACATGCTGCCCCAAAGCTGTGGAACTCTATCCATTGTAGTTCGGCAGGCTCCATCATTGGCCGTTTTTAAATCTCGTTTAAAGACCCACTTCCACGATGTGGCTTTTAGACCATGACTCGTTTTAGTGTTTTATTGTGTTTTTAGTATTCCTCATATTTTATCTGCTTTTGATCGGTATTTTTATCTTCTGTTTTAGTCGCTTAGATTGGTCGTGTTTTGGTCCAGCCTGTGCAGCACTTTGGGCAGCTCCCATGCTGCGTTTTAAACGTGCAATATAAATAAACTATGGTATGGGAAGTCCAAGTCAAGTCCAAGTCCTTAACTTTGAATTTCCAAGTCATAATCAAGTCATCGGCCCAACTTCAGTTTAATGATGGTGATAATAAATAAATTCCAGAAATAAAACTTAATTTATTTTCTCAAAAAAGCAGAAAATTCAACTGAACTTGATCATAAACAAAGTGCTGCCGCATTTAGCAGTAAATCAAACCCAGAACGAGGAATGATTTATGATTTTTGTCCACGTCGTGCCACTTTGTGATAAAATATCAAATATGCTCAAGTCATCATCAAGTCAACAGGTGCAAGTCGATTCAATTCGCAAGTCATTGGCGTTCAAGTCCAAGTCAAGTCGTAAGTCTTTATAGATTTTATGAAGACAAGTCAGAAGTCATTAAAAAATGACTCGAGTCTGACTCGAATCCAAGTCATGTGACTCGAGTCCACACCTCTGCATTTTAACTAACCCTGTTAGTGAGAGTTAGGCTTGAAGCTAAACTCAGTCCCTTAGAATGAAAACAGCCTTGTTATCACTGAGCCGAATCACACATTGTGCGCTTCGGCTGCAGAACAAGTTTACTTCAGGGTTGGTTGTAGGCGAGGTTAAACTCGTGTTTCTCTTTAACTCTTTCATTTTCTAAGGACATGAAAAGATTTCAGGTGTTTGTTTCTGGATGCAAACCTTGGAAAATCTCAGAGGTCATGGGTTCATTGATGAGTTCAGGCGCTCCATCCATCAAAGCCACCGCAGCATCTGCGTTGTCGTTCATCACAGCAACATGAAGGGCCGTTTCTCCGAGGGCTCCTGAGAGGGGAAGGTTTAGCGTTAAAGATATGAATAAAAACAGCAATGATAGAAACGCAGGATTCAGGCTTCAGTCTCACCTCTCTCAAAGATGTTGGTGGAGGAACAGTTTAGCAGTTTCCTGATGCAGCCGACGCTGTTGTTTTTAGCCGCGTAGAACAGAGGGATGTCGCTGACGCTGTGGGGCGAAAGGGCAGAAAATGAACTTTAAGTATCCCCAAATATATCCAAATCCTCGGAGCGATGGCACTTTATATGGATCTGTTACTTTTTTGTGTAGATAAGGAAAGTTTCATCCAACATCTCGTTCCATCCTTTTTTGTTTTGAAGGCGAAACCTCAGCTGGGTCCACCAGTGGTTGAGCTCGCTGGGAGCAGAGCTGGCCAGAGCCGGAGACATTTCACACCTGGTGCTCAACTGGGAGACAAAGGAAAAAAAAAATAAAAAGATCATTTGATTAAAGTCCTAAAAAGTTTTGGTTTATGGTTGAAAACAAAAATCCATCTTACCCAAAAAGCATAAAAGTACAACTCCTTTGCTGCTTAAACCAGTTTTAAGAGGTCCCCAGGGAGAACTGCGGTCCAAACTGCATCCCTCTTTTATATATATGACCTGACCGTGAGGGGGTGGGTGGAGACAAGAGGTGGGAGGATGAGTGAACAGGTGAGACAGCGACACTCAGGCAGTAATTAACAGGTAGACTTCACCTGCTGGTCAGAAAGCCCACAGAGAAAGTGTGAGCTCAACGTTTGTCCTGGTTCATCATGCTGATTTCAAATGTATTGACAAGTGAAAATGGCCTGGTCCGGCTGTCTCCGGGCCTGTCAACATTCCTCCAAACTCCCCCAAAACCTGCATGACCACTATGACAATTCTGCAGCCTCATGAAAGTCCACACTCAGCGGTGTTTGTTTTAAGTGAACTGTAAAAAAAAAAAAAAAAAAACCCTGTTTGGAAAATTACGTGGATGATGTGATTCTAATCTAAACCTCAAACCAAGGCAAAATGGGCCAGGCGATTGTTTTTGATGCTCCACACCTGGAAAAAAAATCACTAAACTGGGATAATTTCCTAGTTTTATTCACAGTGATATAACATTTTAGGCATTTCTCACCTGTCAACAGGGGCGATCACAAACACGTAACTGCTGCAGCACAAAGACCGTAATGATCCTTTAGAAGGAGGCATCATGCCCAAGAAGACGAGTCACTTTCTTCAAAAACAATCTTTTTATTAAATACGTCAACTGATCAGAAATCAGACATTCAGTTCAGACGTTTTTGATGTAGCAGCTGATTTTGTCGACTAATTCAACGCCACCCGTAGTGTGCAGATATTTTCCTGTATCGTTTATAGATCATGACTCAGCAAAGGAGGTCAGCCGCAGGATAAACAGGCTTTAGGGAGCCTCTATAGGAGGCCTTGGTCATTCCGTATTGTTGAGGTAATAGCTGTTTACCAGACTGTGAGCGCCGTTTTTAAGCAGTGTCATAAAGACAGCTGGTTTCCACACAGGTAATGTCTTTATAAAGAAACAATAACGCCATAAAAACATGATTCTGTGGGTTTTCCTGCAAGTGTTTCTGAGCACATGTAACAGCGGTGTGTTCATTTGGGTCCAGACAGCCACAGAAAACAATTATTACACAAAGATCCGGTTTACTTGTGACGAGCTAAATGCTCGTTATGTTACAGGCATAACAAGGCGCTATGGTTTATAATTATACTATTTGACTTCATTTACTATTAAACAAATACCCATTATGTTTTTAGTGGTGTGACCTTAAAATGAGAGGAAATATGAATATTGTTCCTGAAAAGAAGTTGATGTCAAATGGAAAAGTTACTGGACTGTAACAGCTCATTTACAGAGGGCTGTAAAAGTTGCTATTTTTCACGATTTTCCTGTATCAGTCGTTACGATGAAAATTTTCAAGCAAATATATCATAAAGAGACACACTGAGTGATATTTGAGAAGTGAAACGAAGTTTATAGGATTTACATTAAATGAGGCAGGTGCATAAATTTGGGCAAAAAGGAAATGAACTCAATTATTTTTTAGTAGATCCCCCTTTTGCAGAAATAATGGCCTTTAAATGCTTCCTATAGCTTCCACTGAGAGTCTGGATTCTGGTTGAAGGTATTTTGGACCATTTTTCTTTACTAGACATAGTTCTTTCAGGTTTGATGGCTTCTGAGCACAGACCGCTCTCTTTAACTCACACCACAGATTTTCAATAATATTCAGGAGATGGCCATTCCAGAACGTTGTACTGTTCCTCTGCGTTAGTAGATCCTTAGTAGATGTCATTTATTTTAGAGCAGATTTTTATGGTTATATGTTATGAAGCCAGGGGCGTGTCCAAGGAGAGGCCTGGGTTAGCACATGGCACCCTTGGAATCTGATTGGCCACCCCAGGTGTCACCACAGTAATTTACCTTCAAATAGGCTTTTCATTGTGCACAAAAGGCTTGGGGGTAAAACAAAAAAAAAAAATCATAACATTGGTGCCACCCATGCACAAAGTTGTGCCCCCCCCCCCCCCCCCCCCCCCCCGGGCCACCCCATTTGAAAACATCTGGACACGCCACTGTATGAAGCAGCCAATTTTTTTTCAACAGCTGGGCATCTTTTAATTCATTTACAACAACATTTTGATGGATATTTCCAGAGATTAATGGCAAAAACTACACATCGTCACTTTTAACACACATTGCTGATATTCAATTGTCTGCACTGTAAAAATGCATTCTGTAGAAAAACAGACAATGTTGTGATGTAACATATTTTGTGTGTTCATTCTGTGTATTTCATCCAACTGCATTACTTGGTTCTTTTTTAACGCAGCAAAATAGTTGTAATTACCTTGTTTTTGCTGACGTTTGACGAACACTGTAGCCGTCTTCAGAGCCTCGCCGCGGCGACACTGTGCTAACAAAAAAAGTAATGTTCTGATGTCTTTTGTTACTTTTAGAGTAATTTTCATTTAAATCTGCTGCAGATTTTACAGAATAAATATCTGTTTAAAGACAAAACGAAAATGTCTTTCAGCTTTATGAAGTCATATTTTTGGGTCTTTTTGAAAGTGTAAAATTACAAAATGCCTTAACTTTTCCGCAAAACATTTTATGATGCATTTCTTATTTATTCATACACTACAAAACTAAGCTTCCTGCTTTTTAAAACAAGTTTAAACTTTAAATTAAACTCTTCTGAAACAAATCTTAGTCCCAACAAGCCTGAAAACATCATAATATTTAAAAGGAAATAAGTTGATTTTCTTTCTCTTAAAATACGGAATAATTTAGATTTTTGCTTGGTCAAATTTCCATCTAATAACAGTGCATAAAATGGAAGTTATGACTTAAAGTTCTGCCTAGATTTGTTCCAAAGATGTCGTGTTTGTTTAAAAAATATGCAAAATGTTACAAATTTGAACATGCAACCTTCAAATTTTTCAGCACGATCAGGTCATGGATACATGTGTGCAAATGAGGTTATTTTAAATGGATGATCAGTGATTTACTGCAGCCGGATGTGCTGATGGACATCATGCAGTTCTGAGAATGAGGGTTTGTTTTTGCAGTTCTTCTTATCTTTTTTGGTTTGCTCTGATACCAGAAGATGAGGGTGATGCGGGACATCGGTGTTTCTTTTAAGGCTGCTGCTGACCCCGACAGATCCCAAACCCAGATTCTGCAGGAAAAAAACCTGCTGATCAGACCTGAAGTTTCCTAGTACCGTCAAGGTGACAGAACTTCAAGGTGAACACGCTCGCAAAGAAGGACTTCTGGGTGAGCTGGCGTGTTAAATGAAATTCATTTAAAAAAAACTACAGGTTGACTCTTTGGTGGAGTCCAATTGTCAGGCACATTCTTTTAAAATTTAAATGGTTTTGTGCAGTAGCTCATTCTAGAAATCAGCTAACCTCTGACTTCCAAGTTCATCCTACCTGCTGGTCGACCAGTTCTTGGTCTTGAACTGCAAATGGAAAACATCAGTCAAGATCTACTGTAGCTAATTTGCTTCCAACACATCAAATTCAAAGTCAATTGTTCACTTTTACCACCTCCTACCAGGCAGTGCCCCCCTGAAATGTTCACAGGGAGGGCTACATGGGCCATGAATGCTAATTTTCTGTGTGTTGTACGAACTATTTTCTATTGGCGGCTAATGCAGTAAACAGGGTTAGAAGATATTGTAAAGTGTTGTAAAGCGCCTTGGGCGGTTGCAAAGCTCTACAAGGTGCTATACATACACTCACCTAAAGGATTATAAGGAATACCTGTTCAACTTCTCCTTAATGCAATTATCTATTCAACCAATCACATGGCAGTTGCTTCAGTGCATTTAGGGGTGTGGTCCTGGTCAAGACAATCTCCTGAACTCCAAACTGAAGGTCAGAATGGGAAAGAAAGGTGATTTAAGCTATTTTGAGTGTGGCATGGTTGTTGGTGCCAGACGGGCTGGTCTGTTCAGTTACTGGGATTTTCACCCTCAACCATTTCTAGGGTTTACAAAGAATGGTGTGAAAAGGGAAAAACATCCAGTATGCGGCAGTCCTGTGGGCGAAAATGCCTTGTTGATGCTGGAGGTCAGAGGAGAATGGGCCGACTGATTCAAGCTGATAGAAGAGCAACTTTGACTGAAATAAGCACTCGTTACAACCGAGGAATGCAGCAAAGCATTTGTGAAGCCACAACACGCACAACCTTGAGGCGGATGGGCTACAACAGCAGAAGATCCCACCGGGTACCACTCGTCTCCACTACAAATAGGAAAAAGAGGCTACCATTAGCACCAGCTCACCAAAACTGGACAGTTGAAGACTGGAAAATGTCGCCTGGTCTGATGAGTCTGGATTTCTGTTGAGACATTCAAATGGTAGAGTCAGAATTTGGCGTAAACAGAATGAGAACATTTCATTTTCATTTCATTTCATTTATTTATTTAAGGACCGTGCACATTAATAAACATTTCTGTAAATGTGCCAGTGTCAGCCAGCAGGCTAATTTTCAACTGTAGTCCAGTGGCAAGATGTTATACTACCGTAAGCACGATGGCTAAGGAGAAGAAAGAAAGAAAGAAAGAAAAAAACAGGTTAGATGAGCATAGTAACTAATTAATATACAACAATAAATCGTAAAGCCATTACACTCAATTTCATTAAAACATAACACACAAAAAATAAAGATAAAATATAAAAAATAAATTAATAATTCATATACCCATACAACTCATTAGGGAATCAAAAGTAAGCATATATCAATTTGCAGCATCTATCATACACACTATAGGTTACAAAATAAATAAAATCTAAAAACAAACATACAATGATTATGAAAGGTGTTCACATTTTTGTGTGCTTAAAAGCCAGTTCTTAAAACTGAGTTTAAATGTACGATGTGAAGTGGAGTTTCTAATGTCCAATGGTATCTGATTCCACAGTTTAGAGGCTCTCACAGAAAAGCATAACTGTCCAAAAGAACTAGACCTATGAGGAACTACTCAGTCCCCTCTTAGTGCAGACCTTGTGGTTCTGCTGCTTGATAGCTTCTGCTGAATAAAAGTACAAAGTGGTGGGGTATGGAGCTAGGATTGGGACAATATTCAGCGTAACTTGCACCAAGTTTTGTAACTTCGAACATGTTTCATCACATGTAACTTTGGATTCGTAACTTGTAACTTTAGTTTTCTAACTTGTAATTCTCAATTCGTACTTGTATTTCTTGTTTTGTAACAGGAACATTGTATTTTGTACATGTATTTTTTATTTTGTAAAATCCAACTTTTATTTTGTACATCAAACATTCATTCAGAAACATGAAACTTTCGTTTTGTAACTAGCAGACTTCCAAATTGAAAAAATCAAGGTACAAGTTTGAAATCAAAACTCTCAAAACACACATTTCATTCTACAGGTACAAACCTCAAATCTACAGTTACGGATCTTTTTGTCTCGATTCTAGTGTCAGTGGGAGGAACTTGGGTGAAACCAATGAGAGCATGAGTCTTAGCTACCAATCACATTTCTCGAATTCCTGTCCCATCATTGGGAGAGGAGGGCAGGGTTCTGTCCCTTAGCATCTTGTGTGAGGTCAACAAAGAAGTTAGATTTTGCAAACCTGATTTCCCTAATTACTTTGTTTCTCAAGGACACAAATATGTTCCTATCAGGCAATAGGTTGGTCTTAAGATAGAGTTTTAAGGCATCGTCCCGTTCTTTCATTAATCTCCTTATGTCACTAGAGATCCAGGGGAGTGTATATCTATTATTCCCTTTAGGTTTGCTTTTCTTAAGGAATCGCTTTGCTATGTTTTGGATTGTGGACATGAGGACATTTGTATCACTATCCACATCTACACCAGATATGATTTGATCCCAGTTAATATTTTTGATTTCCCGATCTAATTTATCAACATCACATTTGGGTATTCTAAATTGGCTAGATTTAGTGTGAGGCTTTATATGGAAACGGGATTTAGTGAGCTTCCTTACTATAAGAGTAAGGTTATGGTCAGACAGACCAGTAACCACGTTAAATGATTTTGTCATCTTTCAGGCTTGTTAGTGAATATCAAATCAATTTGAATTTTTGAAGACGATGGTATTCTGGTGGGCTTTTTAATTAGTTGAGCAAAATCAAATTTATTTGTTACCCTTCGTAGTGCTTTGCTGATGCATTCATCCTCCCAATTTACGTTGAAGTCCCCCATTACCAATATTTCCTTCCCTGAGCTACATTCCTTTAGAACAGTTTCTAATTTGTCAAAGAAAATAGCTTTAGCAGACGATGGTCTATACACTCCAATGATAATAAAGGACATTTGTGGTGACAAGGTAATATTAAGGCAGATATGCTCAAGCTCATTAACTGAGCAATGAACTTCTTTACATGATATATGATCTTTGATATAAAACAGTAACCCCCCACCTTTACTAGTCTTTCTATCTTTCCTAAAAACATTATAGCCAGGAAAATGTAGGGCTGCAGATGGGGAGTTTTTATTTAACCAAGTTTCTGATAAACATAGGAAGTCCAAGTTAGAGTCCTTAAGAACATGTTTTATCTCATCACTTTTAGAACTCAAACTACGGATATTCAAGTGACCTCCCTCCTGGAGCCATCATGCCTTGTTACCACTGTGCAGGCTGGTGGTGGTGGTGTAATGGTGTGGGGGGATGTTTTCTTGGCACATTTTAGGCCTCTTAGCGCCAATTGGGCATGGTTTAATTGCCACAGGCTACCTGAGCTTTGTTTCTGACCATGTCCATCCCTTCGTGATCACCGTGTACCCATCCTCTGATGGCTACTTCCAGCGGGATAATGCACCATGTCATAAAGCTCCAATCATTTCAAACTGGTTTTTTGAACACAATGAGTTCACTGTTCTACAACGGCCCCCACAGTCACCAGATCTCAACCCGATAGAGTATCTTTGGGATGTGGTGGAACGGGAACTTCGTGCCCTGGATGTGCATCCCATAAATCTCCATCAGCTGCAAGATGCTATCCTATCAACATGGGCCAACATTTGTAAAGATGCTTACAGTACCTTGTTGAATCAATGCCACATAGAATTAAGGCAGTTCTGAAGGTGAAAGGGGGTCCTAATAATCCTTTAGGTGAGTGCATTTGGGGGGGGGGTGTGGGGGGGGGGGGGGGGTCCTGGGGGGCAGTGGGGTGGCCAACAATTTCCCAGGGGTGGTCATGACCCCCGCCTTGCCTCTCCTTGGAGGCACCACTGCCACCAGGCATCATTATAGTTTTTACTTTGTGTCGGTGGTCATAATATTATGACTGATTGTTATTATGTTTATTATTGGCAGAAATAAAATTTTAACTGCTTAGAAAAACCAAAAACAATTATTACCCCAAAAATTTTTAAATAAAATTGTTTTTATTTTACAAATTTGCACAATTACAGAATAGAGGTGGTAAAAAAGGTGAACACTCATACAAGAAAACAGAAGTGTGTGTAACCTGACACACTTGTCTCAAGCACGCGTGCACACACACACACACAATGGGGGGGGGCTGGGGGCTGGTGCCTATCTCCAGCGGTCAACGGGCAATCAGGCGGGGTACACCCTGGACAGAGAACCAGTCCATCGCAGGGCAACACAGAGACACACAGGACAAACAATCACACACACACACACACACACACACACACACACACACACACACACACACACACACACACACACACACACACACACACACACACACACACACACACACACACACACACACACACACACACACACACACACACACACACACACACGTTACAAATGGGGCACAAAGCATTTTCTTTCCTTCAAGTGTAAATCAGACTCGATATTAACCATCCTTCCCATTTCACACATTCACAACGCTTCCGCGACTCGGCGTCTTTTTACTCAGTCAGTCAAACAAAAAGAGGTGAAGCATGACATCTACACGTAAAGGTGCCGTGCTTCTGGTTCAGTCACAGATGGAGGTTTGCGTTTGCAGCTGAGTGAGTCACACAAACCCTGGATCTGCCTTTAAACATGGCTTAGAGATTTTCTAAAAGCATCTTTTATGATTGAACTTAACTTTTTTGGACTTGTGGTTTAAAGCCATTTAGTTTGAACACTAAACAAACTACGCCTCTCTAAATAGGAGGAACTCTTGACCACCATGTGCTGCTGAAGGGTAATTTGGCAGTTTACGAAAACGCGACAAAACTTCACGTTTAACTAAAAAAGTTAAAGAAAGGCTTTGATTGTCTTCACGCAATTCTTTGAGGGATAAAATCTCCTTGAGGTTTTTGTTTATTCTTACCAAAAAAAAAAGTTTTCCTAAAAGAAATCCAGACATGAGGAGGAAGAGGAGGAGTTTGACTGGCGCAGTGAGAGGAAGGCAGACATTAGTGAAATCAAGTGAAAAGCACAAAAAAATCATTAAATCCTTCTTCCTGATGTCATTCTGACCTCCCGTGGTGCACCTCTCCTCTGTTTGCCCCAGGAGAGTCTCTTTGCTCTCCCCTTCAGGTTGTGGTGTACGTTCTACGAGGATATGCAGTACAGAGTGTCGCTGTTGGCTGGTTTGGTTTTGAACGTGCTCCATCAAATGAAACGGTGTTGAAGGATGCAGAGGGGCGTGAGAACCGTACAGATCCTTGGGGCAGACGGTGCTGTGGATGGATTTCAGACCTCCACCTGCCCTTGCGTCAGAAAGGCCTGGAGCTGCTGGGCGGCACTGAAGATCTTCCTCTGATGTCCCAGCAGGTTCACGCCGAGGTTCTGGACATCTCTGAGGAGTTTAGACGAATAAAAATCAGCTTCTTATTTATGCGAAAACAATAAAATCGATCAGATTTCAAGAACTCACTCCATGGTGAGCCTGCTGACTCTGTCTAACGTGTCCAGTTCGGCTCGATCAAACTCTTCCTGGTATCTGTCCATTCTCAGAGCTTTCAGCCAATCGCTGACTGTCGCCGCTGACGATAAGTCTGTGGGGGTGGGGCTAAGCAGTGGCTGGGAGCAGCTTCTGTAAATGTCAAAAAGTGGAAAAAGTGAGGACTCACAAGTGAAACAGGTTGTCCGTCGCCTGCTGGCTGCCACGTGCGTTTGAAGCTCACCGAGTTGGCTCGGCCTTCAGGGAGGCGGGGTGTCTGATGAGCCGATCCAACGAGGACAGGACGGAGTCAAAGCCTGGCCGGTCCTCCCGCTCGGCCTGCCAGCACTGAAGCATCAGTGAGTGGAGGGCAGGGGGGCAGCTGTGGGGGGGAGGGAGTCGGTACTGATCCGCTACTGCCTTCATCACCTACAGACACGCAGAGAGAGGAAGGCGTTGGACAGAAGTAGGGCAGATGGCGGAGGAGTTGAGTGTGCCTGGCGACCCTAAGAGGTCACGGAGATCTTGCAAGAGCAGCTGAGGGGAAATCATGGAGCTCTCAGCTGTTTGGCATTTTCTAAACTATTAAAATATGCAAGAAGACGGGGAAAGAGTCCGAGTGCATTTGGTCAAATACAGCATCAGCATGTTTATTTAAAGAAACCTGAAAAAGTCGCTTTTCTGACAGATCCAAAACTGTCGCCGCTCACTTCCTGCTTTTATATAAAAACAGTTTGACAGCAAAGGAAAATTCCATCAAGTGTGTTTCTCTGAACCATTAAACCCTCCTTATTTATTTTTATCCTATCTAAACTATCCAAATAAAGACATTTCAGTCTGATGGCAAGAGTGGAACCGTCTTCCTGTTGAAATGCTGGTTGGATTCCCAGCTCTGCGTCAGAGTGCCTTTTAGCAACACCCACATTACCCTCCATGTGCTACTCAGCGCATGATTGTTAATTAAAACATGTTAGATCAATAAGAAATGCAGCTTGTAAGTCAGATTTTTAGAATCTGAATCAGGTGTAAGTGTGCTCCCTGGCTGGATACGGAATAAAAAACGTTCCCTCTCATGTTGAATTCTTCTTCTGTTTTCAACTTTTTTCAAGGCTTTAATTTTGTGTGCAGCAGCTTGTGCTTGTTTTGAAAGTGATATACAGCGCTGTGCAAAAGTCTAAAGAGATCTTTCAGCTTAAAAACATTTTCTACAAAGCAGCCAAACATCCTTCTAATCTTTTAAAGTAACTATTACCCATAAAATACCAAAAATAACATTTTTATAATATTTTAGCACCAACAACATGATCCCCAAAGAGTCTTTAGCTGGAGGGTGATGCTTTTCTCAGCTTTTTGTCAACTTTTTCCTTCTATTGTCCCCTAAAAGAAAATGTAATGGGGACATGTTATATAAACCCACCTTTTGCATGATTTTGGGCTGCCATGTGGATCTCTACTGCCTCTATAAACACTCCAAAGGTGAAAAAGAAAACCTGTCTTGATCCTGACAGAAAGCTGTTAAAAAAAACATTTGTGATGTCACAAATGGGTGAACTTAAATAAAACCACCTCTCACGTGCAAGAGAGAGAGCTGCCGCTGGAGGAGCAGCGGCTCTACTCTAAGCCCCTCAGATGTCGGACCTTCTTAGCTTATAGCAGCCTGAGCAGGGGATGAGTGGGCGTAGCCAGCTCCAGCTAGTTTCTTTAAAGTGACAGAGCCCTGAAACAGCTCATTCTGGAAGGCGCTGAAAATGTCATGATTAAACTGCGGAGATTGCTCCGTGTGAGAGAACTTCGTAAACACGTTTGTATCGACCTTAGAGCTATTATAACTTAAGAAAATAGTTACAAGGTGCCCCATTTAAGCTCACACATCACAATATGCTTGGTCAGGCACCTTTTTATTCCAAACATTGCTCATTTTGACAATCTTGTTTTGAACTGAGCTCCTAAACGATTTGACCCACCTCCTGATTGCTCATGTCCCAGTATGGGCGCTCTCCGTAGGACATCACCTCCCACATCAATACACCAAAGCTCCACACGTCACTGGCTGAGCTGAATTTACGATGCTGAAAAGCCTCTGGCGCTGTCCACCTCACGGGAATCTTACTCCCCTGTTGGAGGACACGAGGTCAAACTCTCCAATCAGACAGTTGGGTAAAAAACAAACAAATAAACACGTTTTGGGTCTGAACTCACTAGAGAGGCAGTGTATGTGGGTATGTTGTGGTCCAGGCCCCTCATGAGTCTTGAGAGGCCAAAGTCTGAGACTTTGCAGACCAGGTTAGAGTTGACCAACACATTTCTGGCTGCCAGGTCTCTGTGGACAAAGTTTCTCTCAGATAGATAACGCATCCCTGCACCGACCCCTCTGAGCATCCCAACCAGCTGGAGGACACTAAACTGGCCTTCGTTCTCCTGAGGAGGAAGCAGATCAGAGGAGTTATACGGAAGAATCTCCAACAAACTTGAGAGTGTGTGATGTTTTCTGACCCTAAGGAAGGCATCGAGTGGCCCGTTCTCCATGAACTCGGTGATGATCCTTTCAGGAGGTGATCGAGTCACTACACCCTCTAACTTCAGCACATTGGGATGATCGAACTGTCCCAGGACACCCGCTTCGCTGAGGAACATGCCCCTCTCTCTGTCAGACGCACCCCAGCGTAGAGTCTTCACTGCCACCAACACCTCCCGGCGGCCCGCGGGACGGTAACGGCCGCGAGAAACCTCGCCAAACTGGGCTGTAGCGGAGAGGAAAAGAGAAGCAGTTAGGATTACAGTGCAAACACCACCAAAGAAACACGACGGTTTATCAAACCTACCAGCACCAATCACCTCCTCAATCTTAAGGTGAGCTGGTTCTATCTCACGGGCAAATTCTTTAACTGCCTCACTGGGGTCCTCATATGTAGAAGGGTCCACGTAATACTTCACTCCACCTGGGATTTAAAGAAAAGGAAAATTCCATAAATAAAGTCAGATTCTTCTATTATAAGGTTTAATTACCACAGTCAGTGAAAGATTTACGTATTAAACAAAAGTTGTGATGACTTTTCTAAACAACAAAATCCCAGATTGTTAAATCTTTGCATAAACACAACTGATTTAGACAGTTTTTATTTCATTATCCAGTTTTAGCCATTTCGCATGTTTACTCATACTTTAGCGCAGCCTTCACCAAACTGGGGAGGACTAACATTATAATATAAGAAATTATAACAAACATTACTTTGTAATGACAATAACAACAGCTGTTTAGTTGTTTGAGATACAATCATTTTTATTAAGTTTAAAAATAATAACTAATCTGCAAAGATACGTTGATATCTTATTGATTAGTGAAGGAAGTATTTCTCGGCCAGGGAAACTCGATATTGGCTTGTTACAGTGGTGTGAAAAACTATTTTCCCCCTTCCTGGTTTCTTATTCTTTTGCATGTTTGTCACACAAAATGTTTCTGACCATCAAACACATTTAACCGTTAGTCAACGATAACACAAGTAAACACAAAACGCAGTTTTGAAATGAGGTTTTTTATTATTTGGGGAGAGAACAAAATCCAAACCTACATTGCCCTGTGTGAAAAAGTAATTGCCCCCTGAACCTAATAACTGGTTGGGCCTCCCTCAGCAGCAATAACTGCAATCAAGCGTTCGCGATAACTTGCTACGAGTCTTTTACAGCGCTCTGGAGGAATTTTGGCCCACTCATCTTTGCAGAATTGTTGTAATTCAGCTTTATTTGAGGGGTTTCTAGCATGAACTGCCTTTTTAAGGTCATGCCATATTATCTCAATAGGATTCAGGTCAGGACTTTGACTAGGCCACTCCAAAGTCTTCATTTTGTTGTTCTTCAGCCATTCAGAGGTGGATTTGCTGGTGTGTTTTGGGTCATTGTCCTGCTGCAGTGTTCGAGGTCACGTGAACTATATCTGAGGACTGGGTTTGTGCCCTTACCACCGTCGCTCGCACCAGAGGAGAACTGGGAGCGACCCATGGAGGGCTGCGCTCGAAAGGGCGAGTGTGAAACAGCTGGAAGAGGCTGATTCGCACCGCGGAGCATGGCGTCCAAAGATAAAGGACGATTGGGAGCCAGACCCGTGCACGGGGACAATAAAGTGCCAGCGGATGGAGCCGCGCACTGTAACGCCACCCGTGGTCGCAATAGCATCATGACATTCCGTCCCACCCTTCGTTGTGGGGGGAGCGGGATGTGTTGGGCCTGGCTGGAAGCTACGGCCGGCGCGCAAACGCACCTTTATAGCCGGCTGTGGGCGTGTCATGTGATTGACTGCGTGAACATGCAGGTGTTTCGCAGTGTTTGGTGTGGGGAACATGTGTGAGGATACGGCAGAAGATTCTGCAGAGGACTGTAGGTCCTCAATGTAACGTTGTTTGGGTTTTGTTTCAAAACCAACATCAGCCACAGAGTTAAAATTACAGTCAATAACGCACACATTCCCCCCAACGAGTCATTTTCTTGGTTGCTTTCGGCGAAGTTCTTGTGACTGAGAAGGCCAGGATGACATCTGCTTGTTCTTTCGGAACCGTTGGTAGTCAGATTTCTGGTCCCGCTGAGGTGGGGTCGAAGCGGGAGGCCGGCTCCGAGGGGCGGGCAGTGCAGCTGTCTTTTGAGCTCTCTCGATGGCACTCCTAAGATGGGGGCCGAACAGAACGTCAGAGGGGAAGGGGTCTTCCAGCATTTCTCTGTGCAGGTGTTCGGGAATGGAGGGCAGGGCCTTGAGCCACAAGGCCCGCTGGATAAGGGTTTGCCAGGCAGAACTGGTGAGTACAGCAGCGCACAGATTGAGAATGGCATCAGCAGTCTAGCTAATGATGTTTTTTGACTCGTCAGGAGGGTCGAGCTCTTCCACCATTTTGGAGACGCCAAAGGCAAGAAGGGCGATGTTATTTCCGGCAGCGCCGGTCTGGAAGGCGCACTGGTGTGTGCGATCGGTGAGCTGTGCCAGGAGCTGGTCATGTTTGGAAGCGTGAACTGCTCGCTGGCCAGCGAGGTGGTTCTTGGCACCAAACAGTGAGGCCAGGTCTGGCTCCAGTAGAGGAACAGTTGGACAGCCCTGGTCGGAGAAACCCCCGACTTTGGATATGGGTGCTTTGAGCTTAGCAGGCTCAGAGAAGGCGGCAGACCAGCAGCTCATGGCAGCGGGGAAGCGCGGCCATATGGGGTATGGGGTCTGGACATCGTGTTTGTGTAGCCCCAAAACTTCTCACCAAGTCATCAGCTTCAGGCGGAGCCGGTTCTGGGACGGCTAGCCCCTTGCGGACTGCAGCCGCAGAGATGATGGCAGGTAGCTCCTGGAGCAGTGCTCTGACTGCTGGCAGGGAGGAGCATGAAGGTATTGGAGCAGAGGAACCTGCTGAGGGAGGCTCGTCGACCTTTGTGTTTTCCAGGAGGGAAGAAGGGCTATATCAGCCAGCCTCGTCATATTCCTCAAGGTCGTTTTCATCTTCCAGTTGGTTGGAGCCAGCCGGCTCCTGACCGACATTGAAGAACTGTAATGCTTTGTCCAGCGAGTACGTGTCAGCCACCGGAAATTCCTTATCGGCGGCAGGGGTGAAGTACTCGAGTTTTCCAGCTACGGGCAGAGCGGCACAAAACGGGCACGAGGCCTGAGGGGTCAAGGCCAGGCCAGCGTGATGAGTCCCGAGACAGACCTCACATTTGGCGTGAAGGTCGCCGCTGGAGATGAAGCTCGTCTGGCAGGCCGGGCAGGTTCTGACGTCGCTGGACATGGATGGTGAGTAGGATAATTGGCTCTTGGATGGACAATAATCTTTAAAGATAACTCTTAAGCTTGGTTTGAAGAGATAGCGGAGGCGAACTGTGGAGTCGCTCCACTGATATACCCACGGGGTGCCTACCATTGGTGGGCGTACATTTAAGCTCTTCATGACTGGTTGATGATGAGATCACCCTTCCAATAGCAGCTAGCTTAAGGGCTAAGACAAGACAAAATAGAACTATCATATTATGGCATTTTGAGAGAGGTGATATGATGTATAATGTGTGCACATTTTTTCTTACACACCTTTTCCTTATTCTGCTCTTATTCCCCCTTTCCTGGGATCCACTGATTTCCCTCTTTCCTATTCATTTTCTCCCTCCCCTTCCTTACATTCATTTTAGATCACAATTTTTATTTTTTCTTATCTTAAACATATTTTAATAATTAAAAAAATATTTTTATACTTTAATTTTTGTTTTTGTGAAGCGCCTTGTGGTTTTTATCTTGAGAGGCGCTATTCAAAACGTCTGAAGTAAAAAGTGATACAGATATTTTTCGATATTACATTTGAATCCCAACATTGGCCAGAATTTTTGTTAAACTGATATTATCAAATATCCCTAGACTCTGGATCTCCTTTTGAAATTTAGATAAATGAATTTACATGCTTTGGTTTTACATCTTGCATTAAGCTAAACGACAAAAACCCAAACGCATTATTGCTTGAAATCTGCTCTCAGCTAGGGGGTTCAAGCTTGCTGTCAGGGTGGCACTGGGCTACCCCGGACGCCCCCCTAGAACCACCCCTGTCACCAAATAACCAAAGGTGGTTGATTTTAGTCTGTGGGTGGAAACTGGAGTACCTGGAGAAATGCTTGAGGACAACATGCTGACTGAGCAAAAAGGTCATGTTATGTAATAAATTCATGCAACATTTACTTAAAATTTTTTTTTACTAAACAACTTCAACTGAGTCACTTTATACATAACCTCAAGTTTTATTACTCTTCCAAAAGATAGATAATAAAATAAAACAGCTTCTAATTTTAAGACATTTATTTTAGTTTTGCACATAACTTTCCTTTCTTTAATTAAATTGCAAACCAAGTTAAACCCGAAGTTAGTTTCTTACAGTAGCTCTAATCAACTCACCACGGTTACTTATGTACCTCTGAAGTCTGTCGCTGTAAGGACTCTCTCTTCTTTTGCTGCCAGGTGAAGGACGAAATGTTTAAACTCAAAACAAAGATTCATATAAATGAACGGATGAACGCCAGGGTGTGAAAAAGACATACCTGCGAAACACAACCACGACCACAATGGCTGCCACCACAAGGAGAAACGCCGCCCCACCCATCACCGAGCCGACGAGCAGAGGGAGTCGGTTCTGGATCTGGTGCGAATGCTCCTCTGAGGGAGAATCATCAAAAAAATCAACACTAGGTTTTTTTTTAGTACTCGATAACTAAAAGAGTGTTTTTATAATGCAAAGCACAAAGAAATGCACATTTTTACATATTGTTATTGTTTATTCTCGTAATCTATAATAATTGGTGCACCTAAGAGTCTCTGTTACATAAAGTTACAGTCATTTAGATGTTAGTCATTATGTTTTCTAAACAAATGGACCTTTTTTCTTAAAATCAGACTAAGTTTTATCACTTAAATGGTCATGAATGAACCCATTTGTTGATTTTTTAAATGTAAATTTCACGGGTGTTGTGAAACTAGGTTTCTTTACCCAGAGGCAGCGTTGTGAAGTAAATGGTGTTGCTGTAGGGGCCGTAGCCCCGCTCATTTCGCGCTCTGATCTGGAAGGCGTAGATGGAGCCGGGGATCAGGGAGTTGACCGTCATGGTGTTGGTCTCGCTGAACATGGTCAAGGCGCTGTCCACGTCTGAACCCTGAGGGACACAGATGAAGGGGCTCCTGTTATGTAGCTGTCTGATGAGCTGAAGCGCGTCGCGTTTCTGCGTACTCGTGCCTTGTCGTAGTATCTGAGCTGGTACTCCAGGATGTCTCCATTGGGCCTGTCCGGCTGAGGCCACGAGAGGGTGATGGAGTCCGAAGCTCGGCTCAGCTGGTGCATCATGGGAACTGTACTGGGAACTGGGACAAATCAGAGATAAGTGACTATTAAATATCTATGATTTCTAATAAAGCTAAGGCTATTGATTGTGCTGTTCTTAGCTATAGATTTTTTACTTCACTTGAAGATGGAAAAATGGCTGCATATGAAAGCAATGCTAAAGAGTTACGCTAAAGAACACTAAGCAGTTGGTTTCAGTGGTTCATGAGTCATAAACTTGAGCAACTTCACATTGGACAGCACTCTGTAGCCCTCTGCTGACCAGAAACTTCAGTTTTGAGGTGTGGGTAGGAACACCAGTGGGAGGTCTCTACCTGCTTTACGCAGTAGCTAACAAGGCTAGTAGTTAGCTTTTTCAGTCCGCTGACCACACAAGAAGAAGAAGAATTTTTATCTATTTTTTGTTGGCGTCATGGTGAAGCCTGGTACTAAAAGTATAGAGTAATGTCTTTGGGGATGAAGCAGAGACATAAAACCAGAAAGATCATTGGTGCAGCTTACACTCGTTTGAGGAAGCTAAAAAAAGTCACGGACTGATTGTGACTTGGCTTTGTTGCTACTGGACTTGTAAGTAAAATTTGTTTAGTCCAACAGTGTGGATCTTTTTACTTTGTGGCCTTTTTAGTATCATTTGGACTCATGTTAGCGTTAGCTTGTTGTTAGCACTAGTTACAGCAGGCTGTGGAAGGGTTGTTTACAACAACTTTAATCCCACTTTTAACCAGTTGGGGAAAGAAACGAGAAACTTATTAAGTGCTGCTTTAAAAATGACATATAATATTAGCCTGTATGTATTTAGTGTAGTTAATGAAAAACTGGTTTCTTTGTTTTCAATAACTTTAATCCAATCCTTTAACTCACTGTTTTGTAGTTTTTTTAGTCTCTAGATCTAAAACATGAACTTAACAAAAAAAATCTACTGAACTAAAAAAATTCTAAAAAAAATGAAGGTTTTTAAATTAAAAAAACGTTATAAACTATATAATTGCTCCAAATAAATGTATAACTTGTTTTTTTCCTTTGTGTGCAAATTAGAGGGTTATTTTATGTTCAGTATGAGTGTGATTCACTAAGAATAGATTTTATGCACTTCTTTTGGGTATTTTTGCAGGTTACAGAGATAACGTTGACTACCATAATGCACTCATTTTGGGATGCATTTGACCTGAAATACAGCAGTTTGCTCGCCCCCTTTTCCTCACTCACCATCTCCACCAGCTTTAAGGAGAGTGTAAGTATTTCACACTAGCTGAGTGTAATACACGTTTATTTTTTGCTCCATTTACATAAATATGAGATGTTTTACCTCTAAATGTGTGAAAAAGATGCTTTATGTGAGGTTTGGCGAAGCAGGTGGACGGGTAGTTTATCCAGGATTGATGACAATTCAAATCAGTTTAGAATTTGATGAGATTGAATAAAAATGAATTAAAATATATTTACTTATATATATATATATATATATATATATATATATATATATATATATATATATATATATATATACCGTAAGTCCTCTAATATTAGCCTGTATTTAATTAACTGCCGGGTATCATATATTGGCCGGTGTCGGAGTCGGCAGAGGTGAATAATGGCCGGTTTTTTATTGTGGCCGGGTGGAACGTGGTAACAAGCAAGTACGGGGGGCGGTTGTGTCATCCGTCTCACTTTTGATTTGCCAGTGATAGACCGCGACGGTAACTTTAACCGTGCGGAGACGAAGAGGACTCGAAAATTTGATATCAAGTTCAAAGAGAACGTGCTGATTATGCTGCAGAACACTCTGGGGAGCAGCAGTAGGGGCTGTATGAACTAGTCACTAGTCGACTTCACCGCTCTATAGTGACTTGTTATGCCTGTCATCGACTAGTCGCTGTCACGTGATAATGACCGGCAAGATGCAGTCCACGGAAAAGACAGCAGCCTGCTGTCAGCAGGTGACAAGCTCCTGCGCGCCGGGAGGCAACGCGCTGTGCCAGAGCGTCGGTACCGACACCCGCTGTAAAACGAACATTTAACCAAATTGTGACCTTTACCCTCTTGCAATTTAACCTTCCCCTCACCCCCATCCTAACCTTAACCAGCTAGCGCCTGCAGCCTCTCGGAGTTCCTGCTGCTCTAAACATTAAAGTAATTATTTCATTTTCTGTTCCTCACTTCTGATTACCTTCAATGGTGTCTGTTTGTTGCAACCACCAGGTACAAAAACTAACTTGTTTTTATTTGACTATTTTTCTGTCCTGCCTGTTTATTATCTTCCTGCATCTCCTCTCAATCCTAAAGAAAAACTGCTACCTGGGTTCATATATATTCACCTTATGAGTTACCTTTGACCTGCAGTTCTAAAAGATCTATCGACCGCAAGAACAGCGGAATGCTCGCCGGCCACACCAGTTAGGTGCGTCACTGAGGACAAAACAGGTGGTGCGCCCTGATCCACAGCAGCGAAACGCATCAGGCACAAATAAAAGAATAAAAGACTTACTGAGAGGTTGCAGGCGCATCAGTGAGTTTGCGGCCGCTGCGCAGGGGGAGGGGGGAGAGGGCTGAGTCAGAAACTACCGTTGTTAAAAGAAATGTGTTTAACTTTGAAAATGTGGGCGCAATTTTAATTGTCAAAAACTCCAGCGAACCATTAGTTCATTTTGCTCAAATAGAAATAGAGGCCTGCCTCTAATTCTGGTCCTCCTTCCAACAAAGGCCTGGAGCTTGATGAGCTTGGGTCAAATACAGGCCCGGGCCTGTATTAGAGGATTTACGGTATATAAATATGTAAAGCTCCTTTTAATTTGATATAGCATGAACTGGAATAAAGCTGGAGTGAATCCATCATTTTAGAGTGCTGCAGTGTAAAGGGACTGTAACCACATGGGGGCAGTAAGACAGAAGCTTTAGAGGGACTTCCTTTAGACCCTGGGATTGAAGTTTTTATGGAGTGCTGAGCAGCATCCAGTTACAGCCTCTGTGTAGGCAGGCTGGTCCAGTTTCAGCGAGAATCCTTTTGATTTAATCCATAAACGCCGACAGTGCACACCAGAAGATTTGAGATCCTTTAGATAAATTGAAGTTCTACTTAATTATAATTGGTTTCTTGGAAAGCTGGAACAAAGCAGCTGTTCTGCTCTTTTCCTCCTCCAGCTCATCTGCTTTCATCTTTCTGCCTCGTTGTCTCCCCATCTCTCATTCATCCCTTTCTGAACATGATGAGATCTGTCAGGACACTGAAAACCCAGAGCAACCTCGTGTCCGGAGAGCAGGAACAGAAAAGGAGCTGAGCACACGCACACCATCACCACCACAGCATCTCATATTCTTTCATCCCATCTTTCTCATCCCGTCTGTCCCATTCTCACCTGACTGGCTGGTGGTGAAATTGATGCTTGTGTATCGAGCTGGAAAAGGACTCAGAGCTGACACCTCATTGATGGCTTGTACCTGTCAGTGCACAGGAAACACACCCGAGACGAGACGTTCAGGGTTTACACTGACATTTGTGACTTGACTAAATGGGCACAGATAATCCGACGTGTCGAGTCATCAGACGGCGGTTAATGTGAAATATGGGCTCATTACGAATAAGAAATATGCTGTGATTTTAACTCGGCTATGCAGAGCTAAATAATAGATGTGTGTTTCTGACGAAGTGGGGAAATAATATAGTGCAGACGCTCTGCTTCTTCCCTCTGTGAACGAGGGAAACATCACATCATCCATCTAAACGAACAACATCCAACCTGTTTTCCAGCCAGCATGCATAGGTGGG